TCCATACAGGAACTCAAAAATCGGATGTGAACGGTCACAACCCAGAGCTTTCCTTTCTTGTCACTTTGGGGACATGGCTTGCCGTTCTCCACCTTGACATGATGATTCAGCCAATCAGACGTAGCGATCCATCCTGTCCCTTCATGACAGCGTATCTCTTGGCTTCACGAAGCTCTTCAACAGCTGCTTTACCCTTCAATGTCTTCGCCTTCTTCCCCTTTGGGTCAGCCTCCTTTTGGATCGCTAGCTCCTTCTTCGCTCTGATTTTTTAAAAAATCCAGGAGCCAGGATTTAAGTTTTGCTGATTGAGTGAAATAATGTTTTTTGCTTGCTGTGTATGCTGCTCACGCGTCCTCAGCTGCCGACAAGGGGGTCGTGTGACTTACACATGCTTCATGGACAAAACTGAGGGACGAAACGAAGGGGAACGGAGAAAGTATGCGTTGCCTAAAGCTTTACCTGCCACTGTTTTGTTTGTGTTGTGTTCTGTTCAGCGGACCAGTGGTCAGCTAAAGATGTTTTTGTACATAGCTGTAACTAAATATACAGGTGATGTATCCAACAGCTGCGTTACTTTTTTTGTGCGTCGTACAGTATACAGGGGCGCAGGTTGCAGTCGACGCGCTTGTTGATGTCTTAGCGGCGGTTGTTCCTTGCTAATTGAAATGTTTTCCCCAAAGGTATTCTACTTTGTTGGTCTGGCAGCTTTCCCAGACTTAACATGGAACCATATCAAGATGGTGCTCGGACAACCGTGGGCTTCCAAAGCCGGGAGGGACACAAACACATACTACAGTACAGGGAAGGAAAAAAAAGGAGCGCAAAGGTTCATCTTGAGATGAATCATTGAAGCCGGGAGATGTTACAGCTAGAGGTCTATGTTAGACTATGGCTGGGCTGGGCAGTGAACATGTGCCATGTTATAGGATTGAAAAGCGGGGGAATCCTGGGCAATGTTGGAGGCTGTTGGGTCTAATATGGAACATTGGAAGAGCAGACATCTAGCCCTATGTTGGCCGGCCATCAGACAGAATCCATGTTAGCATTTGCTGCTGCGGCGCAAGAACTATCCATCCTTGGTTGGGAATACTACGGGTGCGTTCTATGTGTGTGTGTGTGTTTTTCTTGACACCCAAACCACATACTCTCCAGAGACCGGTGCCTTTTTGATTCCAGGGTCACCGTTTAAAGTGTGTCATGTTTATTGGCACTTGGATTGAGATCCTTAATCTACGGTAGATTTCGCGGGAGTATATGTAGCCTCAAGCCTCTTTGGTTCCTGACAGCTTCATGTGTATTATACATGTGCGTCTGTGTAGCTGGTGGCGGCCCATTGGGCATTGTCTCAAGTTTAAAATCAAAGTGCAAAAAAACAAAAATTCAATCAGTTTTGTTGTACATCAAGAAATTTGAAATTTGATATATCTCCAAAATGTTAAGTTCCCTAAGTTAGTTAAAAGTTATTTTTGCATAATGTTGAATCATCTAGATAGTGAACTTAGAAATCTCTAACTTTTGACAACTAATTTGCAAGTGCCACATCTTGAACATAAAAGTTTGGGTTCGTTACAGAACTTCTAACCCCTTCCTAACTAAGTTGCCAACCACTTACAAGATACTTACAAGTTCCCTAGCCAAAAAGGAACCATCAAGTACTCGGGTCTTGTATGGTCACTTAAGCTCTGTAGGCAGCGCGCAACGAGCGCGCAAGGAGCGCGCGCACCAGCGCGCAATCAGCGCGCAGGAGAGCGCGCAAGCACGAGCGCGCAAAGAGCTAGCGCGCTTGAGCGCGCAGGCACCACCAGCAGAGGTTGAAGAACCCTATAGCCTATCCTATAGATATTCTTGTTGGGTCTTATATGGTCACTTAAGCTCTGTAAGCAGCGCACAAGGAGCGCGCACCAGCGCGCAACCAGCGCGCAGGAGGCGTGCAGACACGAGCGCGCAGGACCAGGAGAGCGCGCAGGCACCAGCGCGCAACGAGCGGGGACGCGAGCGCGTGCCAGCGCGCAACGAGCGCGCGCCAGCGCGCAAAGAAAGCTGGTCGATGCGCACGAGCGCGCGCAGAGCGTGCAGGAGAGCGGGGCATGCAGAGCGCGCGGACACCAGTGCGCAAAGTGCGCGCTGGGCACGCAGGACAGGAGAGCGTGCGTGAGAGCGCGAATTGGGCATGAAGCTCTTTGTTATAAGAAGGAAAACAAGGACAATCTAGCAGTAGGCTTCTAATTCCCTGAAAGTTTGCCATTGTTAGACAGTCTAAAAAGCTTCTCGTTAGTAGAACAAAAACAAGACAGTCTATCAGTAAGCTTCTGTTACTAGAAAGCTTCTAAGGCCAGTCCAAGATCAAAGGTCTTGCCGCTTGGGTGTTGTCTTTCACTTGTAGAATAGCCTCGCGTAGCACTTGCAAGCACTTTTTCTTTTCAACATCAAGAGCACATAATTGTCTTCTTGTTCCGTTTGTTGGCTGATTTGTTCCTTGGACTTTTGGACCATGGCCAAATTGTTCAGGCGCCCTCAGATGCAGACATCGAGAAGTGGTCTCGCCCTCCATGGGCGCTAGAACAGCATAATGAATGCCTTATTGCTCAAGGCAACGATGTAAGTGAATCGCGTGTTGAACAAACAGCTGTGTTTGCCAAGACTGAGCTATAAAGAAGGCCAACGGAATGTATTCGAGATGTTGCCAGGAACCCCGCCTGGTCACAGCACATCTCAAAACAGCTGCATCTATTTCGCCTGGGGCTGTGATTCAAATACTCGGCAGCATGCAGGCTTACAGGGCACCGTTGTGGAATTGGGAAACAGAAACTGTGAAAGCGTGTGGTGTTTTGAAGCAAAAGTCCTCCTTTGTAGAATGTCTAGGTCCACAAACAACAGACCGTCAAGCATCCATGGCAAGTTGCATATTTCTGGATGTTTGCGAGGAATTGGAAAGCCTTTGCTTCTTGTGAAGGTTTCGGCAGAGATGCACTCATTCAATCGAGGTGAATGCCTTCCACGCCAGTGCTGTATTGTCATCCAGCTGAAAGTTCACCTTGTTTGGGACATTGTCTTGTTCTGCAAATGCGTTTCCGACCCCAAGTAGATTCCACTTGAGAGAGCAGTTTTGGTGGCGTGGAGGCCGTTTTTTATTTCAAGGCTACTAGTTAGCTTCAAAAACCGTCTAGAAACTACAGGCGATTCCCAGTCGAACGATTCCCAAGGAAGCTTCTAGTTACGGGTAAGCTTGATCATGCGCGATTCACTCTTGACGCTCCTGCGTTCATTCTTGAGATTTTGTGGGTGTGTCGTGTGTGGGTGTGCACACGGGCGCCCAATCGAAACAACACCACCAACGTCTCGAAGAAAGGAAAAGGAAAGGAAGAATGAACACAAAGAACATACAAAGGCCTAAAGATATGAAGAGAAAAGAGAAGAAAGAGAATTGTAGCTTGTGGAAGGGGGTAGCGACGTCCTCAAGCAAAACGGCCAGCACAGGCACAATTGGGGTCAGCGGTTTCAACCAAGGAAAGCTTCGGGGTCTTCAAGTGCTTGGCGCTGGGCTTTGCAAGTCCTTCAAGAACTGCCAGCGCTCGCAGTGGTTCCAAACGACGCTTGGGTATAAATCCAGAGTTGCGAATCACGAAGTGAATTTTCGCTGCCGCCTGAGCAGTCCACAAGAAAACCAATAGAACAAAGTGGGGATACTTGCTGCGCAAGCGCAAGAACCTTAGACTCTGTCAGTACTTTTGCTTCTTGACACTCCTGCAGTCTTTTGTTTTTTCTTTTGACCTCTAGGCCTTTTGTTTGGTCTTTTGTATTTTCTGCTTTTGTAAGTGTCGAACATTTTTTGCTTCTTCGCGCAGATGAGTCGTCACGATGTGTTTTCCCCAAACAGTTTACTGTTGCTGGGGGACTGTCTTTGAAACTTTGCATACTCTTTGAAGTCATAGCTGCGCTGGCCACGACAGATGTGGGCTGCGGCCACGCCGTGGGCCCTGTCGTCTTCTCCGCTCGTCAGGCCTTGTCCCCTCTTTCTCCACCACCTTGTCCGGGCCTTTTTTCCTGTGGCTATGAATGCTGCAGTGATGCAGGTTTTGAAATTTGATATCATCTTCGCATTTTCTAATGAAATATCATTCCATTTTTGCACATGAAAGCATCACCAAAATAGGTTTTTGTTTACTTGCTGTTCTCAAACAGCCGGAGGCTCTAGGAACATAATCACGAGAAGCTTTCTAGACTTTATTAGAAGCTTACTAGACCAGAAGCTTACTAGACTGTCTTTGTTTGCTTTCTAATGACAAGAAGCGTCCTAGACTGCCTGAAAAGCTTACTAGTAACGATTACTAGTAACTAGAAGCTTAGTAGTCTTTCGATTAACAAAAACCTTTCTAGATTTAGAGGCTTTCTATCAACTAGAACCTCTTTAGACTGTCCTTACTTGTTTCTGAAAACAAGAAGCTTTCTAGATTGTCTGAGAAGCTGACTAGCAACTAGAAGCTTACTAGACTGGCTTTGTTTTCTTTCTACTAACAAGCAGCTTTCCAGACTGTCTTAAAAGCTTACCAGTAACTAGAAGCCTACTAGACTGTCTTGGTTGCCTAATAGCAAAGAGCTTTCCAGATTGTCTTAGAAGCTTACTATAGTATCTAGAAGCCTACTAGACTGTGTTTGTTTTCCTTCTAATAAGAACAAGTTTCCTAGACTTGCCAAACTCCGCTAGACCAAGCTGTAAAGTTTCTTCAAGTCTCGATTTTTCGTTAGTTGTGATTTTGCTTGATTTGCAGAAAACTGCCATGACGATCGCCGGTCCCTCAGCGACCTCCAAACCCTTGGGCCCTTGAGACCCAACAGCTCAGCCGGGGAACGGCAAGATTACTTCAGGTACTACAAAACCCTTCAAACTGTGAGTTAAGTCCGCCCCTGTACCACCACCACCACCACCACCACCACCACCACCGTCCCTAACACATACGTCCGAGGACGATCCGACCGACGGAGACCGTGGGCACCCCGGCGATGATGGCCACAACAAAGCTTGGACTTCGGTGGTTCCTGGAGTTTCCAGCACTGACTGGTCAGGACCCAGGTCATGGCGAGGTGCGAACTCGGTCCCTGGTCCAGGGTACGGATGCCTTGGGAAACTGATCAAGACACATGCACCTTCTGTCTTGCTGGCATGTCCCCTTGAATGATGCTGAATTCTGTGTGATGTGCTGCAAACCTTACCTGACATAACAAACCTTAAATGCCAAAACATGTGGGTCTGCTCCTTGATCGCACTCACAACATAATACCTCATCATACCTCATCATACCTCGCAAATGAGACTGAACACAAACAAGTAACAAAACACATGAAATGTCTCTTTGAATCTCATGTATATAAATGATACAGTATATAGTCAGAATATAGTCAGCCGAGTCATAATGCTTATATAGATATTATTATTATCATAATACATCCTAATACATCCGTACACGGCGGACACGAATGAAAGATCACCTGGCGAACACGACCCAACTGCCTCACACCATCTCAAGTCTCCGACACCTCATGATGCACTTCTCACTTCTTTCGCAAGACCACCTCAGCTAACTCCTCGGCAGTTTCCCGGGTCCCACATGGCCCAGAACGGCTTGAGGTTCGCTGCCCCCGCTGAGGTTCGCACAAGAACCCCAAGTCCCAAAGTGCCAAGGCCCGCAGCCTCGGGCAAGCAATCAGAGTTGGCTGAATCGGCCCGCAGCCTCTCCAGTGGAGTTTTGTAGAGGATGGACATCTTAGGAGAAAAATTACGTTCTCCTCGTTATACAAAGCACTGCAGGACGGGGACCGGTGCTTGTCAAATGCAGTTCACAATAATCACAACTTCAGAGCTGCTACTCACACGAAGGACTCCGATCAGTTGTTCAATCATGTTCAAACACCCAAGTCTGCATTGAGAGGCAGCTTGGTGGGCAGCTTGACTTGTGCTCAGGAAGCCACAATGCTCCAGGTGGAAGTAGGCAAGTGAAATCCTCAGAATCCAGAATCAAAGGCGGTTCAATAGCATGATGATGCATGGTGTCTGCTACTTGCAACAAACGATTTCACAGATTTGGCGCAAGAGTGGCCCAGAATACTCTTCCTGCTGTCAACAAACATGAGGGCCAGTCTGTTTATATTTGCGCCTGGGGAGTGCATAACAATATATATATATATCACTATTATTACTATTATCAGTACTATTGTTAAACTGTTATTACTATTTTATTTATATTTATATATTGCATATACTTGTTCAGAAAGGTGCGTCATATGTTTGGAATCGGCACAACTGGAGAAGGAAGGCCGGCGCCAGTCGAGAGGAACGACCGTCCCAGTGTGAGGCCACCAAAACTCACCACGCACGACCCAACTCACCGAACAGAAACGATCATTGATTGTACATGTCCCAAACTCCAAGCAACTAGTTTTATCAAATTGACGGAAACAACAAAACCATGAGACACTCCAAAAAGAAACTCTCTTTCGGGCGTCATGTCACCATGCGTCACCATGCGTCACCACCCACACAAATACCCCACCGGATCCTCACGGACCGCACATGATCCTGCTTCAAGGCCTGCCACACCGGCCACCGCACGGCGTCGCGTCCGGTTTTTCGCACCAAGAGGCCCGTGTGACCCATGGACCCCAAAGGGCTCTCCTGATCGACGTCGGTCGATGGGAATCCACGGTGGCACCGGTGGGTGGAACACGACGTTGGAACACGGTGATCACCGTCATTGGGATGATTTCTTTCGATAAACACACACGCATCCTATAATTTTGTTTTGTTTTCCACAGGAACGTCCAGGCCGGGATGGAATGGGATGTAGGATGATGGAATGGGACGGAAAGGGATGGATTCCTAGGCCGTGGGATGCCGTGGGATCCAACTTCCTTCTGGCTGCGGTGGCGGTGCGGTGGGTCCGGAGGGCCATGGTGTCGCACCCGACTCGGCAGGTCACCACTCGTGACACTCTGGTTTTCTCCAACCAAGCCATCAAGACGGAGAACTGTGGCGGTCCGGGTGCGGTAGTAGTTGACAATAAGATTGACAAACAATGCCCCGTCTGACCGATTGAGCTGTTGTGGGCGCATGCCTAGTACTAATTGGCTTATCACTCGAGATAGGTTCCGACACTGCATGGCTGGGATAGCTTGAGGCTGAGGCGAAGCGCGGCTGAAGAAACAATCATGCCCCAAGCCCGCCAAAAGATGCCAAAAGCATCCTATCCGATAATCCCAGCAATTCTGGAGGACGGATTGCCACTTGCCATCTCAAATTAGAAGTCGGGAGCTGTACATAAAGGTTCTCACAGCGGCTGAGGGAGGGAGTTTCTGAATGGCTTGATCCATCGATGATCCGCTTGTCCACAGAACTCACATCCGATCTCCGCTCCTCTGCAGGGCGTAGAAGGCCAAGGACCTCAGTGTTACGTGTTGACCGGCGTTTGGCCTCCCCATGACAAGATCATGACAGGTTAGACATGGCTCTTCTCCTCTCCATCTCCCAAGCAGCACCGCCTCGTTCTTCTGGGCCTCCCGGGCACCACGAGCGGGCTCAGGAGCGCCACGCAGAGTGCAAAGCCGGCGATCTCCGTGGGGCTCCAGCCGTTCAAGGTCCACCTAAGGGTCGGTCCACCGGGATCCCGGTTCACCACGTGATCCGGCTGGTCAGCTCCATCCGGGTCAAGCTACACAGGCACGGGGCGAGCGCGGTTTACGCGGGACGCGCGGGCTGAAACACGGAGAGTCCAAGCCCGATGGACCGGTGCAGTGGGAGAATAAACTAGTCGTGTCGTGTGGAAAAGAACCTGGGAAGAGTTGCATCTTTGGAAAAAGTCTTGGGATCCTGTGTCCAAAATATCTACAAATGAATAGCCACCCTCGTGGCCCATTTATGAAGTCAAACCGTAGCTTTCTGGTCGCCAACAAAAATATGATGAGTACTGCTTGGCAACAGCAGTTCTAACAGTTGCGCAGCAGTCGCATAGCATTGCTTGAAGGCCTCACATGCTCACATGGCCAACGACTTCATCGTCGGAAGTCTGTCTTCATTTGGCAGCAGTTTCGTCAAGTTTGTGGATTATCAATCTGAACCTTCAATGACTCGAAGGTGCTCAACATTTGTATAGTAGACATTTCTTCAGGCAGACTGTTGGATGACCGTCTCGGTAAAACACTAGTATTGCCTTGCTCCTGCCATTCTGAAGTTCTATGCAAAAAAACTGAAAATAAACCCACCATGCAGTGCCAAAAAACAAGCTGGGGTGCCCCGCCAATGCTCGAAGTTCATCGAGGGATAAATGGCCAAGAAGTTCCTCAAACAAATGGGCCATTGTCTCAATTTCCCTATTGAAGGGTCTTCAACATCGCCCAAACGGCTGGTGCACTTGGAAAAGTTGAGCTTCTTGCAAGAGTGAGCTCTGAGTAGAGGCTTCTCTGTAAATGGTAGCTGGTAGCGTTCTAAAAAGGCTGCCGGCTAGACATCCATCTTGCATGTCAACTTTGATTCTTGTTCTGATAGTTGCTGCAAAGATCTGCTTGCTATATGTAGAGCTCTAAGGACGCAACATCATCTCGGACATCATGAGCAGGATGAATGTCTTCTGCGATGGAAGAGCCTATTCACCCGAATCCCGCATCCATTTTTGTGTGACTTGTCCTCCTGAACTCGGCCTATGATCTGCAACAGGGCTATCCGGGACAACAAACATCTCATGTCACGTTCACATCATGGACATGTCGGTCTAACACGGGTCAGCATAGCTGCCCAAAAAAAACGACCGGTGTCAAAAGCAGGCAGTGACACGACCGGTAGCAATTGAACGAGCTGTGGTCTTTTGAGACTGTTAATACCAAGACTATGCAATGTAATACCTATTAGGGCCGGTCGGGTAACGGCGAATGTATGAAATTCCATACCTGGATGGTCTGGGAAAGAATGATTATCATTTTATCTCTTGGTGCATCTTTTCAAACTGACCAGTTGTCTTAACCACCTTGTCAGAAGATATGATGTTGCCGTTTACTCACAACTGCTTTGCTTCATGACCCACTTCTCTTTGGAATGCCATCAATTCAGAGTAAGTGGACTCACACCGCAACGTTGCGAGTCCGGCGGCAGTGCGCCGAAACGGACGGCAGGGCATCAAGTCCTACTGTAAGTTGCACGCTGTGCAACATGCTGTGCAGTGTGTTTTTCACTTTTCATGAGTCACGACATGTCGTCGCGACCGTCTTTCGATCACGACTTGATCACCCACTCCACCGACAGAGGGTGGGCTCGAACCGCCAAAAGAGGCACGGGTGCGCGCTTCGTTTTGCGCTTGCGTCGCGACTCGTCGCTTCGCCTTGTTTCCCCTTGGTTGTGGACCTCGTGCGCTACAACGACAATTCGACATTGGTAGCGGAGCAACGGGGTGACCTGGGCTCCCTACCCTGCGCTCTCCGCGACGACTTCCCGAACGCTCGGAAGAAGACCTACGTCAAGGACGGTCCAAGGAGCTCTTTCAGGTTGTCTAGTTCTTTGCTTGGCCTTTTTCATCTGCTACTTCAACACCCCAGCATCCAAGCAGGTCCTAGAAGAGTTCTTTGGCACCATGGCCCAACAGAAGAAGACATCGACGCAGGCATCCGGATCGGGAAGCGCCTCAGGTACCAGCTACCTGGATCTCCGGGACTCCTACGTTCCCGTGTTCAGCGGTCAGCCAAGTGACTACCGCGAATGGCGACAGAGGATTCACCTCTATCATCGAAAGATGTCCATCACCAAACGAGGCAATGAGAGCGTCCTCAACATAGTTGGAAGCTTCACTGGACTCACCTGGCGATTGTTTCAGGATTGGGCACTTGAGGACCTCGAGAAGACCGATGCTTTCCCGAAGATCATTGAGGTCCTCGATCGAAACTTTGCTTACGATGCCCGAGTCCAGCTTCCTGCAGATTTTGAGAGCTACTTCAATTTGTTGCAACGTCAAGGAGGCCAGACCTTGCTCATGTTCATCAACGACCACGAAGAGGCCTACCGCAAGTTGCAGCAACATAAAGTGGAGCTCCCAGCCTCTGTTCAAGGATGGCATCTACTCCGTCGCGCCGGGCTATCAAGAGAGCAACGACAGCTCATCACCTTGAAGGCACCTACCATGGAGAAGAATGAGGTGATTGAAGCGCTCTACTTGATCCTCGGACAGGATTACAAGGGCGGAGGATGGAATGTTGAGCGGAACCGCCGCTTTGGAATCCAGTCCCACTCCTGGAAGAACCACCGTGCCTATGTGGCCGACGACTATGACGAGGAGACCTACCAGGACGATGAACAGTGGGAACATGGATTCTATGAGGAGGATGACAGTTGGCTGGAAGAGGGTCACGCCTATGAGGCCTATGATGATGAGGGTCAGGACTTTGACTATGATGCAGGGTACTATGGTGAAGAAGAACCCTGGCCTGACAATGAAGAAGCGAACAGTCCCTCTCAAATGGCTGCCGCCTATGATTCCGCCTTTGCCTCCTACACGGATGCTCGAAGACGATTTCAAGAGCTGAAGACCTCCCGCGGCTATCTGCCCATCGTCGCACTGACGGACAGTGGAGGTGCACCTACATCGACGGCTACCGGATCCGGCTCTCCGTCTTCTTGGAGGACAAAAGGGAAAGGAAAAGGGACTGTGAAAGGTGGCAAATCGAAGTCAGTGAACCGACCTCCACCTGATCCCCGTGGCAGAGCAAAGGCCAACATGAACTGTCTTCGATGTGGACAAGCAGGGCATTGGGCTGCTAACTGCCCCCAGTCATCAAGTCCGACTTCACGAACTCCGGCAGTCAAACGACCAGCTTCTACCACCGAAGCGATGGCCATGTCCACACCACTGGAAGAGCAAGCTTTGTTGATCTTCCAGGACTCCGGCGGTGCTGAACGCCCTGACTGTGTCATGCTCGACCCTGGTGCTAGCGCCTTCTTGGCAGGCTATGGACCATTCCGAAGGTATCTGGATCACCTTCGTGCACTGGAGTTTCCGGTGGACACCATCAAGATGAGCAAAGGCCGGAGACGCTTTCAATTCGGAGGCGATGCTTCTATGTGGTCCGACTGGTCAGCCCACGCCCCGACCTTTGTGGACGGAAAGTATGGCACCATTGAGTTGTTCCTGCTACCGGGCAACACGCCTATGCTCTGTGGAAGGCCTATCATTGAGGCCTTGGGCATGACAATGGACTTCGCTCAAAAGCGCCTTCGCATCGGCAGTTCATCTTGGATGCCCGCAACTCTAGGCCGACAAGGTGAGTATCTATGGTCCCTCACCAACGAGTTCCTCAGTGTGAACTACGACCCTGAACGGCCTGAGTTTGTTCTCCGCACGAATGACCAAGGCATCGAGCAACATGACGGCTACCGTCTTCAGGACTTCATGACTGCCGAGCACGGCTTCACCACCTTCGAGCACCTCGATGAGACCAATGACACCAAGACCCGTCCACTGAGGAAGCAGGAGCTGAAGACAATGGATGTGCACCTCAGCACTCAGCTCAATGACCTCTCGGCCTACATCACCAGGGAACTTCATCAGCCTGAACGACCTCGCATTCTGTGGGAGGTCTACTGTGGAAAAGCCAGAACGGCACAGATGGCCGAGACTATGGGCATGGAGACTCGCTGTTTCTCCTATGAGACTGGCTGGGATTTTGAGCGCCTTGACCATCAAGAAGAGTTTCTCCGTCTTCTTGACGAAGAGAACCCCGACGAGCTTTTGATGGCACCGGAGTGCAAGCTATGGAGCAAGATGCAGTCTCTTGGACGTCGCACTCCAGCTCAGAAGGAAGCTCTTCGTGCAGCTCGCCACCACCACCACGACAGGCATTTGATATTCGTGCGACGTGGCTACCTGGCTCAGGTCTCTGGAGGTCGACATGCGACCATTGAGCAACCGAAGAACGCCCTCTCATGGCAGACCCGAGCTCTTCGTGATCTTCCTGGCCGACGAACAGACTTTTCTCAGTGCAGATATGGAGCTCAATGTCTGGACAACGATGGCATTTGGAAGCCAGTTCAGAAGAACACCTCCCTGTTGACGACCAAGCAGTCTGTGCAGGATGCTCTTCATCTTCAATGTCAGCACGATCATGAGCACTGCCCCTTGGAGGGCTATGCACCTGGATACGGGTCACGTACCAGGTATCTGGAAGAGTACCAGCCTGCATTGGCCGCCACTCTTGCTGCTGCCCTGTCCGTTGATGAGCCGCCGACCTACTGGGAAACTGGCCATGCGGCTGAGGACGAGCGAGAGACCACAAGCTCTCTCATCAAGCTTCGAAGTGAAACCAAGCAGGATGCCATCCGCACTGTGCAGCGACTGCATCGCAACTTGGGACATCCTGCACCCGCCGCCTTGGTTGAGCTTCTTGAGGCAAGAGGTGCATCAGATGCAATCCTCCAAGCCGCGAAGACCTATCGTTGCTTCGCTTGTGCGAAGTACAAGAAGCCTGCTCAGGCCGCACCAGCTGCTGTGCCCAAGAACACTCAGTTCAATGAGGTGCTCCAGGCCGATGTGATGTGGCTACGCCGTGGTTCTCAGAAATATGCTGTGATGAGCATGGTCGATTCAGCAACTCGCTTCACAGCAGCGGTTCTCGTCAACTCGGAGCACACTGAAAACTACATCAAGGCCCTTGAGCGAGCTTGGATTGCACACTATGGTGCGCCCGGTTCACTTCTCACAGATGAAGGTCGTGGATGGCTCAGCACTCAGATGGACGAATGGACGTCGGCTCACAACATCAACCACATCGTGGCTCCCGGCGAGGCCCATGAGCGCTTGGCATTGGTGGAGCGCCGCCATGCAGTCATCCGAAAGTCAGTTGAGGTGTACCTTGATGACATGAAAGTTGATGGCCCCGCTGGCATTCAGGAAGCACTATGCTACATCATCCCTCAGCTCAACAGCGCTCCTGGTGTAGCAGGGTTTTCTCCTGCTCAATGGGTCCTGGGCTACCAGCCCAGTCTGGCTGGTGACCTCCTCTCCGACTCGACTCAGCCAGTGCACTTTGGCGGCAATCAGACCTTTGAGGAAATGTTGACCAAGAGGCATGCTGCTCGCAAGGCACTGAATGATGCTGATGCAGATCGTCGCCTACGACGAGCTCTCAACCTCAAGTACAAGGGCACCAACTCGGAGTATGCCTTGGGTCAACAGGTCTGGTTCTGGAGGGATGCTCGACAGCCCGATCTCGTGAAGATCCGATGGTTGGGACCAGCACAAGTGGTCATGAAAGAGCGCCGCCCAGGCACTGATGAAGCTGAGGGCCCTGTGTCGGTCTACTGGTTAGCGTTCAAGTCACAGCTGATCAGGTGCGCACCACACCATGTTCGGGCAGATGTCAAGAGCTTGAACCATGCCATTGATGACACCCAGCTTGCCTTGAACACTGTGCGCCAGTTGAAGTCTCGAGGAGTCACCCGCTTCTATGACTTGAACAGGGTCAACCGGCAGAACCTGGCTGATGTGGAAGAGGATGAACATGGTCAAGGATCCTCCATCGACTCGGACTCCGAACGCGAGATGACACCACCACGGCAACGCCCTCGCCTCATGCTGGACTCACAGCCCACAGTGACTACCAACTCAGCGGAAGCTGCACCACAGACTGAGGCGACAGCACCACCCACAGTGACTACCAACTCAGCAGAAGCTGCATCCAGCCAAGCCGTGGCACCAGCTGCTCAGGGACCAGGCCCTGAGGCAGAGGCACCCATGTCTCCGCCTCCGGTACCAGGTGACACCGATGGATGGTCCGAACCCAGCCAGGAGCCAAGTGAAGAGCCTCCAATTCGAACCACAAGACCGCATACGCCCAGTGCTCAGCAGAGGCCAACACTCGACCCCGCTACAGCTGAACTCTATGAGCCTGCACCGACCGAGACGTTTCAACAACAGAGACTCCGGTTCAACCGCCAAGAGACTCTGAGCTTTGCCCCCTTCAGACATCGCAGGACACATGGAGCAAATCCATACCCGGAGTCAATGCCTACGGCAGATCAACCTGCTTCACCACAGCAACCACCAGAGCAGCTAGCAGGTCAAGGCTTCTACCTCGAGAACCTCGACACTGCATCATTGCCGCATGGGTGGCACATGGATGAACAGGGATACCTCCAGCTGGATGATCGTGTCACAGACTACTGGGAATTGAAGGCTGGCTGCCTGATTCGCCATCACCTGATCCCTCGCCGTGGACGGATGCACATTGACCAGCTCCCCAAAGACTGTCCAGTCTCAGTGGAACAGCTTGACAAGTTGAAGATCACCCTCGTGCATCAACATGATGGCCGGAGCCGTCTTCATACCGATGATGGCACTGTGACCACTCCACCTGAAGGCACCACTGGCACCTGGACAGGCACCACCGTCTTTCAGCTCACAGGTGAGACTCGCAAAGAGATGGCCATGTACACCGGCACCCACTTGGTCCGCAACAGTGCACGACAGGTTGCAAAGGAACAGAAGAAAGTGCACACCAAGAAAGTGAAGAAGGACAAGGGTGGGGTGAATGAAAGGCTACTAGGCCCTCATGAGCGTGCTCTCTTCAAAGAAGCAAAGGTCAAGGAACTTCGATCCTTCTTTGACCACGGAGTCTGGGCCTTCCAAACGACTGCAGATGCTGACGAAGCACGAACTCTGACCTCGAGGATCCTGCTCAAATGGTCGAAGAATGAAGATGGCAGTCCCCGTGCCAAAGCCCGGCTCATCGTTCGAGGGTTCAATGACCCAGATGCTCTTTCTGGCGCCATCACCACCTCATCGCCAACAACGACAAGACTGTCGAGATCGATGGTGTTGTCACTTGCAGCCAATATGCATTGGCCAACTTGGACCGCTGATGTGAGCACAGCTTTCTTGCAGGGTCGCCCACAGACTCGCAAGCTATGGGTCAAACTTCCTGCAGAAGCACTACAATTGCTGGGCGCCTCTGAAGACACAAGGATGCTCTTGTTGAAGCCGTGCTACGGTCAGACAGACGCTCCCAGAGGCTGGTATCTGGAAGCTGTGGACCGCTTGCTGCGAGCAGGCCTTCGTCAGCACCCACTGGATCCGTGCGCTTTCCTGATCTATGAGAGGGATGATCCCGACTACGATGAGCACAATCCCATTCACCAGGAAACCGCCACGTTGGGAACTGAGAAGCTTTGCGGCATGGTGATTATGCATGTCGACGACATGCTGGGCGCTGGCTGTCCTCGATCCCCTCGATACAAAGCAGTCACCGATATGCTTCGAGCCAACTTCTCATTCCGAGAATGGAAAGAAGACCTGCCAAAGCTCGAGTACTGCGGATGCGAACTTGAAAAGACCGAAGAAGGTGGTCGCCGCCTCCATCAGGAGAGCTACTATGCCAAGGTGAAGCCCATCACACTTCACAAAGGACGCGATCCTCATGACCAGCTGTCAGAGAAAGAGGTCACTCAAGTTCGTGGTGTGCTTGGCTCTTTGCAATGGCCTGCAGTACAAACAGCACCACATCTCCAGTGCTCGACGTCAATGCTGTCAGGACAAATCACCAAGGCCACTGTGAACACAGTCCTGGAGTGCAACAAGCTGCTGAGGTTCGCCAAAGAACATAACGATGTCAGCCTCCACTACAACCCGATCGGACACCCGTCCGAATTACAGCTGCTGCGTTTCTTCGATGCTGGCTTCACGGCACGATCCGACGGCTGTTCACAGGGCGGCTACATCCTGATGTTTGTCAACCGCCAGTTGCTTACCTCCGGAGAAGATGGTGAGTATCATGTCTTGGACTGGCGCAGCTTTCGCACTCCTCGGGTCACCCGGAGCTCACTGGCAGCTGAGGCCCAAGCAGGTGGTCAAGCGGTCGATAGCGTTGACTTCACCTGCAGGTACTGGCACTACATCATGAACCCCGACCTCAAGCTCAAAGATCTGCTGAAGGCGTCTTCAACCCTGACGCCAATCATGATCACTGACGCCAAAGCTTTGTATGACTCCTATCACAGGGAGGGAGTCAGCTCGTCAGTGGTGGACAAGAGAGTGAGCCTCGAAATCCGAGTCATGAAGGAGATGCTGGAGGAGCTCAATGGTCAGCTTCGATGGATGAGTTCAGAAAGACAAATAGCTGACGGACTCACCAAGGAGTCGGCTCGTGTCTTGTTAGCTGCTCGCCTACGGCATCGACGTGTGAAGTTGACTTGGGATCCAAACTATGTGGCTTCTAAGAAGAAGACGAAGAATGAAAAGGCAAAAGCCATAGCAGAGACAACGTTCGACTTCCAGACGGAACACTATGAGCCTGAGGAAAATCAGGACCCTGTCGAGGAGCACACTCCACCGAATGCCGATGTCTCTGAATACCCCGAGATCCTTGAAGATGATGGCATGCCAACGAATGAAGAGGTTCCTGCCACCGCCTACTTCTCAAAGACCATGGAAGCTGTGACCTATGTGTACGCCATGAGCCATGGCGGCTGCCCCATGAAGAATGTCAAGAAAAGTCGCAAGCCGAATGCTATGTGGCTGATGCTGCTGCTTTCCATGCTGGTGCTGGCTAAGGGTCAGCAATGTGAGAAGGGTGAGGAGCCAGAGAATCAAGAGGAAGGTCATTTGCTGATGTGGTTGGCCATCCTGGCTCTAATGCACGTGACCATCATGGCAGGCGTCTTCTTTGCTGGACGCTGGAGCTGCCACAAGGACACCAAGGATAAGCCCCTGATGAAAGAAGTACAAGTTCAGAAGGACGAACCAATCGTCCATGCCCGACTTCGAGACCTCCTCCAACAAGAAAAGACAAGATCTGAAGAAGCACTCCGAGCGGCCAGGGAATCCCGATCTGCCTTCAACCTGCAGATCGATGAGGTTCAAGATTTGCGAAATGAGGTGCTAAGCCTTCGCAACATGGTCGTCCAAGGGCACAGCTTGATCAGCCGGTCAATCTGGGAGATGGATCACCACACCTCCATGTGCCCCTTTGCGAGGCCCATCGTCACCAACCGGACTGCAACTTGCTGGCATCACGAGACCTGCCACATGGTTGAGCAGATGAATGAGCCCCTGCTGATCCGGAGGGCCTGCGCCTACTGCGCCATGCACCGTCCTCCACCCGACCGGACGGATGCCCAGGCGAGGACGATCCGAACCGACTTGAATGCCTGGCTGACGAACGCTGCTTTGTGGCTGCCAACTGAGGCCTAAAAGGCTAAAGAACAGCCCTGTGTAAGTTGCACGCTGTGCAACATGCTGTGCAGTGTGTTTTTCACTTTTCATGAGTCACGACATGTCGTCGCGACCGTCTTTCGATCACGACTTGATCACCCACTCCACCGACAGAGGGTGGGCTCGAACCGCCAAAAGAGGCACGGGTGCGCGCTTCGTTTTGCGCTTGCGTCGCGACTCGTCGCTTCGCCTTGTTTCCCCTTGGTTGTGGACCTCGTGCGCTACAACGACAATTCGACACCTACACAAGAACTGCTCACCACCACATTGCTACGAATCAACCGGGCCATTCATGGTGCTTCTAAGCATCAACTGAGTGAGTTGTTTCATGGGTGATTCTTGTCATTACGACCCTCGGATGAGGGAACCGGACCAATTACGAGCTCCTATCCGGTGCTCTTCCGATGCTTGGCACGAGGTGCCGGGGGAGATGGCTATAATTAAGGGATCTAGAATCCATCTTCCTTGAGATTCGACCCTGTATGTCATCATGTATCATCGATATGGATTGAATATGGAACCTCATTTCGAATCATTTTCAGAAGGCTCTTGACGAAGGCTCTGTCGATGATCAAGAATGGTGCCGATGACTGATCTAGGCTCTACATGGCTCTACCGGTTCGCAGGACTGCGGCGGGGGCACGCCGCTGCGGCGGCCTCGAGGAAGCTGGATTTGGGCAAGACATAGGCGGAATAGCAATGAGGCGCCTTGCATCGACACCGGATCCGGCACTTTCACGCAGCTGTGTTGCTTCTTTCGGGTCGCCCACATCGTGGGAGACCCCGTGGACAGCATTGTCCAAGTATACATCCGGGGAGTTGTCGGGGTCTGCTGTTGAACACTTCGAGAACACATTGAACACTTCGTCCACATTATGGCCCGAGATGGTGTTTTTCCTGCGGACTCGACCGTCTTCTTCGGGGGATATCTGCCGTCCTCGCTCCTTTTTCATCCTGCACTGCGGAAACCATATGTTCTATGTTCTATATATGAGAGGTTGGGAATTCAGGGATCTCTTGGTCTTTGAGGTCGGGAATTGATCTCTCCTTTCGGTCCGAGAAGTCCCACGTTGCACGACCAAAGAGAACAACAGCAAAAGCATTGGTTTTGGTCCAAAGTGTGGATGAAAAAAACAATTAGAAAAGCAAAGACGACCTGTATAATGTTCTTTTTATTTTTTAAATCTCTTTGTCTAGTGACTCTTAGTTCTTATTTCGAGGTGCTTGACCTTTTCAACAGTACCAAAGATTGGTCTTCTTCGTTCTGTCAGACGACCAACTTGGACATCAACGATTGCTTCGCCGCACGTCGACGATCCAATGGAGGTCGGTCGTGGTCAGTGCCTTGAAGAGGAGTAACAAGGTCACCAAGGAGACAAACAGCACTGCCTCGCGCTGTTTGCCCGGGCTTCGGCCATGGAACAACTAGCAAACACATCATATATAGTGCTTGATGTTTTTGTGATCGGTGATGATTGGTGCTGCGGCACAGGTCACAGGCAAGCTTCACGCATCTTGGCTGCAATCACTGAATCTAAAGGAAGGAAGCAAAAGCAAGGAGTTGCTCCTCATGCTGGCTACGCTCCCTCACAAGATTACTAACCTTGACTAGTAAAACAGGGAAAACCAAAAGAAAGTCATGCAAAATCGAAAGCAGTTGGCCTGCTTATTGATTATGTCCCATCCCTGGTAGCTGCAGGTAACCTCGCAAAACACGAGGAACTCGTGTGGCTCAAATGACGATTATTCATCCTGACTATGACATACTATGACTATGTTGACTTGTGAACATCTATGAGTCTATGATAATGTACACATGATCCAAGACACATGGATGGCATGGATCGTTTCGAAGCACACCCCACTTGCTTGACATCATTCAGCTTGAGATTCATGCCCACCTACTGACCCACATGTTCTGTTTCTACAGTGTTTCTGGCGAGCCAGATCATTATAGCATGCAATCATAGCCGTAGCAAACCAACTTGGGCTCCGGCCGAAAGCCACGCAATGCCTTTCAAGGATCATCTTTCTCACTTGTCTGGACTGTCCAAAACAAAAGTTGTGGGTATGGGTGCAAACCCAAATACGGGCCCTGGATTTTGCGCAAAGGATACGTTCAAGGACGGAAATTGGCTACATCTGGCCACAGTCGAACAAACACAATCTCGTCTGAGGATCAAAGAGGAAAAATGTCGCTTCAAAGCCTGAGGGACATTACCCTCCTCACAAAACTGGATCCCTTTGAAGACTTCGTCGACAGAGGGATACACGTGCCGTGTAAGCTTTCATGAACCATCAACCATCGATTCGTAAGCCACTGGGGTGAAGAACAATTGATCATATAATGTAGACTCTTGATGATATTTCAACACCCCCCACGTGAAGAGGCTTTACAATGTCTGGGAGGGTGCTAAAAACAACTCAAGAGTTTAGATATGTTAAAACATGTTAAAACAAGAGTTTACATATGTTTACATCAAAAATCGTTTCACCATGTTTCACCCGATAGTTTCACCATGTTTCACCATACACAACAGCTCCCAACAGCTCCATCCCTTCCCTGCGGGGTGTTCGCACCTGCGCGGAAGCTTTCCAGCATTCCGATGCGCTTGGCTGCGATCTGGAAGCCACCTGAGAAGTCCTGCCGGTGAAGCAAAACCCCTTCTCTCCAGCAACACAGACCCACAACCTCCAACATCAAAGGCCTGAAGGAATCTGGGTGCTAAAATGAAGGTATCCCAAGTGAATGAAGAATATGTTCAGGAGGCATGCGGTGATGTGCAAATGTGAGTGTCTCACACAATGGGATCATGGTAGGTGTGGACCCAGCAAATACCCTGGGGAATTGCAATCGTGGCATGTCTTAACAACCGCTTGACTCGGCGCTTGATTTCACTCGTACGATTCCAACATCCATTAGGACCTATAGGATCTTCCCGTAGGGCTCCTGTCCCACATCATCAGGTGCTTACCCTTGTGGGTTTGGCGGGTCGAACTGCCGAGGTGGGGATGTGGGACAGAAGCCTTAGGATCTTCAAACATGCATACGAAGAATCCAACTGCCTATTAGACATGTTCGCTCCCTTCGACTGAAAGAGCCTTAGGATCTTCAAGCTTGAAGAGGCGAACGAAGAGGCGAACGAAGAGTCGCACCCGTCATCCGGCAGAAGCTTGATACACGGAGAAGAAACTCATGAGTCGAACGAGTGTTTTACAGTGCATATCTGCATGTCATCATAGACGTCGATTGGAGGAGGCACACGAGTGCGGAACATGGCCCACGTTTTTTGTCTTCAACTCAAATCGAACAACCAGCAATCACACCAACATTGCAATGGATCAGCACAGTTTTCTATCACACGGTCGCAGTCCTCGTTAAAGTTCCAAATGATGAACAGCAAGCGGGATGCGCTTTGGATGCCGCAAATGAACAGGTATGCCATGATCTCAGTCCATTCTATCTCCCCAAAGAGTATTCATGCAAGATGTGATGCTTGAGATTCAGCTCAATTCACCAGAGCAAGAAATTGGAAGCTTACCTACATTCAGCAGGACTCTTGCTCCACACATTTGAACTAGTTCAACAATTATAACTAATTACATAAGTTAAATGACGGCACCTACAGGTCCAGAAGTTCTGAGTGCCCCTACAGGTCCATCTGAAGTGAAGAGGCTCTCTTGCCTGAGTGCAGCCGCAGCCAAGCGAGTCAAGTTTTGAAAGCTCCAACCTCCTCGACTCCTCAAGAATGGGCACTTAACACATCAGCATCATGTGCGGTGGAAAGATATGATCCCAGGATAAAAAAATAAGCCGGATCCTGTACGTGCAATGGCTGAATACAACCCGCATGCCCTTTGGCTTGTCCAGCTACACGGGTGTTTGATGGTGTTTAATACTTGTTTCCAGCAGCAAGAATGAAACTGGACAGAAGTCCAGAATGCAAAATGACTGTAAATGATTGTACATGCAATTAAAGTCACTGTATGTGGAGAACGAATGCGAATTACATCGAATTACCTTATTTCAAGCGCCTAATTTGAAACACATTCTGGCAACGGCGCTGTGAAAGATCCAGCTTCACAACCAATTCCGATGGCCGAATTGTAATGACCTCCAACCTAGAAGCAATAGCCTCCAACCTAATTGTACTGTGTTTTTTGACCCTGAAATCGGGCACTGCGGTCGAAAACGCTGTATACCTGCCATCCTACGCCTACGTCGACGTTGACCCCCCGAAAAAAAAATATGTTGGCACACCCTTCACTGCTACTTACTACGTCACGCCTGCGTTTCCCGGTCATCGGTGCTCGGGTGATGAAACATCCCAGACACTCCATGGCACTGGCATATATGCCTACATGGACCCCCCAAAACCACCCCAGCTGATCGGCATATATGGCAGTCCCATGGAGTGTCTGGGCATACAAACACACGGACACACGACACACACTCCAAACTGATGCTACACCTGCAAAATCCTGCAAATGAGGGGGATTTGAATGGATCTGAGGCTTGACCCACGTTCACAATCATGAATCCATATGAATCCTCAATTTGTTCACAAACACTTTCTCCAACGGGATGCATGGAGGGCAGAAGACCCAAGAAGAGCATCGACATCACCTGCGCCATGCCGAAAAACGCGGCACATGGTCTTCTTATACTTATAGTCCAGTCGTGGGGTGAAATCGATTGATTTTTAGATCTTAGAAGAAAAAAACCAACTGCGATGTTTCAACCAGATCTTAATGGATTACTCACTTGCACCAGACTGGGATCTGGTGGCTCGTCCCCCGGAGGGTGACCTTCAAGAGCCACCAAAAGTCAGTCGGGCCGGTCGTGTCGGGTCTTCCCAACAGTTTCATGCCGTGTCTTCGTCCAGGACGTCCAGGACATCCAGGACATGGCTGACCCATCCTTTTTCGGTGAAAACGACATGGACACGGGAGAAAACCATGGGTCAATTCCCATTTAAAATTCAGGGTCGAACACGAAGCACCGGTGGATGTGACTGGATTGACCCCGAAACCCGAAAACGAAGCACACCGGTGGTTTTTGCGAGTTTTCAGGCTGCTGAAGACCACTTTTCTGTCTTTACAATGATGGGAGACTGATAAATAACTTTAACACAAATATAATACACATCCTCCAAAAAGGCATTGGACGCTTTGCAACTCAACAGTCCATAGTGCCGACTTTTCTCTTCTTCGCCATGTCTACGCATGTCTATGACTTGCAGGGCGTGACCTCAACGGTTGAACTTCGGTCCGCGCGTTGCGCACTGCAGGTGAAAATTGGGTGCCGCTGAGTCCACGTGGCAACTCAAGGCGAGTTAGACGCAAGTCGAAAACCATCGAAAACGGAAAGCATGTCCAGCTGGAAGCTTCAGGCTCCAAAGAGCCCCTGAATTTCTAGTTTTGTAGATCAAGGCGGGGCTTGATGTGGGAAAACAGAATGCCAATGTTCGGCTGTTTGTCTCATTGACTCATTAGTTGTTTCCAATGTCCAGCTTGCAAAGCCCGAACCATCTTCCAAGTTCTGAAGTCTGCTGCCAGCGGACACCTGTTCCAGGCTGTTCCAGGAAAAAACATCGATGCCTGTCCCTGACCACAAAGTCGGACGTTTTGATATGGGTGAGTCAGTTGCCATGTTCCCAAATCCAAAGTCATTCACCTCTTTTGATTGCGCCCGACTCTTACAGCCTCTGAAATCCGTGGTGTTCTTTGTTGCAGACGAAATGGGTGATCCTGCATCCAAAGGGCTTGATCCCAAGCTATCACTTGAGGCCTGTGCTGTCAGGCGTTCTTCTTGTCAATCTGTTCCCACAATTGCTGACCTACTGTTACAAAGAAATGAAACGATTGTACTGTAGTCGAACAATTAAAAGGGTTTGAAAGGCTCGCAACGAAAGAGGAAAAACACTAAACGGATTGCCATCGTTGGGATTGATTCCCCTCAGCAAGCTTTTTGGTTTGAAGAACTCAGTATCCGTTGTTTGCCATGATCATGATATGCTGATATGCTGAATTATGGTTTGGTTGGTTTTGGTCCGACGGTCTCAAGGATTCAAAGACCGATCCTGTACTGCACCTGGGGATGGATCTTGCTCTCCATCACCATTTTCGCATGAATGGCCACCAGCCATGAAAGCCCGACATCGGAACGTACCACGGTCAAATGTCTTCGAGGCAAGCGCGGTGATTGGGAGAGGCTCTTCATGCAATGATCAAAACAACACAAAATGTGCCATTCTGCAAGGATAGTTGTTCCCCCTTACTGCATGACCACGATCAAGCACGGGCTCTGCAAAGGGTTTCCCAGTATAGAACACTGCACGATGGACTGGGAGCAAGTGAGCCCAAGTGCACAGGCTTCTGATGACAACCTTGATGCAATGAAGAGCTCTCAAACATGCATGCCAGGAAAACGGTGCATTAGTATTAATTGGTAGTAGTGTGTCGGTTGCTGGTTGCCAAAGCAAAAACAATTCGCTTCTCTTTCTTGCTAGAGTCAAAATTGGAGGAAACTCCCCCATTGGAATCGGCTTCTCCTGGGCCGATAATTTCATAGGTCGGCACACCTCCAACGGATGGAACATGGGAACACAATGCGATATGAGGTCCCAGTGTTACATTTCATGCCTTGACGTGCACCTCATGTTTGCTTGCAACATCCTCTGGAACCAAGTCTCGAACAGTATCTTTAGGAGCCAACCAGGTAGCCTGACATTTAAAGTTAAAGTATCTGCAGACCTGTGGGGACCAATTGGATCAAACAAGCAATCCTTGTCTGCGGGATCGTTTTGCACCCACCACCCCACAAGCACCTCAGAAACGATCCCAAGAAGGCGCCAATGAAGGCGCCTTATAGTCCACATTCATGCAAAATCATGATTGGGATGAAACATGATCAAGGTCTGAGGATGATGTTAATCATCAAGCGTGAACAAACCCTGATCCCAACGACTGTGGCATGGAAAAACACAGCAACACGTTTTCTATCGTTTTCTCCGGGATATCCTCATACCAGTTCTCTTCCTTTGATCCAATCTCTTGAGGTGAAAAGGATCGATCCCAAATCCTCTTCGATCCACCGAAGGCTCGGTGCGCCCCCCAGAAATCATCGACACCGTCAACACCAACCGTCGACCGACAGAACGAGAAAAACCCGGGGTTCCCGCGCGGAAAACTGCTAAGGTAGTCGGAATGCTGTGGTGCATGTTTAGGTACTGACAAGGAGGACCAGAAGTTTGGATGGTCCAGGAAAAAGCCCCCAAGATGTCTCCCCCAAAGATGGCTCTCCCAAGATAGATGGCTCCCCAAAAATGGTCAAGAGAGAGAGGGCGCTCGGATGGAGTTCGGGAGGTTGTTGGCAAAGCTCTTTTCAGGTTCATCAGGTTCATCCATGAAGGGTCGACCTTGAATTTAAGATGCACTTTGCACTTTGCACAAAAATGTACAAGAAAGCCAAATCCATCCGTGCACCGGATGATCTAAGCTGTGGAATCAAGCCAAGCACTCATCTTCATGGAGCTTCACATATTTCAGCTGGTCAATAGACAGTGCTCCATACCTTTTGAAGGCGGACAAGGGGATGATGTACTTCTGCATTTCGACCAGCGGGCTTCCTCAAGCATAGCACATGTGAGTCTGAGCATGTTGGTTAGTTCGTTTAGTCCCCAACCTGTTGATTATTTTTGCTTGTATGGCACGTTATTGGTTGCAAACAAAAAACACGATATCCACTTGCTGTCAGTGCAAGTCGGTCCCCAATATCTTATGAGTCGAGCCTAAAGGTGTGAATGGTTGCTCCCATGGAAGAAGTCCATTTCACTCCATTCTGAAGAACATGGTCAGAATTGCTTCACCCATTGATGTTGCAGAAATCGCATCCCAAATCTGGCCCCGAACAAGCGAAGAAGAACATCATCTAAACGACCATACCTGCCATAGTGTCTCGAACATCCCTCTCTGCAAGCCTTGAAATTGTTGGTGGCTCCTGGAGGAGCCTGCGTCTAACTAACACACTGCAAACAAACCTTGCGATCCACCCAACAAGCATGAAAGTAGGACACACCCCCGATTTTGAGGTGCGATATATATATATATGGATCGCAAGTGCGATTATGTGTCGTGGGGTCATTATCCATCATTTCTGAAAGTCATGGATATCACATGTGCATCTTCGATCTATCTGAATCTAGCCAGAGGCTACCGAGCTACCTGTGTATATATTATATATATATATCACTTGACCAAATAGGTGAAGAATTGTTTGAGAAGACAATCTCTTCTGATTTCACATCAAACCACAGAGAAGATCGAGCGCCGGCCTATCGCTCAATGTTGCAATAATCTTGTTGCAAACACAGCGATGTCAACAACCCATCTGTCGTTGATGTTGATCCATGAACACCAGCTCTTGGGTGGGGCGCCTGCTACTGTGGCGTCATTATTGGTTACATCATGTTACATCAAACAAAAAACATCAACTAAATAAACAATAAAACACATCTAGTAGAATTAAGAGATCTTCGGACCACCCGAATGTCGAACTGCGGCAAAGTTTCGTGACTGAGTAAAGTCAGCATCATCGCATTCATGACCAGTTCGTGCCGTGCCAGGTGGGTATCGCCAGATTAGCGCCTTATCGCACAGACGTGGGACAGAAGACTATGGCCGTTGTAGACACAGGAACTGAAAAACTGCACTGGTCACCTTTGTGTTGAACTTAAGGCGTTTTTGCAGCAAAAAAACATGTAAAAAACCTTTGATGGTCACCTGGTCCTTTTGAAAAAGAAAACCATGTAAAAATGGTAGATCATCCCTTCACTCCGAAGGCCCCTTATACATCCAACGCAGAAACCGTTCGAAACCCTTCACCGTGTCACGGCTCCCCGTCGTGCGGGCGCGGTCAGTTCGGTCCCACGCAGCAGTGGAACGGGCGAGTCGTAAAACGGTCGAGTCGTCTGACTGAAAGTCATATGAAGCAACATGACATCTTCATGTGACTATTCTGAGACTACTTCCTTGATATAGTATATATATATATGAGACAACCATATATATATATATAAAGTATATTTCGGATGCATAATTGGACACTCAGAAACCAATGAGCCAGTTTCAGTTCCTTGACCACTTGACTTCTAGCCCTGGTACCCTCCAGCTTTGGCCAGGGACCAATTGAAGCGCCGCCAATGGAAGACCACAAAGGTTGGGCAAAATAATGGGCACGTCGCGGTGTTCTAGGCCAATGCCAAGCCACAAAAGGCTACCTTGATGTTGGGCTGCGCTTGGAGTTTCCAAATGAGTTCGTGGTGTAGACTGTAGAGCCCAAACAAGCTGATACTTACTTGGATTGTGTGTGTGCATGAAGCAATTAGAAAGAACAGCACTGTAGGGGTCAGTCCGTACCTTTGAAGCGTTTCAAGGTCGTTTTTTGGTGCATTTTGGCAGGTGCCCAACCCTGCAGACTGCTTCTTTTTAAAGGAATGGCGGCCCGAAGACTGACTGCCTCAGTTTCAGTGGAAAATGAGGGTAACTCTTTTCCATCTCTGCAAATCTAGTGGGAAACTCATCCACAAGAAGGGTTAAAATGGGTTAAAGGTTATTCACTCACTGGGTAGGAAGGGCCCGATGCAGAACGCATTCGGTCCACGGCACAGGACCAAGGGCATCGCGGCCGAGGTCCACGTGCCACCGTGCCGCCAGTTTTTGGCCAACAACGGGCCACTGCGCGTGTTGCATACGAAGGTTCTCAGGTGTAAAGGCCCTGTGTGTTTCAAGTTTCAACACATGTGCCATGGTACTTCTGTGATGGTCATGATACCCTTACCAAGGCCTGTAATGGCGGAGTTGGAAGCAATCCACATACAGAAGGCTAAACACATCTCCTTTGTAAAGGTTTAAGACATGAAGCGCAAGCAGTTTAACACATGAAGGTCGACAACCGCAGGCAGGCCGAAACACAGACTGCATTGAAAGTGCCAGTTTTGGACATCCATGTCCAAGAGTATGGTGGACAAGTGTGTGTGCATCATGTATATATATATATATGTGTATATATATAGACAAAGCACCTAGTACGCAAGAACCTTTTTCACTGCTTTTGGTTAAAAGCCGTACCAAACAAGTTGGATACCAACAATTACCAGCAAACATGTTTTGTTTGTGCTTGGCTGCAAAAGAAGCATAACACGCATTGCAAGGGAGGCAGTTTCCTTGAGCTTCGCTCCATGACCACCTGCTTGATCACTGAGAGCGGAGCTCCATACATGAGGACATTCACCTCAGTGTCCAGGCCATCTCGACGGGGAGATGTAAGCAGGCGGGGAGGTGTGCCACGACAGTCATATCGACTCTTGATTCGATGTCAAGCCACCCTTGTTGTGAAAAGGTTTTACAATCCAAACGGGAGGCCGTACCCGCCACAAAACGTGGCAAGGGATGGCCTATAGAAGCGACACGGACGAAGCAAAGTAGGGCGTGCATCCAAACAGGAGGGTTTTGTTAATCACGAGTCGACATGATAAGCTTTGTGCACAAAGATGTTTTGAGTTTTGTATCATCTGCAGGCGGGGTCACTGCCCCCCCAACCCCTGTGACATTAGCCTTGAGGCTCCTCTTCCCACCGGGCGGGGCACCGCATTCGAGGGCAAACCGTCCAACATCTTAGTACTGGATGCATGCGAGATGTCTGAAAACCTGTTTTGGAACAGAGGCAAAAGAGTGAACAAACGAAGAGTGGATAATTAATCCACATATCAACACAGTTAAAAACAAACGAACCTGGAAAGAGGGGAGTTCTATGGAGTTCTTTTTCAACTTACATGATAACTGACTGTACTGACATCTGTCTCGAGCAAAAGGGAACCGCAAGGTGTCTTGCACATTTGACTGCACCACACTGCTAGGGCGGCGAACGGGCAACACGCGGCGGCGCGTGTTGAAGGTGTGACGGATTGGCCCAGGCACGACCATCGCTAAATAGCCAATCTTCTGCGCATGTTCATGCGAAGAGGCTGCCTGAAGAGATCCGGATGAGGCATTCCCAGGTGTTGCGCAAATCAATGTCCAGATCAAGAAGTATGGATCTGAGAAGGATACATTGGTTTGAGTTGGACTGTTTGGCATCTTGCCATGCATTATCAAGAATGCAAACCAAGGCACATAGAGAAAGCAGGACAAGGAGAAAAGAACTGTCCCGAGAGTGCCTGGACAATGTGGCGAGACCGCCGAGGCCAACTATGTCAACATGCCATTGGCTTGATAAATCAATCTATGTTACTGTATATTACTATACTCCAAGATACTCCAAATATTCTCGCAATTTCTTGCACTATCTGACATAAAATCAAATGATATCCCAGGGAATCCTTCCAGCGTCCAATCGACACGATCATCGCAACATATCCTGCTTGGAAATGATAGGACGTTATGGATTTAGCCAACTCTACTTGGAAAGCTTGTGTCTGGCGAAAGCCTCTGGCCTCTGAGTGTATCTGCTGAACACTTTGAACTTGTCTGACCATTTCAGCTTCTGAAGCCGGTAGAGTCAGGCGAATGTTTTAAGTGCCCCTAGGGCTCCAAGTACGTTGTGAGAAGGTGTTTGGGGTTGGTTTAGAGGGTCCAAATACCTTCTGAGGCGGTCTTTGAGGTTGTGTCAAGCGGATTTAGAGGGTGCCTGCCTAGCTTCGGAAAGCCTAGTTGGATCCAAAGAACTAGTACACGAACATGTGGTTTCTTCCTGTGGGTGCTCGCCCTGCTTCCCCACGTCTGGATATCTTCGGATCATTTCAGAATGGAGTCCAATCAATGGCTGCTTGGTGGTTGAGTCGAAGGACTCCAAACGGTTGAAGCAAACTAGTAACAACAAGCTACTAGTAACAAGGCAAACGTTGCCAGGACCAAGCGCCGCTCCACACGCCGATCCCCCAAGCGAAAAGCTCCACTAGAGCTGGCGCCGCTGGGTCTCGAGACACCTCTGCGAGCTGCCGCGCCCCAGTTGGACATCGAGTGGGATACTTCTCCTCCGGCATAGTACCAGCCTCGAGTAGTTCATCCAGGTTCGGTTCAAGAGGTGGGACGAGACTGGGAACGGACGGATGATGGTGGATGCACGACTGGGCGACGATGATGGTGGTTGGAGCAGGTTTATCCTCCGGAGCATCATGTGAGATCATGGAGAAGAACACGCATGGAATGCTGTCCTGCCGCCAAAGGCAGGTCTTGAGATGGACCCACGCTACACCACTAAGAAGTCTTAGCACTTGAAAGGAAACAAAGGTCTTGAGATGTTCAAGAGAAGGACTTAGCCGTTGCTGTTTTAGATCCCAGGATCCAACCATCGACGACGACCAGCTGAGACATGGACTCGCCGCGACAACCAAGCTCAAGTGACTGGTCATCGAGTTGTGACTGGTGAATCAAAACGAATTACATGCCGCAAATTCCAGTCATCATACAATACTGTACGTACGTGGAATATTCGTATACTAACATCAAATTGCTGTCCAAGATCTGACCAACTCCCAGTCAAACTAATACCCGTCTCTTGAACACACACGAGATAACATGATGCCAAGATGTGCCAAGTACTCCCTATTTCGATCCCATAAACGTCACTATCAATTCTGCATACCCATACCCTCAACGCGCCGCCCGAAACGGAACCAACGGACGAATCAGCATCGATGGGCTGAGGTGACCAAGAAACCGACCAAAGGGTCGTCCCATCAGGCTCATCCGGGCTCGTCCGACCAAGACCTACCATATATAACAGTGTTCAATGTTTATATACTTCGATCCTTTGTGTAGACTAGTCTGAAACCAAATACATTCAAATACCTTCTATTCTCAGGCAAACCCCACCAGTTTGTCGGCGAGAAGCAAATAGACAAATAGTAGCAACAAGCCGACAGTCCAAAGACATTGCAAAGCACCGCAGGTGGAAGAGGCAAGAAAAGTCCGTAGCAAAGCCATAGAGCACCTGGGCAAAGAAAACACCCGGGACATCCTCAAGTCGGCACCATTGAAAAATCTAATTGGTCCGGACTTTGACGCGCACCAGTCGGTTCCTGGTGCTTCTTTCTGCGTACGAAAGAAACCAATCCGGAAAGCCCTGTCTCTCGTTCGTTCTTCCGTCCAAGCACTTCCCTGAGGGTCACGTCTCAGGGAATTGGTCACAAAGTGAAGGGGGTCCCCGGGTCCCCCTTTGGAATCAATTGCACCGTAAGCAATTAGAAAATACACCATGTCCATGAAACTGGAGGATGTCAAGCCAAGAGATTTTTTTCCTTCCAGGTTGTACAGGATGTTTTTTTCCATCAGTGACAACACAAAATTCCATCCCTCTTCGCCTGGTGGAAATTTAAAGAGTTTCACCATGAAGAGGGTGAAAACCAACCTGAGACATTGAAAAAAGGCTCCCACGAGTCTGGCACACTGAACTCACTGAGCAAACGGATTAGAAAAACAAATCAAAAAACACGCACACAACGCATCCAACATGGCAACACAAGAAAAACAGCACGAAAAGAAACGATAAGAAACGTCCACGTCATCCAACATGGTGGCGCTTTTCGGCGTCAGGCGCTGTTGGAAGACATGGCAAGGAGATTCCAAGGATTCCTTGGCCAAGGATGCCGAGAAAAACGGACAGGCTGCGAGGAAGAAGTTGCCTGTTGCTTTAACAAACGCACAATCAAACCCAATTTAATGTTATTAATTGTTCTATTTTCTCGATCTTTGATCTTTGGGGATCTTTCTTCAACAAAAAGTAAGGCAACTCACTTGCACTGCATATCTTTGAGGCTGCTGCTTCAAGAACTGGAAGCAAACTGAAAACGTCCGCTTTCAAAGATGTTCGAAAAAGGGGCGTTGATTGGAAGCTGATTCTAAACATGTTTGTTGCACAAATTAAACACCACTATAATTCGGTTTAGGAAGGGATTGAATAAATGATCTCACTTGGAAACCACTTACAAAAGAACATCACTATTCAATTGCAAATGAAATCAAATAATTTCAACTAGAGGAAACATTGAAATCCAATAAATAATGTGGTTTTTGAAGTGCACGTAAGTGCGCATGAACCCTCAACAGTGTGACTTACTTTTTGACTGGTTTCTTGAAAGTTGTTATACGAGGAAATAAAATGACAACTGACTGCAAGGGTTGCAGTTGGACACCAATCAAACATCAATATGTTTCATTGCTTTCGACGTGTTACCAATGAATTGTGAATTGGTGACCCAATACCAAACTTCGTTTGGCGACCAATGTCCAAAGACAAGACTGTGTTGAATGATGATGTTCAAAGGATCTTTAAATAGAAACAAATTCAGGGTCAAAATTAATACAAACTAACATTTGCGTTTTGATTGAGCTTAGGAAGGGTGTTTAAAAGGTATCTCAAAACAATATACCAATTCGAACAAGATTACAATTGAAATACTTTCAAAGTACAAGTTCAAGATCACTAAACCATTGACTTCCAACTTCTTTCCAAATGAAATTCATGGGATGTCGAAACTGACTTCTAGGAGAGCCAGAGAGCAGTCACGCAGGGGAACATGTTTAGTTGCATTTTGTCTACCAAGCTGCTCGAGTTTGGCATTTTGCACATCAGTGCGTCAAGGAAGTCTCGAAAGAAAGGATCATTGAAACATCAAGGGTTGTCTGCTAGTTTGTGAAATGTTGAAAAACCGTACTGAAATTCAGGAGAAACAAGAACAACAAACATGTCTGGTAACCAGAATTGGGTAACCTACAGTATATCTTTTTGCAGAGTTCTTTGGGTCTCACAGTACCAGGTTGCGTAAAGTGACTTAGAACCGTGGGATAGAAACACCAAGACCTTACAAAGCCACCCAAAATATCTTATTAGTTCCTCGAATTGCAAAACAAACTCCGAGTGGGTCTAGACAGAAACCCTACAGGACTTCATCCCCAAAGGCCAGGCAGCAAATCAGCTACAGAAACTTAAAGACGCTTAAAGCTTCAAAACAGTCTTTCTCTTTCTTCAGCCCTCATGCTTGCTGAAACACACAAAAAAACAGGAACGCATCGTGAAGCATCATCTCATTTTCTACGGAGTCTACCGACTTGCTTCTGCCTTTTCTTTGGGGCACCTCAAGAGGTCTGCAACGGCCTGCGTCCAACTTTGCTTGTGGCAACTCCACCCAAGCAACGGCCAACGTGCACAGAAATACACTACCCTTTGGATCTTCAAGTGAGAACCCCTATGGTGGGCATGAAAACGCTCCGGATTCATCACAACCTGACCTTGTTATACCTTGTATTCCTTCAATAACCGAACGCAAACACCTCCAGACTTTGGGACATCTCATCCACCGAACCCGTTCTCCTTCGGTTGTCCAGGATCACCTCCACAAGCGACTGGCCTTGACTTTGTCTCACTTTCTGGATCTGCACCATGGGCGACATCAGCAGGAACCTTGCCACGGTCGGACGAGGACGACGCCGAACCTTGGTCGCCGTCCGAAAAGACGCCGGCGGTCCGCCGCGGCGGTCCGTGGGCTGCTCAAAACCACTGAAGGTCGTTGGGCGGAATCCTGGAGGAGCCGACGAAATAGAATCAGCGAATTCATGTGGGAACCCAACAAAGCACATCAGAATGGAGAGCCAAAGACTAAGCACACGTCGAAAGGCCGACGAATCCATGTTGTTACGCGAGTGGCGTCGCACACGTGTTCAATGCACCTGGGTCAACGCATGGTCAACAAAGGTCGTCGGAACATGTACCTTAAGTTTCCCAACAAATCTAAGAACCAAATGAATAGTGCGTGAGCTATCCTGCGTCCATATGTAATTAGTAGCCTACTTTGAAGGTACTAGCTACCTCTTCTACTAGCTACCTACCTAGCTAACCTCCCTCACCTCTATATACACTGCCGAACCCCCCTTCCCCAAACAAAAACACAACCGGTGAAGCAACAGCGAAACAAAGGTCGTCAGACTCTCCAAGACTGCCATGGCGGTCGTCAGAAGTTCCAGTGTTCCAGTCAGTGGAGTTCCAGTCAGTTGTCTGCTTGCCTCATTAAGTCTAGCCTGCCGAAGTGAAAGGTGCCATCTCAACGGACGAGCTTTCGCTTTAGAATTAGAACCTGCATTTGTATAGGCTCTTGAAGCTGATCGCAATCTGCATGTTTGGTTTTCCATGTTTGGTCAGCAACAACTTTTTCGAGCTGCTGTTGATCTAGTTGATCTAGCAAACGCTGCGGGGAAAAATATCGTCCCATCTCACAGATTTACGCGTAAATTACAAGCATTATGGCACTGAAAATACAATTCAAGCGACAGATGTTGATTTGTGTATGGCATGAACCTGCAGCATGAAACAGAATCACTCGCCAAAGACTCGCAAAAGAAAAGGCTCTCGTACGATGGCTCGGCGTCTTCGCGCCTGTGACATTGCCATCAGCAAGTTTGGCGGCATGCCGCGTGAAAGCAGAACCCACATCACACCTTGCAACGAAGACAAACCGCTCTCACAGATTAGTGTCATCAGGACCACGCATTGCGCACCAATCTTTCATAGTATCACAAGGAACAAGAAAAAGAGTGGGCGTTTGAGGGATGGGGAGACAGAATGAGAGCCTTATTCAGTAAGTTTCATATAGTTTCATGGGTTGAAGTCCACCTGAAGAAATATCAAGAGGAACAAGCCGCCAACCTGTATTCTCACATGTAGCTCATCTGGGAAGAGCTTGAAAGGCTACATGGACTACTAACATGAACTCTGCACAACAAGGAAACAACTCTTGGTGTGCCATGTTGCGCCACATCCTCCCTGTAGTGCATGAGAAACACTTCATTTCTTCAATTGACTCAAAAACAAGGGCCCGCGGCTGGTGGCTAAGGACCCTACATCCCAAGCAGCTGCCCGAGTAGAACAAACTCCACTGGGTGCTTTCCTGCGTAGGCCGGTCGTCGGTGGTCCAGGCGGTCTCAATGGAAGCCCCCAAAAGATCCAAGCGTACACCTCGAAGAGATATACAAGCTTGTATAACATGTATATTATATTAAGTATGCTAGTAAAATATGCAGCAATGGAGCCTTTTTAAGTCAATGTGTAATCGATATTATTTGATATTTCTGTCACTGGTCTGGTCCTTGTACTAGAAAGGGCCACTTACAACGAAAAGGGCTTGGATGCATTAGCAGGGCACACGCGAGACCAAAAGCTGCTCTTTGCAGGGCTCTGAGAAGGGCGGCCGGAATCTGTTTGTTTTTTCTGCATCTTGACGTGATATGACAAATTATGTCTTAGGTCACCGTGGTCGCCGTATGTCAATGCATGTTGAGTTCATCATCTCTTGAGAAATCTGACATTGACATATATAGAGATGTCCAATCGCAGCCAGGTCCAGGTAAGAGTACACTAATCATAGTAAAGTGGAAGCCTACAAAGCACTCCTTTTTGCCCAATGATTCTGTAGAATTTGGTCAGCTGACGACCTCACACACCTTCGCGCATGAAAATTATCCCGGCAAGAGACCCCAAACAGTGTGTGTCAGGTCTGTAAGCAGAAAGTCTAGAGATCCAGACGCATTGGGGTCCAGAGAGGTCATGGTGGTGATGAAGTGAGGGTGGGTGTGAGCGAGTGTGGATGAGAGGGAGTGTGAGTGTGCGTGAGAGTGGGAGAGTGAGTGTGAGTGCGAGTGTGAGTGAGAGTGAGTGTGGGCGAGAGTGAGAGTGAGAGTGAGTGTAAGTGAGCGTGAGTGAGAGTGAAGGTGGGGCTTAGTGAGTGTGGGTGAGGTGAGAGTGAGAGTGAGAGTGAGAGTGAGAGTGAGAGTGAGAGTGAGAGTGAGAGTGAGAGTGAGAGTGAGAGTGAGAGTGAGAGTGAGTGAATGAGAGTGAGAGTGTGAGTGTGAGTGAGTGAAAGTGAAGGTGGGCGCGAGTCAGTGTGGGTGAGAGTGAGTGAGCGAGCGTGAGTGAGAGTGAGTGTGAGAGTGAGTGTGGGTGAGTGAGTGTGCGTGTGAGTGAGTGTGCGTGTGAGTGCGAGTGCGAGTGTGAGTGAGAGCGAGTGAGACTCTGCGAGCGGGAGAGTGATGTGAGGAGTGTGGCTGTGAGTGGGAGTGGGAGAGTGAATGTGAGTGCGAGTGTGAGTGAGAGTGCGAGTGGGAGTGTGAGGGAGTGTGAGTGTGAGTGAAAGTGGGAGAGTGAGAGAGTGAGCCTCTGAGAGCACAAAGTACTGCGCCTGCCACGAAATCTGCACTTCGAAGTTCACCAAGCGCTGTGCCTGCCACGAAATCTGCTCTTCGAGGTGCTGCACCTGTCACGAAATCTGCACTTCGAGGTCCACCAAGTGCTGCACCTGCCACGAAATCTGCACTTCAAGGTTCACCAAGTGCTGCTCCTGCGACGAAATCTGAACTTCGAGGTTCACAAAGTGTTGTACCTGTCACGAAATCTGCACTTCGAGGTTCACAAAGTGCTGCACCTGCCACGAAAACTGCACTTCGAAGCAAAACACCCCCGATCCCTTGCACCTGTCAGGAAAAGTCGACTTAAAGCACCAAAACACGAGGTTCCCTTGCGCCTGCCACGAAAAGTGACCACCATGTGCGAAAATGTGCACGGCACCACAACGAGAGCGCAGTCGCCTGAAGCACCCGCCGCGGACACCCAGATTCAGCGAGCCTGCGCAGTCGAAGTGCACATGGACGATGTCGAGAGTCATGAATGTACTGTAAATAGCAACGAACGAATTAGCCGTTCACGGCCGCACGCCTCAGCGATCTAAGCACACCTTCCTTTCTCCTACCGTAAGAACCCCTCAGTGTGCCCACTCTGTTTGGGGAAAAAAAGAGGTGGAAGCAGTGCTGCTTTTCAGTCTGCACTCACCTTTCTCAGCCCAAGACGTTCATGGACTGAACGTGCCCATTCTGCCCTTCACTGAACATCGAGTGCTTTCCTCCTTTTTCAAGTGCTTTTTGAAGCCTCCTTCCAACTTGGATGACAATATGCAGAGTGCCAATCAAGGCCAGCCAAAAAAGCAGACGGTGTCGTTCTGCATCACAGCAGGCCAAAGTCAAACAGCTCTTCACATTGCAGAAACTCTGCGCAACAAGGTGCTTGATCAATCAGCCCCAAACTTGACCAACCTCCCAATTCCACCAGCCATCTACTTCGCATCAATCGTTGTGGAGCCGCCCAGTTCGGCATCAATCGTTGACGGGACACCAAGCGAAAACGGTTCCACCCGGCGACGAAGGGCCATGGGGGAGGGGGGGAGTTCCGGGTCGAGGAAGGGAACGACGGTCGGTTCGATCCGCCTCCAGATCTTGCAATTGTTGGGCATTCGCTTGGAGGTTCTTTAAGACCTCGGGAAGGCCAAGGCCAAGAGCCGGGCTACGCGCGGGCTACTCCCACATGTCCAAAGCCTCAAGACCTCTTAAGTCTCTTCCAAGTGGACTTTGGGGAGGCTGTGCCGTCAAGCGACACAAACCTTTAAAATGACCTCTGGCATTCTTTCAAACAGCTTTTGATCAACCAAGAATGGTTCCCACCAAATATCGAACACCACCAATGATGTATTCACTATTGTACCATCAAATCCAATTGCTTCCATCAAGTGCCAGGGTGACAAGAGAAAGAGCTCAAAACACCTTGTCGTCGCAACTCGATGAAAGGAGTACCACTACCGCGCAATTCCCGGGCACTGTCCAAATGTCACGTTTCTAGCCAAGGAGCATGGTGAAACTGCTTGGAAGAAACAAAACAGAACACCCTTGCTACTTATTCATAGTTTGGAAGATTGTGTCTATTCTCTCTGCCACCACTATGGATATCTCTGCACTTCCCGTTGCTGGGGGTTTCTTAGGGGTCAAACAGCAAGGCCTCCTGGAGGGCACTATTCCGGAAACAAACAAACAGGGAGTTTGATGCAAGACGATGCAACCATGAACTATTAAATATTAAAATATTACGGGTTCAAGTCCAACATCTGCTTCCATGATACACTCTTACCGGGACAGGACGACCCACATCGGCCTCGCGGGAACGACGACGCGCCGCGTCTTCCACTCATCCCAAACCACCACTGGGGCTCCGGATCCGTTTCGCCCACGGGAGAGAAGATGTAGCAAAGCCTTGAGCGCAAATGTCCGTGGCAAGCTACTCTCCCTGGAACTCACATGGAAGCGGAGTTCACCCTCTGCTTGTGGAGGAAACTAGTCTTCCCAGTTTTCCACTTCCATGTGAGAGAACTCAGCGAGTGTGGCGAGTTCCACCGGCTAAGAAGGACGAACTACCGGGGGTCGTTGGACATCCACTCGATTCACCGGGGCATTTCGCGGCTGTGCACCCGAATCTTTGCGGTTTGGAAGAAGGATGCCAAAACTGTGGCGGTGTTGAGCTGTTTCCCTAGTGATCCAAGTACCTTCTCAGAGGGTAGTTGGAGAGAGTGTTATGTATAGGTGCCAGGAGGGTCCAGTCGTACAACGGTGCTTGGATCCCTATATAGGGTTAGTGGTTCCCCCCCGCTTGACGGTCCCTTTCCCTTAGAGTCCACCAGGATTGCATCGTCACCTGACACCAGACACTGCCACTGTGGAGGAGGTGTGTTCTTGGAGGCAGGATCCGGCGGAGCAAATGAGTGGTTGGGGGTCAGTGCGGAACTCATTCTCCGGGGCAGTAGGATGCCAAATCACAGATGTGGATGACGCCAAAGATGAAATATTATATTTGGGGTTCACACCCTGGTCACCAAGGCGTCGCTTTGACCCACATTTCACCAAGACCATTGTTTTGCATTTGCCAGAATTCGGAAAACGTGACCGCCCGCACATATTGCCAAAGTCACGCTATGACCGCATGAATGCGCAGGCAAATTCCACGGCAGAAAGGCCTCGGCAGGGAAAGGACGGTTGACACCTGTCTCCAAGTTGCACCAAGGTATCTGTGGAAACACTTGTTCCACTTCCACAGATTCTAGAAGACATTTTTGGAGTTTGCATATAGCTTATAGCATGAACAAAACTTATGGGTTGGTTCCTTTTAAGGCTTAAATAATGAAGAATGAAAGCGTCCCAAGGTTGCTGGATTCGCAAACTAAACCACTATCCTCCACCACTATCCCCGCCTCATCAAACGCCACCTGTTGCACCTGTCTCAAGTTCAAGTTGATCCAAAACCCACTAACCATCGGCTCCACAACCCCACCCTCACCCCATGCTGCGGGTCGGCTTCATCAGCCACTGCGTCACGGCCGCGCGTTCCGACAGCCGCTGGTCCGCCTGGCAAATGCAGCCTCAGCTGGTCCGAGGGTTTCGATGGGCGACTCCTTGTCACGGGGGTTGGAGGGGCCGCTTTTAAATTTTATGGAGTAAACGAGCGGTTGGGACGGTTTGGATCCAAAACGGTGGATTGGAATAGAATATGGGTGTTGGAACTGGTGTTGGATGAGCTATTTCGATGGTTTTGAGCCATATATATATAAAAGAAACAAGCCTTCTTGAGCTAAATGCAAATGCTCCCCCCTTTGCAATCTTATACAGTGACCTTGGAACGCTAGAACATTTAATGGCTGCAGCTGGTTCAAGATTCCACCTAGCACGCCACGTGGCAACTGAGTTGCTGTAAACATTTATGACACCCCCCAGGAGTGTATCTGGTATGCAAAATTGTTTTGAACACATAATACCCTTTTATCATCCTCTATAAAATGAAGGAGACAAAGTGACCTGAGAGGAAAGGGCAGTGGTTGCTTTAAATTGAATTTAAGTTATTGAAACGGGGCTTCAGGTCAACAGTCAACGTCGACAGTTGTTATGTTTCAAAGTTTGTCTGGCATTGCACTTCAATAATTACGCATTGGATATCATTGCCATTGCTGCCTCTATCATCTCTATCTGCAGCAGCTCCGCTCCGCTCCTTTCAGAACGAACCACGAACCGCCACCCGTCATCGGCGCCATGCCACTCTGCAGTGTCTCTGCATCCTTGGGATTGCCTTTGGTCTTCGCCATGGAGGCCTCGGTCTGTAAAACCCGCAGCGCGGGTGAACCGCGTGCTTTCTCGCGCAAGCAGAAGACACAAAGGCTTGCGCTTGAGATCGGTGAGGCCGGTTGGATTTAAAGCTCAAAACGCATGGGACATGATTTTGAAAGAATGGTCAAGTCCTCATTCGCTTTCCTATATGTCTTTGCATGTTCCGACCTCTATATGTCTTGAAGCCCATGTTCGTTCCAAATCGATCTTGGCCCAACAAGCGCGCAGAAAGCCGGAACGAAGCCGGCTCAGCAACAGCCCGGACCTTCATGATGTCGTGGATGCGTTCCTGGCAACGAATGTTGGGCATTTGCGAAGTACGTGGACTCTGTGCCTCGAGTTTCATTGGAGGCTTTTAAGCTTCAAGTGGACCAATAAAAAAAAGAAAACAAACCTATAGTGGCCTATTGAAATTACTATTTACTCTCTATTATATTATATATAGTATTATATATATAAGATATTACAACTAAAGTGACCATTGGCTCTGCATCAAGCTCTCGAAACATCCCACATGAAACATGTTGCCGTCCATCAAACTCCCAGGGTCTTTTGGGACCGCCTTTTAAGCCGTCATGAAAGGGCAAGCTATCGCCAGCCACGCACGTGCCATGCACGTCCAGCCGACGGCTTCGATACGACAGTTTTTGCCCAGCTCTATTCCACGAAAAATCCTCTTCCATCCACGGTACCTAGTGATGTCACATCAGTGATGGATTCGCTTCATTCAACACTTCCGCGTGCAGAAGAAGGAGGGGCTTGCAGTGATGGATTCGTTTCCTCATTGTGACATGGGCCATGTTCCCTTCGTCCAACAGAACCCGGATACAGTGCCCCTAGTTTCATCCCCAAGTCAAAACGTAGATAAATATTGGATGATATCGACAGTTGTCATCACTCATAGAGCTTCAGCCGGTGGTTACTGTATTCGAAGGCACAAATCTGCTTTTAAAGTGGCATGTGCAATGAATGTGGAATCTCAACTTTATCAAGGTGATACAGGAATGTGTCAGTGTCCTTTGATGTGATCATGGTATTGAGACTGGCTCCTTCTGAAAGATCGGAAGAACAGCCCTTTCTTCTACCTCGATTGCATCCGATTGCGCCATGCTGTTGAGGGTGCGCAACCACACCTGGAGTGACACACCCAAAAACGAAACATGCGCTGTCAGTGCTTTCAGCTTCTGGCGGACCAGAGATCCGGAGATCCGTTGACTTCTGGCCGACTCGTGCTTCACGGGTTTTTCGTGGACTGTTCTATCCACTTCGGATGTATACAAGGATTTAGGATGCTCAAACTGGGTATACAAACCACATCAAAAAAACACATCCTGGTATTCTATTCACTTTGATATGTTTTGTTTCGACTGTTCTATTAAAAACCACATCCCGGTCCCTCCAACGGTCCGTCGGCGAAACCGTCGATGTGCTCCTCACTGACCTGCTGCTCCAGGAACTCTGCATCAGCATCCACGTCCAAGACACGCATCTGTTGCGCCACCTGGGACCAATGTATCTACTGTGACTGAAGAAAGACACCGTACAGCCGCACAGTGGTGGGATCGGTGAAGACCTGGACCCTGAGGTCGTGGTCGTGACGAGTGAGTTGAAGCGTTCATTGATATACAGTAACTAGCGACATGATCAACTGTCTATGCATCAGCTACCTCTCCGCCCTGGAAACTTCTGACAAGGATTACACTTATCACTTATCCCTCTCCACTTGTGGGCCAGCGGAGCCAAATCTTGTCGTGTTAACCCATGTTAACCCACTTGAATGTTCTCTGTCAACTCTGTCAAAGGATCTTTGGCGTCTAGACCTTGAATCATCTTGAATCCATCCATCTCAGACCTTCGATCTATGGATCATCCACCAATGCGAGCTGAGCTTTTCTGGTCTAGTTATATTATATCTTCAAGCAAAAAACGAACTGGGTTGACCTGGATAATGTAAATACATCTGAACCACTGATTTAAAAACAATACACCACCATGTGTGAGGAGGTTTAGGACGGATTGATGGTTTATTCCAATTGTGATCAGTACACTCTCAAACACACAATGTGGTCCTGCCTCACTGCCTTCCATGAAGGACTGAAGCGTGTTGCCTCCATTCCAATATTCTGGGATGTCCCAACCCCCAAATCCATTGACCAGTTGTTGCTGCCTGAAGTCATAGCAAAAACTACAGGAATCCATCCCTAGACATTCCAGTCGTACCTTCTCAGGTACAGTGAGCAAGGAGACACTGTTGTGTAGGTGCCAGGAGGGTCCAGTCGTACCGCACCCGAGGTTTGGTACGACTGGAATGTCTAGGGCATGCTTCCGGTGCATGTTTCCTGCTTCGTGCCTTTGCCGAGCAACGATGGATGTGGAGGACATACGTCGGAAGCGGTTGTTCTCGCGATGTGCCAGTTCCCGTTGCACCCCTTCGCGGCCTGAGGGTGGACATCACATCACAGCCCTGGCCCTAAGGGCAGGGTGATGGGGTGATTGGACATGACATCGGTTCAATTCCGAGGGTCAAACACCCAGCAACAAAAGCCCACAGTACCAGCGGCCCTCAAAGCTCCGAACAATAAAGGTGTTTACATGGTTTTACATACAAAAACCATCAAGAAACACAAAAACAACCATGCAGTTTTGCTAGGGAAAACTCGGTTTTTGGGTTCGGCGCGGCTTTAACGCCCCGGGCGGATCTTCTTGCAGTTTTCTGTCACAACCTGATTTTGTCCCCAATGCAGGATTTAGATGGATTTAGATGCAGCATGATGCAGCGAGGAACATGGAACACAAATGGACGGTAGTAACGAAAGCGAGAAACGTAGGGCGTGGCTGCACAACGAAAACCAAGCTCGTGGCAAGTGCGATCGATCACACAGCAAATTAGAATGTAAATTCCGATTTCGATCGAAGTTGGACATGTGGTGGTGTCATCAAGACAAAAGATACAAAAAGGAAAAAAACAACTTCCGAGTTTTCTTGGTGCTGGTGTTCTGAAACTCGCATGCAACCTTGATGCCGAAGAAATACCCGGCACAGAAGAGAAGCCCATGCTTTCAACGTGCTGAAGAAGCAGCATAATGGCGTTAAATGCAAATCAATGACTCTTTAGTACAATGAAAATGCCATCATCTCGTCCTAGAGAAAGAGAGAGATTAATATTAGGTGTACTAGGGTTGGGAATCACTAGGCGTTCACTGTGGTCACATGGCACGGCCAATCCCTTCACACGCCAATCGATTCTGGCCTGCTACCTGTGCCCACAGACGATTCAGCCGGGCAAAGTTCTTCTCCTGTCGGTTTGACTCAATTCTTCTCGCTTCAGGTCAACTCTTGCTTTCAACCCAGCCAGCACACTTGCCTCGTTCAGCCAGCACGGCCATGGATCTCAATTGCACGTCAACCAACTACAGTGATACAGTAAGTAGCCCGAACCTTAGAGATTTGTAGTAAATAACCGCATCTCTCGCCTAAAGACCCAACACACCTGTCAGTGATGCAAAGAACAGCTCCCGACTGGGCGGTGCTCTTTTTGAGGACGGTGGGGGACAACCAGGACAACAAAATTCTCTTCGCATGTCCACTAAGTGTTGAGGTCAAGTCTGGTAGACTCGGTGGACATGGACCCCCCTCTGCCAGGAAAATGGCCATTTGTACCAAAGCCAGCGGTGACTACACTTCGCTTGACCACGCCGTCTAAGCAAAGTCTAGAATAGTATCCTCTTGTAGCCCAGATCAATACGCGGATCGCAGCAACAGCCCAGGAATGACTGTGACCTACGTGCTTTACGTCTTTCATGTGTTAAAAACGTCTTCCATCTCTCAAAACTGTCTTCCATCCTCTTCACAAGGATGCTGAGCTTTGAATGAAGCCACTGCCTGCCTTGAAGTGGACCAAGGCAAGGTGATATGCCTGGGTGTGCATCTTGAAGGGGTTCTGTTGCTGCGGGACCAGTTAGAGAGACTTTGCTGAAGATTTTGGATCTATGATGATCTATGAGCATAAAGGCTATGCCAAGCCACTTCAAGCAAATTCTCACGCCAAATGATGAAGGGAAAGGTCGCCTTGGTCGCAGCCTTCGCCATCTGCCAGTACTGGGGCTCCTGACAGTGATCAAAGTGATCAAATGATTCCAATGTCCAGTTTGGATGCGTCGTGATGTGTGATGCGTCCAAGAGAGAGAGAGAGAGAGTGAGAGAAACTCTTCTTCTTTCCCTGAGCTCAAAGGCGTCAAGCTGCACTTGGCGACAGTTGGATCACCAAAGAGAGTCTTAGGTTTGGGGTGTACTCTATGTTGGAACCGCCATGGTCTAAGTTTGGAGGAGTTGGGGCATTCAAACATTGTGAAGCGGTCTTTAGATGTCTTTAGAAAAGAGGTGTCTGGATGAATATGGTCCTCTGCAAAAAAAAGCTTCTGGTTGCAGTGTATATTTCAGCCAAAGGCCTTTCATATCCTTCTCCTCCATTTTTTGGGGCGTCGAACCTCCTTTTGGCTGGATGAAGCTGGGTCCTCTATCTCTTCTGAGAAGTCGTAGGATAGAGAGTTCCCCTGTCGACATTCCAGTCGTACCAAACCTCAGGTTCGGTACAACTGGATCCTGACAATGGCACCTATACATAACAGTGTGTCCTTCCTCACCTTCCGCAGAGGGTACAATTGGGTTGGGTCTCCTATGACCCTGAAACCGCCCCAGGCCGAGATCGAGACGTCCGACGAATTGCTTGGGTCGAGGATCTGGTAGATCAAGAGCATGGTCGATCGCACAATAGAATGCTTCCAGCAACCTCAGGATTTGAAAGTCATGCTGTGGATTCTTTTTTGAACATGATGGTGGATGCCCATGACTTTTCCATCAAATGGCTTGTCGAGTCGAAGTCCAAAAACTGTCGTCAGCAATCTCAGCTGTCCCACCACTCCCGTGCTATGAGGATGTATCGCCCACTAAGCACAGGACGTGACAAAAAAGTGGAATGATGTGGACTGCAAGGGGTTCATAGTCAGTCCAAGCGAGGTACCATTCATGTCGCGACTGAAGACGAGACACATGTGCGGCGAGTCCGCATTTTGTTGGCGGAAGTAGATGCCAGGCATTTTCCCCAAGCCCCCAATCGCACATCCAACGGAAGGGACACCCAATAAGCCAAACTCCACATCCACGTAGCCTGACGGATGAGAACATGACATGGCTGGCTTCGACGGCATGCGCTACCATCCTAACTTGACAGAGTCGTCAGCCTTGGTGGTTTGATGTAAACGAAGATGGATAAAGGACGATGCAACACAAACGGGTCTGCGCGAAACATGTCTAGTTCTAGTACCAAATGCTCAGCTGGGGAAGGAACATCAACATCACGATTCTAACGCCCAAAAGTGAGGTTGGGATTCAGTCGTGAACATGGAGAGCAAGCAGGGTTTATGAAATGTGGTTGAGTTATTTTAAAATCACATTGGCTTCGCAGCACCCTGAGGAAGTTCTTTTTCTTGCGGCACACCCCATGCGAAGCAGCCAATTCCGATCTGCTGAAGGACCGATTCTCCCACAATCCTGGACTCACGGAGATCTGTTGCGTCCAACTGCGTTCCAAAACAAAGAAAGAAACTGAAACAACTAGGAGTCACAAAGGAGTGCCGAACTTGGAGGATAGGTGTGCCCACTTTACCTTCACTTACGGACTAACACCCACCCCTTTGTGACTCCTGGAACAACACATTCTCTGGAGTCCCAACGAACAGAGCGTTCTTGACGTTTCCTTTCTAACAGTCGCCCGAGGGCCAAACTCTCTGGCTGATGCCCGCCGCTGTTTCAAGCATCCCCTGAGATAAGTCCTACACCTCTCATCTTGAAAATATGTGCAGAGCGTTCTATATGGGAGAAGTGATAAGTCTGATCATGTATTGTGTAGATATATGTTGATATATTTAGTGATTGTTGAAAACACTTATAAGAATCAAACTGCACGACTAATTGGCGTCATGGTGATGGTTTATCAAGGTCTTGACAGAAAATGTGATAATTATGAGGGTAATGATCGACTGAAATGAGAACCCAATTCAGCTGATAACAAGATCCCTCCAAGTAACTAACTACCCTGACACAGCTGTCCCACCCGATTCACACCCCGGTCACACGCGCGGGAACCCGGGCACCGAAAGGTTCAGAGCAGGAGGGCGTCAAGCAGAGGTGCGCGCCACGCCGAAGCTCGTTGGGCAAACGGAAGAACTCCGTGCACACGAAGAGGCGCCCTGAAAATGGGGCAGCGTTCCAAATGAAACCACAACCATCCCAATACGCGTTCCAACCAAAAGCCGCAGCAGGTTTGTTGGGTTTTTGCAACTAAAGCAAAATATAGCAAAATGATCCACCCAACAGATTCATCCCCAAATCCACCCATAGGACCCAAATAGAAAAAGCGAACGGAACGGGATCGTTCGAACGGAACGGCCTTTGAAGAGCGGCTTGAGCGGTGCCAAGAGCTCTTGCGCATAGAGCCCAAAGGCGTCGTCCGGGGGTCCTCGTCAAACGGCGCACACGACCGGGACCTGTGGTGAAGAGAATTCACTTGATGAAAATACACAAAGTGTGAAGAGTGAAGAGGTTGAGGTGGTGGTGGTTGTTGTTCTTTTTCTTCAATCTGTTGTTTAAATAAATCAATAAAAACACCCATATCAAGAGCTTTACAATCTAAATGCGTGTACATTCTCCAACCTTCGGGGTCTCCCCGCTGCCACCCCCCACTGCATCAGGGGATCCGTGGATCAGATCTGGTCAGACGGTCTGCGGAGTCACATGTCTTCATGATACGCTTGAGTTGGAGCATGGCCAAAGAGTCGACATCTTCCCTTAGATGTTTGATTCCGATTGGGAAAACCATGGTCACAGGGGCGCTGAAGCCGCTGAAGCCGGCGACCGGTTGCGCGGAGCGTGAGTGAAGTGCGCCTGCCAGAACGATCTGGACCTCTCGTCGGCTCTTCAAGATGTCCTGGAGCGGCCGTCGTCCAGACCCAGCGGCGGTCCAGGTGGTCCAGGTCCCCGGTTAAAGCCGGTTGATCAAATGACACTTCAGATGAATCCCAGAAGTCAGATGAAACTTCAGCAGTCATCCGCGAAGGATCTGAAGTTTCAGCTGAGGAAGGCAGGTGGAAAACCAGGTTTAACCACCTGCTGTAGCCCTAGTCAATGAAATAAGACACCTGATGCGGCCGGAAAAACACATACCTATAGCCTATGCTGGCATCCACTTACAATCAAAAATTGATACTTCTTGGGCTTCTGTGAGTCGGTGATACCTCTTGGGCTTCTGTGATTCATTAAGTTGTCATGTAAGTACCATCCCGCAAGCCAGACCTGTGAGTGATCAGTGATACCATAGCAGCTGCAGCATCCAGCGAAAAAAAGCACCGAAGCTGAAAGGGCGAACTGTGGCCCCAGAAAACATATTTGATGCAGGCCACATAATTGTTGGACTTTTGTTTGAGCTGTAGCAGCAGGACAAAATTGAATCACCCAACAGATGCCCAGTTTCTTCAAATGCCTCTTGGATGCTCACAAGTGAGTACTCCTGCATCTACTCCTGAGTCTATGTGCTCCCAACCCTTGCGAGGTTGACAGGTATGACAACTGTCCTTGGTGAGCATGGCGATGTGGTCCACGCCCTTCTGCTTCACCCATCTTCCGATGAAGATCAGAATTTTGGCTCCCGGGTCCTGGCGGCATCGAAGCAAACCCACACATGCGAAGAGGGACCCTCCAGTCAGTGCGAGGGGAGGGATGGGTCCTGCAACAATCTGTTTCTGGATCGGCAATCCAGCTATGTCCAGCTCAAGTCCCCTGTGATAGGGCATGTCAGCACATCCAAATTCAAGGAGATCAACAAACAGTATCTGAAAGTCGAAGGACTCGCCACTACATCAAAGAAAAGATACACTTAAGTGATCTTAAGTGGAGGTTGGTTGTCTGTCTCAGCGACAATCCTTAGGCGATTGCAAACACGCCAATCTCTCGGAATGCAAAGCAATCTGTCCCCTTATATCCGACAAATATCCACCAGCTCTCTGCTCTCCAAACAAACTTTCATCAAATAAGAAAGGTCCTTTTTGGCAGTTTGTTGTCTACTCAGTCTACTCAATGTTGCAAACAAGCAAGCACAAGTTCTCTTCATGCCAATGCTATCTCTTATATATATAATATGATGCTCCTTCACTCTTTCACCAACCTTGGATGTTGCTCTCCTTCAAAGTTGCTAGTTGCTAGCCCTGGTTTCTAAAGCAAAACACAAACGCCACTGTCTCTGCGTGGAACCGCCTGGTCCAAGTCGCAGTGCTTCTGCAGCGCTGCCTTCGCCTCAAAGCGCATCTTCCGGAGCTTCTCGATGCCTCGCTGCGCTGCCGATGGAGGTGGAGCGCCAATGGGGTAGAAAGGAAGCGATGCACTTGTTCCTAGTAGCTTCTTGTTCCTAATAGCTTCTTGTTACTACTAGTAAGGCACTTGTTCCTAGTAGCGATGCACTTGGGGTGGGCGGAAAACATCCAGATTGTTTGGATGATTTGAACGTTTCCCGCCAGCACTCGTAGGCCTGCAGCACCCTGATCTTCGGCGGGGTCGGTCGCATTGTCCAAGGGTAAGATGTTGGGCAGGCCACGGAAGAGCATCCGTTCACCTTGGTGAATGAGTCAGGTCCGAACTGCTGGGCAGAACTGCTTTCACACAGCAAATGACTTTCTCTTTTCCACCTAAGACAATGTCCTACCTATTGATATACCATGGTATCCTCTCGAAAGAAAAAGGGGACCGGGACCGGGACCGAATGTGGTCTGGATGTTCGGGTCTCGTGCGTCTCGACGCGCGGTTAGGGCAATTTGAGGGACCAAACGCTGCAATTGGTAGCATGAAGAGCATGCCATGCCACGACCATCCAATAGACTACCCCACAGTACTTGTGGGCTTCCATTGGACACGTACAGTGCATCGAGTGAACAGTCTCCGTGCGAGCAAACCTCGCAGATGGGTGCGCAGTCAAAGGATGTCAAAGGTGCTCCATATATGAGCTGCCGTAGATCTTCTTTTGAAAACGAGGACCCACAAATCTGACACTTCCAGACGACGTTCTTCAATATGAAAAGGCCAGACTGAAGGTTCACAGATACGTTATATAATGTTATATACTCTCCCTGGAACTAACATGGAAGTGGACAACCACCTGTTTGTAGTGGAAAATTGTCTTCCAAGGGGCCATTCTCCACTTCCATGTTAGTTGCAGGGAGTGTATACACAAAAATGATCAAAAAAGGCCTTACAGAACCAACGGTTTGTTTTCTCCACTCCGCACGTCCGGACCGTCCCAGCAACGTTTGAGATCCAGTGCGTAGTTGGTGGAGACGGCACAAACTCCATGACCGGCCTGCATCTCCTTGATATAAGCGACACCAGCCTGGCGCTGTGTGGGTCGAATGTGGGTCGAAAGCCTTAGAAAAGACACCAAGGGAAGTAGACCAAATCTGCGGTGTCCATTTTGGCTAGTGAACAAAGCGCTTTTGGATCAAGCTTGAACCTCACAGGTTTTGGATCCCAAAACGGTTCAACAAGAGTCCCCATGGCCATGAGCATCGGATTTTGGGTTCACCCTCCAGCACCAACATGTGGCAATATTTCGGGGTACAGTGAACATAGCATTGGTTGGAGAGTCAGTTCATTCAACCTGCACAGTCGTAGATGGCATTCAGCTGGTTGTTCATTGTCTTGGATCATCCAACCTTAATTCTGAATTGGTTGCCTGGCGGCCACAAATGAGATACTATCTTCGGCAGCGGCAGTCGCAAATTGAAAAAATTGATCATCCAACGATTGGTCAAACTCGGAGGAAACACAAAAAGACTGGGTCACTTAAGGTGACTTATTAGTTTTAGCTCCTACTGCGGCAAAGCTATCAACTGTAAGGTGACTTCGTGTACTATCACTGCTGGGTTGCAAGGAGAGTAGAAGATGCCAGTGGTGGCATGTGCAGCAAATGTATACACAGTACAGCAAAGCCAAGTGCCTTCAACATGTTGAAGCGCCCCTCGAACATCACGTACTTCCGAATGGCCGGGATTTTGAGATTGAACACCAAGCCTCGCATGAATCGCCCTGTGATTTGATGCTGCTTGACACAGGCAAAATGCAATGTATGCATGCATCTGTGGTTGATTGTCAAAAAACATGCGTGAATATGGCTGAACGTTCTCCTGGAGAAAAATCACCCGCCTTGACCAACTGCATGCAACAAAGATTTATGCAATGTCATAATATTCAAACAGCAAAGGTGATGTTGAACGTGCTTGTCTGCTTGCATAGCACTACTGACATCACCAGCCAACTCCAAGTCACTGAGGCGTCGCATTGGAGGTGTTGTCTTCCAGAAGCGATCATTGATGAAGTCAGTTTCGATCACACCTGGCGTGTTTCATTTTGTTCTGTGAGTCATGATCTTCATCTGCAAAGTTTGGAGACTGGAGGTTCAGCTTAGAGTTTCCTCTCTCTCTCTCTCGTATAACATGGGTCAGTGGAGTCTGCAAGTTGCTACATGCATATGCGACTGGAATGCTGAACACCCAAGAAATTCCTTGATGCGGAGCAGGATTTGGACAACCGTTTGTCACGCTGCTGCTTGGCGAACCCATGTAGTCTGCATTGTGCAAAACCAAGATCATTGGGATCGGCTTCTCCTGGCCATGCGTGAACCGAATATCATTTCGAGGGAGGGGTGTCCATCATTGTCCTCCCGCGTCCGGTCGATGAATGGATGGCAAACAAGTATCAAACATGCATCCGGTCATAGGACTGCAATGGACTATAGATTCTGTGCAAATTCCACACGTCTCCATTGGCCTCTCTGGCCTTCGTTCGCCACATGGCAAGTGAACGGTTCAGTGAGCTCAAGATCCACTTCAGGCGCACAGTTCGGTGAAGTTCCCACTTCAAGGTTTGGGTCGGCAACCGTTCAAAGGAATCTTTGCGCACGCTGCACTTCCAAGTCCCGTCATTTTTCTCAAAGACACTCCGCACCCATTTCTTTCAACAGGGGACTGAGGCCCACCTGGTTCCACACGTTTCCATCCCCAACCCACCTGCAAGTAGAGGGGTGCCAAAGCTGCATGGTAATCCATGCAGTGGTAGATGTCAGGCTCCAACATCCTGAAGCATACCGCGTACACACAAACACACATCGGACAAAGGAGATTCTAGATGCCAGGATCTTCACATCTCTGGAGCAAAGTACCATGAAACATCAAGCAACGGTGAATGCACGAAAACGCAAGGAGGGGTAGCAGTTACGATGAAGACCCAAGAAAAAGAAAACATGTGTTTTTCAACAAAACCAAGTTCATAGCATTTGCTGGTGTTTAGAGCTTGCCTCAGTGTATCCTTGACGGATTTCCATCCCTTCTTCCCTTCTTCCCTCTGGCGTGGCCCAAGAACAAAAGGCGGTCCTCATCAAAGCGGCGACCGCTTGGTTCCTGGCGGCCACTCTTTGCTCGGAGAAACGAGCCAGGAACTTGCTAAGACCGGTCTTCGCTCGCGTCCAAATCGATCTTGCTGTGACCAGCTAGTGAGTCAGATCTTTCAGCTCTGCTCGAACCAAGTTTGTTCCAATTGGTTGCTGTACCAAGGTCTGGGATGGAACAAGGTATACCTAAGTAAGTGGGAAACCCACCTATATGTTTCTCTTGGCTCAAAGAACTAGGACACCACATACCTAGCACAACGTCCTTCTTCGCAGAACTCCTTCACAGGCTTCGTGACGCTTGGCCAGGGGGGTTGCGCATCGGACCGGATCGTCCCAACCCCCAAATCTGCCCAGGCTCCAGAGGGAGAAATAGCGCAAGACACGGATCTTCGTCATGGGACACCTCAGGACACGGATCTTCGTCGTCGCGAGGATGAGATCTTGCAATCCCACTCAAGTCTATGTATCAAGAACGCTCCGGGATTTGGTGAAGAGTACAAGTGAGGCTCGGAGGTACACTTGCAACCTAGGCTGAAAAAACGTTTCAATATGTTTCAATTAGGGTTGCTTCATGTGCGCAGTTGATATTTTTGACCTGTAGGGCCACTGTAGGGTGTGGCTCCCCAATGCACGCACTCTTCAGTCTCATACAGCACTGCACGTCTTCTGGGCAACCAATCGAACCCAGCTGCACAACATCTGCAGAACGACAGGCGAACGAAAAAAACGGTCTGCTGGCGAGCTGTTTTCGGAGCACTTGGAACATGATGCTTCAAGGGCCCTTCACAACAAGGGCGCTTTCAGCCCACCGGTCAGAAGTTGCAATGTGTTGGAAGGAGATACAAGAAGATGGTTTTGTCCCAAGGAATGAGCCTTTCAGCGTTCGATCATTTTGGAGGAACACATCAAAATCGATGCCACACAGTTGATCAACTTTCAGCGACCAAATCCCTCGATCGTAGCGGTGCATCGTTAAGTGCCTTCAGGTCCCACCAGCACGACCGTCGGATCCTGGTTTTCCGACCGTCTCGCTTCGGATCCGCAAGCGATCGGCGGCGATGTGATGCCGGGGTCAACGGCGGAGGGCCCCACAAGCCACATTGCAGCGCTTTGAGCATCTTGCGTTTTACAGGTCTTTAGTTTTGGGCTACTCGGATGATTGTCTTGATGAGTTTGGCTGCGTTGACTTCTTTATCTTGCGCTTAGTCCTCAGGCCACTGCATCCATGACAGGTCACACGCAATCTACATTTGCCATGTGGTTCGGACTACTAAAAAAAACAACAACACACACTAATGATGGACCATGAATGCCAATGATCATGAATACCGAAGACATTGTTGTGAAGCCGATGAGAATGCTGTGAAATTGATGGCACTGTTCTGCAAAACAGGTGATAAAACGATGATGATGTATTGCGCTTCGACGTTGTACTTACAGTAGCATTTCAGCAAGTAAAACTGTCATCGACATATACTGTGCTGGGTCCATTCACGATCCATTTACGATCCATTCGTGTCCGGGCGACGGATAAGGAGAGGTCTTGGCTCGTTCTGTGAAGAGCTCGTGCTCGAGCAAATACCTGGAGAAAGGTCTTGGTTCGCCAAGAAGGGCCGTCGATCGCGAGTATCCTTGCAGTGTCGGAGAGCGAACACCGACAGCTGTATGAGTCCGAAGCTCCCTATTTGTTGTTGTCTTTTTTCAGATATACTGGCACAAACATGAAAGCTGCTCAAATGGTTTGAGGATGCTTCAGGTTTAGGTTGGGCATGTACAATGTACAAGGCGCCCTCTCTGGTGTTGGGAGAAACTCCGCAAGCATGATGACCCTTCTATATTCGATGCAGTTAATCCATGTTCATCCGCTGCTGTCGCTATGGATCTGACATAAGACTGCCCAAGAAGATTCCGAGTAGAAGACCTGGGGGGACCAAGTTGTGGGCCCTGAAACGTGGGTCCGTCTGATGTTCTCACATCGAACTTTGGGATTCTCAAACGATCACACATATCAAATCATTTATCGGATGGTCCGCCGGACAAAATCGTAGCTTTAAGATCTTAATATCTTAAAGCAGCTGGAATCTACTTATATCTGCATATTATCAACTATTGAACATCTATATATCATAGCTTCAAGATCTATATACAATGTGCTGGAATCTGCTTGTAAGTATGAGATCATACGATAGGCAAAGCCGGCAAAGGCCAACGAAACATCATGCCAGCGCAAACGCGCGAAGTTTGCCAGGCCAACGAAGTCACCAGCCAAGCCAAGATTCTTTTGGATGTCGCGCTCTCAAAGCTGCAAGTTTCGCTTTGCCCTACAGGTCTGGATCTCCAAATGGTTTCACCCGGAAACAGCTTGTGCTCGGTCTCCACAGCCATCTACTACTACGAGTCCACCATGTTGGGGTCTCCACCGGAGCCAAAGACCTATGGCTGTCGTCCGGTAGCGGCCTCTGGCAAGCCTTACATGCAAATCCCAGACTTCAAAGACCAGTTCCTTTCATGAGATTTGCAAGGGAACTGGCCTTGTAACTGCCTTTTTATACAATTATACTTGCAGGAAAAATGTGGTCTTTCATGTCTACTTCTGCCTGTCTCGCGGAAATGCCAGTGGCGGAATCGCTCGAAACAGAATTGCTACCGGTCTCAACACCGCCAAACTGAGTATATAAGTCTCAACTTGGCCGGAAAATAATTACAAAGACACCCAAAATGAACGTGCAATGCGTAGAACGCAGCTCGGCATTATAAAGAGATTCCGAAACTGGTATCAATTTCAGAACGGTTGTAACAGTTGTCTTGCCATTGTTAGGTACAAACCTCTAGCTCACAGTAAAGAAGCTCTTCCATGTGAGGGCAAGTATATGTCGGGGAAAAAAACATATATACAATTTATAATCAGTGAAAAGTCACAGTCTTCATCTTACAAGAAGGGCGTTCTACCGCTGTCATACAGCAGTAGAACCACACCTTAGAGGTCAATATCTGAAAGAAACAAAAGAAATAAAGGTCGGAGGAGACAGCGCTGGCTGCGACGTTCATTTGGATCACTGTCACACCGCAGCTTCATGCGATGCGCAAAATGCATTCACGACCACTTCGTCAACTTGCCTCATCAGCAACGCATTGAAGGCATCCCACGTGCTAATGTTGTGTGCAATAGTGCTGTGTGGAATAGAGTTGATAGGGAGGAGAACCTTGACGTTTTTTCGCTCAAAGAAAAACATAAGAAAGGACGAGAAAGAACAGTTCTCCGGTGACTTGACTAGTCTGTGATTCGAAAGATCTAGGATGTCAGTCACAATTGGATGACCAAAAGACATCAACAGTTCCCATTTCAGCGTCGTCTTTGCCCTTTGTTTCGGTGGACTGATGGTGTTTTGGATCGCCAGTGAAACCGATCTCAGTACTACCTAGCTCTGCTATGTTCCTTCTCATCAGTAAGGAACTCGCGGATTGAGATCGATCCAGTGACAGAAAAGGTACATGGAGCGGCAAAGAAAGGATAACGATCTCCCTTTCCCCCGAAGGACCTGTAGGCCCGGCCCTTCACCCGCAAGAGATTCTTCCAACCACAGTTCGGAACTGGTTTGTTTGGGTCTAATACTTGCAGCGTTCCATTACTGGTCCCACCGATCTATTTGGGTTTATATACCCAGATTGGATCTATTGGGGCCCCCAAGCTCATCTCCCCGGCCCCACCTTTGGCGTTGCTTCGGTCGGAGACACTGGCTCCTCACCACGGGGGCGCTTGGACCGGTGGCGACTGAACCGGTGGACCGGAAACTGCCACCGGGGCCTCGACTGGTCGACGCACACGACGGCACACGTGACTCTGGAGAGATGATGCATCGGGCATATTGATGAAGAGTACTGAGATGAGAGAAGCAAGGGGCGGTGCAACCAAGCGGGAGGACACTGAGATGAGTCCGGTGTTCTTTGTGACCATTCACTAACGAAAAGAACCAGGGGGTTCTGTGCGGGGTTCATTTAATAGTGCTTTTTGAATCTCTTTGACTCACCACTCATTGTAGGTCACTGTTGTTCTTCTGTGATCCAAGGGAATACCATCCATGGATACTGCAATTCGCAGTAGTGTATTCAAATGTATTGAACACAGTGCACCTTTCAAAGTCAGGATTTTCCATCAGGCCTTCTCTCGACCGATGGCTGAGTTGTGACAGTGTCCGGCCCGCCCAAGATCCGATCTGCCTCTCCAAACCAATGGTCTCCATGTGAGCCGAGCCCAACTCACACGCCCCCCCCAGACCATCCGCTTCCTGCAGACTAGCGAAACACCGTCCGAGTCCCCCAGGGTCTCCTGGTGAGACATCATGGTCATAAATTCTTGGAAATCGATTTCCCCATCGCCATTGGCATCCAACTCTTCCATGATTCGCTCCACCTGAACCATGGATAACCCGACGCCGGGAGAGGCTCCTGTAGTGCAGAGATTGAAGAATCGAAACCAAGCAAGGCAGGTGATACAAAATGGCATGTTGCAACAACATGTTAAACATTGTTAAACGCATCCCCGTGTTGGCAGTCTGGATACTTAATAATAATTGGATTAGAAGCTGAATGCACAAAAAGAAACTGACAATCTGTCAGACATTGCGCGGGAGTGCCACAGCCATTCCCAATCCATACCATTCCCGCTTCGAAGCGAAAGAAAGAGGAAGGGCAGACCCGAATGAACATCTCACCAGATTCCCAGATTCGGGACCTAACTGCGGGCAAGTGATTAGGATCATCTGCTCGCACCAGTCAGGAACAATTAAAAACAAAGCCCGGCACTGGGCCCACCACTGCACATGAGCATCGTTCTGGCAAGTAAAACCGTGTTATGCCGTTTTCTATGGGCGACCGGAAAAATCTTTCCAGTTGCAGCGACCTCCTCAGCTTCCAGCTTCCCCAAAAGGTAGCCTGAGTTCAGGTGCTGAAAGCACAAGGGAAATTTGGAGCGATTGCTTGGGAGTCTGCAGGTGTTCTCTTGTTCTGTTTCAAGATTCACATAGGAAAAAATTGTTTCATGAAAGCTGAAAAAGCCGTGTGTATCTGCTTCATCTACAAGGGGCTCTTCATATACATCTGCAATCTGCGGTACATATACATATATATATATACAGTGTACAGTGTATTATATACATAATTCTATGTACAATGTCACACACACAAGGTGTTGGCAAAAAAAAACTGTAACAACGACAACGACAACGACAACAACACTTCTGGGTGCAGCTTCTGATGAATCCAAAAATCCAATGTCTTTCTTCATCCAACACAATCCACGAACATTCACGGCAAGGTATGGCAAAACGGGAAGAACACCCATTCACAAAAGGACACCACAGACCTAGACCTGAGGCTTAGATAATCGGATGTACGGAAGATAGACAACACGAATCGTTTGACAGGTTATCCCCAAACAAGACACAAAGCTTCGGTCATGTACTTTAGCACCATGGGTCATATACCAACGATCTCATGGACTCTAAACACAGAAATATGGGTGGATCTTGGTGAATCAGTTGGGGAGGCAGGTCAGGCACTATAAACACAGAAGATGGGATATGGGTAGATCTTCGTGAATCAGTCTTCTACATCATCCGATCTTTCGAACCCACCGCTGCCATCAACCAGCTAAGGTGCCATCCACCAGCTCGCTGGGTTCCAGCTGCCCCGAGCCATCCTCCACCGACGTGGAGCGTTCCGTTCGTTGGCGTTCCGTTCGTCTGCAAATGACCAGCGCCCAAAGGGTGAATGGTACTGGTATTGACCCCCCTGAAGAGGTATTTTCCATCCAACAACCACCTTTTGGGTGGTGCTTATATAGAGTTCTTGCAACTCCGTTGCTGGTCATCGCAACGAGTTGAAGCATCAAACCACCTTAAGCGAGAGCCTTAAGCGAGCCGGGTGACACCGCCTGCAAGGAACGGGTCTGAACCCAAAAGAGACGGCACCATAGGTGCAAAGAGCAAGGGCCCCGTCCCGTGGGTTCATGGGAGAGGTCAGGCCAAATACGTAAATGTTGGCCTAGGCTGGTCTATATCATCCGGAAATTGAAAGCATATGGACACATATTTAAGGCTGACCTTGCGTTCCTCATTCATTCCTTTTCCGAAACAAACGACACGACGCCATGCAAAAACCATCACGGTGGGCCTTGTCAAAGCAGCGGAAGGCTGCTCTGCAGACCTTGGTTGCCAGTTGGCCCAGCACTGATGGAAGGACACTGGGTGTTCTTCTTTAAGAACTTGAAAGCTGTCTTGAGAAGCAATCTCTGAAACTGTTCCATGCAGTCATTCAATGTAATTCAAAGGCCCAAGCTTGGAGACAGTGTCAAATTGTGTCAATCTCAGTAGGCAACATGTCCAGCTGTAGAGATGACTACTTAACAAGGTTTGATCTGCTACTAGTGCAGATCAAGGTTTCTTTGACTCCACCCGGTTCAGGTTTGATTCCTTCGGATGTTCTCCTGTTCTTCTCTCCAGCCTGTCAAACACCCGTCTGCTCAGCCCACTCGAACTGCTGGGGCCAACCGACATCGCCCTCTGCTTCAACTGTTTCCCCGGATGCAACGCCGACGACCCAACCCGACAGCGGCCGACGTTGGGGCCGGCAACGCGGTCGGCATAGGCGGACCGGCTGCTTTCCCAAAGAGGTAGACGATCGGGTCCACGGCCGAATCAAGACAAAAGCTGTAAACGTTTCAAACCCTGATCATGACCTCCGTTGACAGCTTGAGATGTACACACGCTCCATCCTGGATGATGATGATATGATGTTCAATGCAGCTAATTTCAACCTATACTATATCCACTCATACAGCATGTGTGGGATACGTACAGGATCAAGCATCTTTTGGTACAACATCCCGTCTGCTCAACAACACCAGCTTTTACAGCTCAACAAGGGCTATCCAAAAAAGAAACGAAACACAGCGCCCGCTCTTTCGGGGGGGGCGCCGGAGCACAGCGCATGTTCGGCCAAGCGGCGGCTTCAGTGGAGTGTTTGGAGCGATCAAAGGTCGCAGCCAGAAATTCGGTGTAGCTAAAGGCTGGGTACTGCCCGTCAGCCTGGATAGGCCATGGCAGGCAGAACTGCGGAGAATTGCTGTGGAACCTGGACATGACTTTGCAGAAACCCACAAAAATTGAGTTGTCACGTGCATGAACTGAGTAATATCTGTTAAATATAGTGTATAGTATATTAAATATAATATTACAGGTCTGTTTTTGGAAAAGAGGGGGCCCCCACCCATGTATGCCAGTATTTTGGCCAAGAAGTGACCCGATTGGTTTTTAAGCACCTGTTTGTTAATGATATATTTAAAAAACAAACAAAACAATTCTTGCCAAACCCTCTTGCTCCAAAATGGAATTCCCCGGTGGCAGGCTCTCTTTGGAGTCCCCTTATCACGCCAGTTCTGTTGTTCGGGCATGTTTCTGCAGCGAAACACAATATCGAAAGTCTAGAGCCAGTAAAAGTCGCTTCACAGTGTCCTTGTTTTAAAGCACTTGCCCGTTCCGTGTCTTTTGCATTGTCTTTTTGAAGGTCGGAACAGCTCAGGTTGGGGAAGACAACCCCTTTTAGACCATCAAAAAAGGGAAGTTATTTTGCATCAAATACCAGCCATTTGTTCAAGTAGTCTGAACTTACCGCAAGAATACCGTGACTGACTGATGTCATGCCGCTAAAGCTTTAAGGATTTTAAGGTAAATCCTTTGGTGAACGAGGGCATGTTCACTCACCTTACAACTCCAGATAAACCAATGCAAGCAAGGAATCCCATGTCAAGCTTTGGACATTGGGAATCTGCAAGGACGAGGATCAAACAGATGAGAGGGGTTCGTTGAAAGGCACCAAACTCGTCCTTTCCGCGCATTTGGTTCAGTCGATTTCAGAGAGTTGTCCTTCCTTAGATCACTGTTCACTTGGTTCTCCTTTGTTTTTTGGTTGAGACTCCTCGCACTGTTTCCCAGCGAAACCTGTGGATCAATCAAGTACCAACATCACTCATGAACTGCATCATCTAGAGCCTCCAACGAACCGTATGAGATGTCCCAGCATGTCCGCCGCGTTTCTGAAATGCCCAAAATCAGATGATTTCTTCCAAGCATTCATGCGCTGATCAAGCCACCGGGGAAAAATATTCACAAAAACAAATGCCTGCCTGGAAGGACGCCTGCTTATGCAAGGACGGCTTGGCTGCCGGCTCTGTGTTCTTACCTTGGCACAGTCTGGACGCGAGAAGCCTGCCCCAAACGTGCTTTGCTTAGTCATCAGTGGTTCATAGGGCAGGCACCTCAACCTCACGAATCAAGCCATCAAGCGAATCAAGTGACATTCCTACGCGGAATCAAAAATAGTGGCCTTTAGATCTCTTGGTTTACATAGACAAGATCGAGCACTATGCTTTCCCAGTGTTGTTGGTTTCCGCGACTTCTGGCTTGGCTGATCACAAGATCTCATGTTTGCACAGGAGCACCCGTCTCACGGTAGCTGAATACATAAGCAGTGGTTGAAACGGCTCTTGCCAAACCCAACAGCTGTGCCCAAGGGGATTCCTCCTGCACCCAAGGGTTTATGCAGTGGCCTCTTGTTTCGTGACAATACAAGGATTTATTATGATTTATTTAATGTGTATATATATATATATGTGTGTTATGATGTGTTATGTGTTTAAACTCTATAATATAGTAACTAGCAACAATTGCGTACTGCCTAAACCCATAAAGGGTATGTCAAGCAATATATGACTCACTTGCAACCTTTGAAACACTTTGGAGGGGTCATCTACTTCTTGCTGTGGGGAACCACTGTGCATTGAGCTCACCGTGTTTTTCCCAAGACACGCCGAACATCGGAGAAGATTTCCTGCCAAGCGCTGTGTCCGAGCAAAGCATAGCATCACAAAACATAGCGACATAGCATCTCAAAATGATTAAGCTCTAGCGCTCGCGCGGACGCTCCAAGAGCTCTAGCTGACCAAGAGCTCCGTTGGTTCGCACCGTTGGTTCCAACCGTTTCGGCACCAATGGAGTAGTAGTGGTGTTAATAGTAGTGGCCTTCAAGGTCCATGCAGCACAGGCCGCAAATGGGTGGTGTCTTTTCATCAAACGTGGGTCAAAACATGGTCAAGGCATCGAAGAAATAAAGGGTGCCACACACACAACAGGAAAGGGTGTCATCATGTGCCACCCGCGGCCACTACATGCCACAACGCTGAACATCTGGCATCTGATGAACCACGGCTTTCTGCTATGACTAGCAGCTCTTTATGGGGTACAGGAAAATGTTGGAGTTGACCAAATGATATGAGGATGTCTTAGCAGAAACCCTGAAAGTCCGTGTGGGGCCAGATTGGGTGGAGGTAAGCCTCGCTCGCTTTTCGTCAGCCCGCAGAGCAACCCACCGCATCGACGAACTAAGTGGAAACCGCCCAACCAGCTCCTCAGATGCTATGCCAGCATCTGTCCTTGGCGATGGGCGATGTTCGCTCTTCGATTGGGGAGAGCTTGGTTTGTCACACCCCACTTTCCCCGTGCTGGAAAGAAAGCGATCCAAGTCTAAGCAAAAAAACGCCCAACCAAAGAGATGTCATCCTGACATCCTGAAACATCCTGATCATACTAGTGGCTGTAAAACACTTGCTCAACTCACGCTGGGCATGGTTTCTTCAAAAGATCATCAGCCCAAATGCACATGTTTGCTAATCAAATCAACATACGGCAATCGCGGCAATATATAGCCTCAAGGAATTCTGAAAAATAACACACGTGCTAGTTAATCTCAGGTGGACCCTATCCCAGTTTCTGGAACTGTTTGCAGGGTGAAATCCTGCATTCTATTTGGGCGCAGGGAAGCGTCCTCTTGGTTGAACCCACCTGTTGGGAAGCGAATCACTTGCACCAAGGAGGTGGACACCGGGTCTATCCGAGTCTACCTGGTCCCAGTGGATGATGTATATTAGGTTGCAGACCTTGTTCAAAAATGATGATACTTGTTTACTGACTGTTACAGGTAATAGGACAAACCTATATAATACTATACAATTCGACCTCAAATGCTCTAGATGAAAAACGTTGAGTTAATATGAGTTAATCAAGGTGTCATGTCTAGAGCAGCTGCAGCATTCGCAGCATAAACTGGAGCAAGGTACGGCTTGTTCTTTTTCAACTCTTCCATGGACTCTCGCAGCTCTGTGAGTGTCACCTGTGAAAGCAGCCAATCAGAACGAGCAACAAAGCAGCCCATGAAACAAGGCCTAAGGCTCATACAGTGTCCAACTGTTTTGGGCATTAGCTCAGGAAATCAAGCAGCGACCCAGGCCAACTGGTATCACAAAAACAAAAACGCAGCACAGAAAAAGCACCTTTGGCTCCATACAAATTGCCAGGCCAATCTCTTATCATTTCTTTTCGGACGTGTTCAGTGGCTTGGAATGGTCGGAAGCCGTGTTGTGACGGAGAGCACCTCGCCATCGCCATCCTTGTCCAGGTAGACGAACCTGCTTGTGCGGTGTTCCGTGTGACACATCATGTGTGTCTCATAATCTAGGACATCATGATGAACTTGGCGATACACCCCAAGTGTGTGTGTGTGTGTACACATCTCTATTGTTTATATGGACAGTCTGGCAGTCTTGTGAGAATGAAATGTGACGTAGCTACTGGAGATCCCTCTGGCAGGATGATTCCGAACACGGATATGACATGACACTGAAACTAGAACATTGGATCATCTTTGGTCGCTGTACGTACAATTGAATGCACCATAGGGCTGATGCCCTTATGTCTTCAGTTGAAAGTTGTCGTCTGATGCCTAATCTTCAATCTTCCGAGTCCCCTGCTACCAAAAAGTTCAGCAACACAAACACATAACCAAGCAACAAGTCGTGTTTGAAGGGTTGCACAAATGTTGGTAGTGCCTTTAGAGGTACTAATACTAACAGTGCTAACATCATCACCGTCTGTCACTCTGACTTTTCACAATGCAACTTGATAACCAACACATCTTGCACTTGGTAAAATGAAGCGTGCTGCTATATATATATATATATGTATGGGAAACTGTTATCTTTTCGTTGCTATGGCATGGCCCCCTTCTCTGTCAGATAGTTGGAAGTGAATAATTAGAACCATTGCGTGTCCGTTTTTTGTGAAGGCTGCAAAACACCTGGGGGCATTCTTTTCCACAAATGGCAAAAGGCCCTTCTCTGCTACCCTTCACCTCTCATCTGGGCATCTCTGGGCATCCGGCAGATCCCGCCCAGGGCGGATGACCTTCTCAGGCAACATGCTGGCAATCACGGCCAGAGAGACCTGCAGAGAACGGTCCAGGATCTTCCAACGTTTTACATGCGGAAAGACCCGTAGGGACGGCGAAAGACATCCGAACGACCTCGGAGGGATGCTGAAGTGGATGTAAATACCCACGCCTCATGTGTTGGCCGAAGAACAAATGCTTGAAACCTTGATTGCTACCGGCTATCTGCCTGCCAAATTCACCCATGCTCATCTTCACTGGGGTTGAGTGGTCACTCAAACGTTTTTAGGTGCAAGCAGTGTCAGAACTTTCACTCTTGGTCACATCAAGACCCCCAGCTGTTGAGCAACAAACACCACACCCCCAAACACCACCGTGTATGGACGACCAAACGCCCCAAGAGCCTCAGTTGATACAAATAACGTCATAGACACATTGAACCTTAACCGGTAGCCCACCACAATTTCGCTCCTGAAGTAGCCAAGGGTAATCCACTCATTCTAGATCACCACCTGGAAAGTAACATTCATTCATTTAGGCTAAAAGAATCCTACTTTCGGCAAAAACAACTATTTTTCGATAGTTCTTGTACCCTGTGCCAGCTTCTTTGACCACCTCTTCCTGAGTTGACAACCCCAAAATAAAGAGCTGGGGAGTGTGGACGTACATTTTTTCTTAGCACTGTTCCTGCTCTGAAGTTGGCAGGCTGCTGTGCAAAAAAACATCCACAGGAGGCTCAGTAAGAAAGTAACATCTAAATCACATGCATGCTTACAGCATGATTGCGACCTATACTTCAATATCAATGAACATGTATCTCAGGAAAACACGTTTTGGATACGCAATCAAAAACCATCAGAATCTAAAGCTGCAGTCAAAAAACATTGCCCCTCATGGCTTTCACAGAAGGTTTCTTCGTGTCTTGACGTTCTGGTTGGAGCGGCCATGTTTTGCTTTTGGCTTTGCTGGGTTTGCGGGTGGGATGCAAATACAGTAGTCGTTGCTGTCACCATTCTCCATGGCGTGGCTACGGCGTTTTGCGGCTTGCGAGGGTAAGCAAGCAAAACTTGTGCCGATTGGGTTGCATCTCGTTGAGAATGGGCGCAAAATTGCGAAGCCATGCAAAGACTTGCGCGGTCACTTTGCGCTTGTTGGATGGAGGAAGCAAGGTGCTGAGACAAAAGGCTTCGTAGAGCTCAAGATGTGGGTCACTGAATTCATCAATGACAATGGCCGGATGCAAATTCGCAGATTCAATGCAATCAACTCACGGATGGCCATGTACAACAAAGCAGAAACGTGCAGCTTGTGAAGTCCTGCACAATGTGTCCAGCTGCATCTGCATGAACGGTGTGGAAAGCATGAGACACTGCAGCACTGGCCAAGTGCCCACGGAAGAGAAGCATTTTCGTGGTACTGGATGTACTTCACAGCAAAGGCCTTCTTGCTGTTCACAAGCAGGATGCCATCGTGCAAGTCGTTAAGGTCGATATTCTCCCACCTATAGTTGTAGGATGTTGTAGGCGTACGATGCCCTGCAGCTCCTCTGGTTACATGGTTTTTGCCCATGAACGACATTGAAGGGCCCATCCAATGGGTAGAGCACTGCAGCAACATCGGTGCGGAAGCAGCTTGCCATCACAGCCGGCACAGACACAAGTGTCAGGTGAGGTGGTATTTCTGACGCACGGAACCTCCCACAGCAACCACACAAGCAGGCGGCCCAGGACTGCTTTTGCAAGTAGTAGAAGGTGAACTACATGTCCATATATGTCCATTGCTGTGCCAGTCACTGCAAAGGTAACACCAGCATCTTTCTTCAGAATCAAGCCTTCTCGGTGCTGCAATGCAAAGAAGTGCGCCATCTCCTTGTCATGAACAATGCTTCCGACCGTGCTTTTGGCAAAGTTGTACTCCATAGCGAAGCAGAAGGCTGCTGCTGTAGGAGACAGAGAAAGGGCCATCTCGATCACAAACCAAAGGAAGACCAAGGCTTTGCAAGGCTAGGTCAAGCAGACGTCTTGGAAGCCATCCTTCGAACCAGGACCACCGAGATCCTTGTCAGGGGCAACACCAGCAGCGGGCATCATATCTTCATCACTGAAGGACGGCAGTCTGCCTGGATTGGGAACTGACTGGACTCAGCCTCTGTCGCTTGTGTTGTGGAGGAGACGGTGTACCAAACCAACGGGAGAGGTAGTTGCGGAGACCAGGTGGTCGAACTTCAAGGAAGGTTCCCGCTTGACCTGAGCCGGGGAAGACCAACCAGCAGTTGCACGATCTCGGTCCACATCGACATCTCCATGTGTCTCCTGCGCCAACCAATCATGCGCAGTGGGGTACTCAGCAGGTTCTAGGTTGGGCACAGCAGGTAGAGGACCTGAAGCCGAAGGACACCCAGACGCAAAACAAGAGAAGCTGTTGCAAAGGAAGTATATGCGGAGGCAAAGCACCATCAGCACGCAACAAGGCATCCAAGCAAGGTGTGGTAGAGGTAGCAGCAGGAGCAGGAGTTGGAGTGGAGTGCGCAGGATGGTCATATTTGCGGAACACCTCTTTGAGCCACTCAACCTCCCATGCAACTGAGGCTGCGTAATTCTCTGGCTGTGGCGCATCATTTTTCCAATCTAAGCACTCTAGCATCCACTAGAAGCCACGACGGGCCTGCTGCTTGTTGAGAGATGCCCAAGCAATTTCCTTAGCCTGCCCACGCGCAAGCCTCTATAGATACATGGGAGGGCTAGTGCTTGATGACACAAAGCTTGCCGTAATTCTGCAAGAGGAGAAAGAACTGAGACCAGAAGGAGAAGGAAGGTTAGAACCTTGGAAAGTTCTTGCCAAGCCTTGTTTCGGATAATGGCCTTCAAACTGTCGATGTCAATGGCCGAAGGCTCGACATCCCACACCAAGTCGACCAAGTGCTTGTTTGAAAGCCTTGAAAGCAAAGAGACCAGAAGGAAAGGAACACTAACTGAAAAAACATTGAACATCTACGTTTTTGGTTGCGTGTTGCAGACCAGCTCTTTCAAGGGACCGACGTGCAGATGGCCGCTCGAAGCTCAGCGTTAGATGGCCTGGAAGCCCCGGATGGCGTAAGCCTTCCACGTCCATGTCAAGAGACAAGTCTCAGGGAGGTAGTGGCAGTGCAAGCTATGCAGGAAAAACAAGGCTGTGAGCCCAGTCAGACAGAAGAAGTAACGACAAAAAATACATCTCAATGGATGTTGGTGCAGCAAAGACTATTGGGTTAATGGTTTTGAATGTGTGTTTTCCTTTTTGCTCCATGGCATAAGCGGCATAAGTACTCAAAAACATTAACACATATTCTATGGTGTTTAAAAAACTAATTATTAATTGGAGATTGATATATTATGATGATTGTGATTGAGTGCAGTGGAGAAAATAAAACAAAATAAGAACGATGTGTAATACCGTGGTCCCCTGTTCTGAAAACAGTGCAGAAGCAGTGTCTCAGCCGGCGCCACGGACCGACCCTCATCTCAGCCCACGAGTGAAAGCAACGTCCGCGCCTTCCGGAACTTGTTGAGCTTCCGGAAGCCGCGCAGTGAATGCAAAATCTCCTGGGTGGCGATCTGACGGGAGGGGTGAGATCTCCCGTGGCCGGTTTGCCAGGATGGTATGGGCCATCCACAAAAGAGTTGCCAAGATGGTATGGCCAGGTGGGAGGCGGACGTCGTGTGTTTTCTTCCATGGAGGATTTATCCTACGTCCTACGTCACAATGACCTCTTCGGGATGAGGTTCTATTATTTCAACAAATCTGGGGCTTTGCGGCTTCTTGTGGTGTGTTAATTGACAAGACCAACACAACAGCTCAAGGATAACCATTCCCAAACAGCTGAAGCAAAGCATTCAACATTCACTCAACCCGGTAAGGCACCGGGACGGAAAGCTTGCCCAACATACCCAGCAAAACTCCCTCGCTCCTGGTCCACTGCAGCCAACCTCCTGCGAGGCACCTGCTTGCTGAACCACTTGTGCTTCAGAGCCTGCCGCTGCTGTTGAAGCCATATCCACCAGGGTCTGTTCTCCACATTTCGCAGGCGAGTACGGCAGGAAAGTGCAGTGACCTCCGTATTCCCTATTCAAATGCAACAGGGAAACCAAATGCAACAAGCGACCCTAAAGGATCCACAACAGTGGGAAGCTTCCTACAGTCGCTCATCTGTGAGGTTGCAATGATGCCACATGACCATGCCGTCCAAGTCGTAGTCGTCAGTTTTTCTCCGGTGGATAGAACATCCAACAATCCAATGCCTTGTTGCTGACCAGCACTTCTTGGCTTCTTGGCTTCATGAATCGCATATAATCGCATGCTATTCGATTGTAATTGGACAACTCAACTCCATATATCGACTCTATGTCTCATACCGACTCATGCCATCTATCTGACACGTATTAGTCTCTCTGCTTTCGAGGCAGCTCAACCACCCAGAACAAGCCAACGCAACGGGGCGCCGCTTCACCTGACCCTTCAGGAACGACCCAACAAGCTGTCGGTAGCCTGGGCAGCTTCCATGCGATTCGCTTCGTTGTTCATCAACATCTGCTTGGCCAAGTTCATGGCTTCACCTCAAACGGCCATTCGCAGGATCCTAAGCCTGCTGTGCTGCTTGATCCTCGGACTCTGGAAGACGTGAAGTACATCATCATTGCACCGAACAGAACTAGAGTGTCAGCATCACCCAGGTCACCCACTCACCCTCGAGAAACCTGCAACACCGTCTTGCAAGTGGCATGAGCCTTACATGCTTTTGTTGTGGGAGGTTATAGACCTGGAACCTGGAACACTCGGGGCCAGGGGGTTGAAGCATCTTTCTCCTGGATCAAAGCTCTTGGTGAGGAAGGAAGAAGCAAGGAAGAAACGAAGACTCACTACACGTGGCTATGCCGCGCTATGCGGCTATGCCTGCCTACTTCTAGAAATTTTCTCCGAACGCCGAACGCAAGTTGCATGCTGCCGCCGAACAAACAAAACCGCAAAGGATCAAGGAATAAAACACCTGAGCAAAGCCAGAGACCAAACGATTTGCAGTAATGACATGTAGGCTGACTCCCAAAAACACACATGGGAGTGGAAGAGACGGAAGTGGAAGGCAGGACCGGTCTTCCAGGGGCCTACGTTCCACCTACCTGTTTCTTGGAGGTAGTTACAATACTTCGGTGCTTACAATGCCTTTCTTCTTCGCCTTCGAAGATCGACTGCGGATTCAACTGAGAATGAGGCCAGATCTTGACATCCATTCCTGCCGCACGGTGCCCCGGTCGACGTCTGTTCATGTTTTCTGCCCCGGTGTTTGGGTGCCCGATGTTCGTGTGTCCTTGATGTTTGTGAAGAAAATAGAACATATAAACAAATGACCTGGTCATCTCAGATCCAAAGGGAATGATCAGCATGTAAGCTGTTTGATAGGACTCCACAACTCTTCAGGGATCTCACTCCAAAAAAAACGGACTAGAGGTCAGCTCTGGACGGTCTCCGGCCCGGACCTCGTGTTCTCTGAGCCGACCTCGTGCTTTGGATCGCTTCTTTCCGTCATGCTTCGCTCGTTCGTCGATCGACCAGACAGTCTCCGACTCGAGCCGCGAGCGTCGCGAGCGTCGCGGTCCTGACACCACGTGACTTTGGCGGCCATGATCTTCCTTGTGTGCCATCGCTACACGCGAACGCTGAGCGATCGGACGCGAACAAGAAGTTCGGGGCTCCTGGCCGCTCCTAACGAACGGAACAAGAAGTTAGTAACAAGAAGCTACTAGGACCAGTGCAGGGGGCACCTCCCTTCGAAAGAAACCTCTCCGGAGACCGGAGCCTCACTGGTGAAGACCCAAGGCAAGCCATAGCTGTCTTTATGTCTACATTGTTAAGTGATGCTAGACCTACTTCTTCAACCAGTCAAGAGTGTAACGAACGACTACACATAGAGTCTGATGAGTCTCACAAAGGGTCGAGTTGGTTCATTCACCGTTCGAGTCTCTGCCACACGTCCAACATCAAAAAAGGTATTCGCCTCATCCAAGCTTTAGCACCAGAGTAGTGGACTATGGTGGACTCATTTTTCATGCACGATCATCACCAGGTTGGAAGCTGTCGAGCTTCCCAAGAAGCTGCGGAGTTTTGCAGTTTTGCACCTTTAGTTGGGATCTTTGTGCCTTGCATCGCCCCTGCAGCTCATGGGACGGACCAAGTGCAGGGTCAACAGGTCCCCAAATTCGACTCATCCGGACTCCGGACACAGCTCCAGGACGATGGTCTTGCTGCCTTGCCCATTAAACCCAAAGCATCCCTTTCTTGTTCAAGCTGGCACACCACTCACAAACGACCGACCCGGCTCCATGTGACAGGCATCCACCTTAGAAGGCCCTTCCACTTCAAAAGGAGTGGTTTGCTTCGTCCCATCCAGTGGAGATGAGACAGTGGGCACCTCTCCCCTCCAAGAAGCACCCTCACCAGTGGAACACCCCCTCGCCGCGCCCAGCGCCCGATGCTCTCGGAGCTTCTTGTGAAGCTCCTCTGCGTCTCTGCCTTCGAAGGGCAATCGACAGCTCCTCGGCGATGCGGCGGAGAGCTCCGCATCAGAACAACCAGTGGTGGATAGCTCGGATGGGCCTTCCATGGGCCTTCGGTGGGTAGAAGTTGAAATGGACTAGAAACAGGATGACAAACAAACATTAACATGTCGTATAGTTCGAGAGGCTTTCTTTATTGTGCAGTTTGCATGATTGATAAACAGTGTCTTATGCTGTCATTGATCCTGCTGTAAAGCATTGAGCACATGAACGCACTTGAAACACATGACCTGGTGTTTGTCTATAAAACCCTGTAAACCATCTATCAGCTGCAGGATGGTTTCTGTACAAATACTAGGGCATGACTAGGCCGGGGAAGAACTGCTAGCTTTCCGGTGCGCCGCCATCCTGGCCATCCAAACGGCACGTCTGGCGACTTCGGCGAGTGACTGTCAAGTATGGTGTTGGGGCTACAGGTTCTGACCCATCCCACAATGGGTGAGCTATGAGTTTTTCGAACACAACTCAGTTGACCACCCCAATGGGGTGATGTGATATTTCAAAAAGAGAACAAAAGCTTCACCGAGTTCACACGTCGTCAGGTTATGTCAGGTCTCTGGAGCGTCAAGACGCTCGCGACCTTCCCGAGCTAGGGTTCATCGGAACTGGCGTGCCATCGGAAACCGAACCTGACCACCACCCTGGCTTCACCGAGTTCTGCATGCGAATGCATTCGCTCCTGCCTCCTGCCTCGGAGGCATTCTGAGACGGGTCGCGATCTCAGACGTACGATAGCGATCGCCAAGGCACAGCAAAAAGTACATGATCACGCCACACGCCCACACGTCGCACTTGTAGTTGTACGCGTGAGCATACACCTGACAGGGTCACACGCTTGCAGCCGGAGTCCCACCAAGGTACACCATACGTATGGGATCAGTGATTATAACTACAATTACTAATATACCCTGTTTGGAGCAGTGGGTGGTGAACCATATATGAAATATTGTGAAACTATCCCATGAAAAGAAACCGTACATGTTGGACCTGTCCAGCCTCCAAAACATGCTGTAGAATGCTGTAGATCGGCTGAAATCGGTCTCGGGTCCATTCTGGAACCATGTGAGGTTTTGTCGAATTCGGGGACAACGATAAAAACTTTTTATCAAAAACCAATGATTTCAGTCAGTGATTGGGAATTCTGAGTCGTTGATGCTGAAACCAAAATAGTTTGACTGCCACATCAGGTGCCTGCTCAACCATCAAAAACCCAAAGCTGCCGATGTATTCAATCCAGTCAGCCCTGGACACTGGACGGCTGATCAAATCGGTGAAGCAACCCCCCTTACAGTGACGCAGCCCTGCTGCTGACCGACTAGAAACCAGCATCCCCCAGCATTTTGCGCCAATGAGTTGCTAGATTTGGAACGGCTTTCCTAGTAGTTCCAAAAATCGGGCCGGGTGTTGCTTGTAGCCCAAAATGGGGGACATCCTCTCGCTGTTGCATTCCCCAATGGCCGGGATATATTGGAACTCACTTTTGGAGGTTTTTTCCTCACGTCCCATTCTTCCCAATCCCTTTTGCATCCTTTTGCCCTGCCTGCGGTGCCTTGTGGCTGTCAGTGCCACAGTTCCGTTTCAATACTTGTCCGTCCTGCCCGAACGGTTGGGGAACCTCGTTCCATTTCGGGGCGGTCCACGGTCCTTCCTGGGCCATCGAACTCCATGAGTCACAAAGTGGATCGGGGGTGCTTCGGTTGGTTCCCATCCGAGTGGATGTGATAGGGGCACCACCCCGACTTTCTCCACAACTATCGGCACCCCGTCTTGTGACTCCTGGAAAAAGAACAACTTTTTCCTGCCCAGACGCGACCCCGGAAAACCAGCCCGACAGGTCCCTGAAAACCTGGCGGATTGGTTCGAAACCCCAGACCCGACCCCTTCGGGTGTCCGACCCCTTCGGGTGCCAGCGTCTGGGTGAGTCGCTTTCAATCGTTTCCGGTTCGAGCCCCCGGGTCCGGAGGACACGTCGCTAGGTCTGTGAAGACTACAAAGGCCCTCGGATGATCGCTTCCCATGTCCTAATCGCACCTATTCCGAACTCCCCATGTATTTCATCTTGTGCAAGTGAATCAAGACAAAGCTAGGATTACGTGGATCCACTTTTACTTATGACTCCTGACATCAAGACCCACAACAAGGTTGTAGGCTGTGGTCCTACCAAGGGGGTGTAGGACAGCTGCAGCACACAAACTCATAACTAGTCAGGGTGCAAAATGTCAATTGGCAAACTGGAACCAGGCAACTTCAACCTGTTGGCTGGATTGGACTGTCCTCATAGGAGCAGGAGAGGCCAAAGTCCGAGATGCGGATTGCACTCCTTGGGTGCATGGCACTGCTGACCGCCATGGCACTGGATGCCACACATCTGAAACAGATAGATGCTACTGCTTTCATCATCTGCCTCGATCCCATTCATCGTCGCATCCGATCCGATTCCTCGACCCTTCTGTCGCACGCCCGACCCCCCAAAAAGCTCCGGGTCGCGGTCCCGGACTGGTTCGGGAGATGACGAGAGTCGGACGGGAGGATGGTTAACCATGACAAACACATCCAATGGACTGAATGCTCCCGTCTTCGCGCTTAGATTCAGGGGACAAATGCTTATGCACAGCGATCAATGAGAGCACGTGAATGCACACGATGGATTTCAGCCGAGGTCACCCTTCAAGTATAAAGGTCAAGTCTACCCGTTCAGCATGGCCACCCCTGGGCGGTCGCTCTATCCATCTCGATCCAACCGAAGGCGTGGCCGCACTGCGGCAAACTCCACCAAGCTGACCAACTGGAACGTGTCCGGGCTGCGTTTCGCAGCCAGGGCTGGATCGCTACGCGCGGGGGGTCTTGTTGCACCAAGACTCTCAAACTTGGAATGTGCATGTTTGGTGCCCTTCTTGGCTGGCGGCCGCAGCACCAAGAGCCTGCGAGCTCCAAAAAGAAAACAAGAGCTGCGACGATCGGTGTGAAGCCTTGGGTCTGGATTGGCACAGATTTGCACATGAACCATGTCATAACTTCACATGTCTATAAATATCTATCTGTCTGACTGGTTTAGCAACCTTTCAGCTCCTCTTCATCGCCTGAGGGACTCGGTTGTCGCAGCAAAAAGCTGGCTGGAATCTCATGACCGAGGCCCTATAGTTCAATCTCGGGGCAACCCGTCCTAGTTTGACCATGCTGGGTAAAAGCATGTATTGCATACGCCATCATAAGCCACCATTTACTGTTGGTGTTCACCAAAGATGCTTATAGAGACCATGACATAGGCTACACATGGGCTAATTTAATAGCTAAATATAGCTAAATGGATTCTATAGCCGCTGCAGACTCTGCAATCGGTGAAGGGATCTATGATGAGCCTTATGGTAAGGTCCTGGAGGGCAAAAATGGGGATGTGCAGGTCACTCTGATACCCTATCTAAGGTACACTTGGAACGACCGAACTCGCTTGATGCAGCTGTCAAAGAATTGACCCAGCTGTCAGGTTCCAGGCTTTGTCAGTGTCGCACCCCAGGCCGGAACAGAATGTGTGGTGATGTTTCTTTCTTCTGCGTGAATGTGTCTTCAACATGACCGAGCTTGTGAGAGAGAGGGAGAGAGTGCATCAGAATTCCCGGTGACTACACCGGCGGTGTCAGAGCAGGTGGCTCAAAAAGCAGTATTTCGTTGGTCCCGGGTCCCTTTTATTTACGGTATAAGATGTGAAAGTAATCGAACACTCCTATCCAGCAAACACTCGCCTACTACTTGTCCTTGTCACGATCATCTCGCGGCACAAATCTCACTGGGTCGCACATCACATCGGTCGACCCAGTCCAATGCGCCAAGAAACATGTTCTCCGATTTCCTTGGGCGCTCTGCCGATCGCTGACGCGTCGCGTCGCTCAAAGAAAAAGATGGAAGCCACGAACCCGAATGCACACATGTGCTCGAAGCAAAGGGCCAAAGATTGTTTGACACTCTCGTGGGACACTTTTGTAAGAAACTCTTAGATTTGTGGTGTTTGCGTCTTGTGGCACAGCCTCGTGGGACACACTTGTGGGACATGGTCGGACACTCTCCCAAGGAATTCTCTAAAAAACCCACACATGGTCTCGGGCGGCCGACCAACTCTTCAATCAATCTATGCCGTCGTCCAACCTTTTTCCATGAGACACTGGAGTACAGTAACCATCCTTCTTGTTCAGTTCACTCGGTTGCTGAGTGTGATGATTTCTGAATCACGACCGGTTGTTGCATGAAAAAGCCGTGGCGTTTTCCCAATCCTTCCGGCCAGGCCACAAGTCACGATGACAAATCCTCAGGAGTCACGATGATGCGCGATGCTTGGGCTGCTTCAGTATCACTTCAGTGAAAATCCAAAGAGTTCCCAACCAAAGCTGCTTCACTGTGGAGCGTCCCAACAGAAGCGCCCCTGTTTGCGCAAAGACCGAATTGCCTTTAGCCCTTCTGATCCCATCCTTCACTGCTCGAACATCCAAAGAGTTCAGAGATGAACATCACACACATGTACACCTGTGTGCAGGTGTACATGTGTATCTGGTAGACTTTTCATGCAGTACTGCAGTACCGTGGGTTTTCTTCCATTAACACATTGGGCTCTCCAAAAAAACAACCTTGGGCTGGTGCACGACCCAACATGTGCACGCGTTGGGCTGCCTCAATCTAGAACTCTACGAATCAATGCAAACAACAACAACAAAAACAGGTTGTTTTATATACTGTTCCGCTCAAAAAAACAATAGTCATAGTCATAGTATGGTCATGCTGCACAACCTTCTTGGTGCATGACTTGATGGGCTCTTGTGAGTTTCTTCAAACAACTATATATATATATGTCTACTTTATATAACTCAGCGTAACAACTCCTTTGATTTTTGACACTTTTGTCACTTGGACTTAGGGTCATAGGACTTTCTCAGTGGGTTTTCCAAGGTACTTATCTTGCTTGAATTGGTGCCAACTTCAGATGATGGTGGTTCTTCTCTCAAAAGCCCTAAACACAAAGCCGAAGCTCTTGTGGGCGTGCATGTAGGCGACTCCCCGCAAGACTTGTTGCATGACCGTAGCGGCGTCCAATTCACTCAGGCCGCCCTCCTCACAGCTGGTGCTTTCTGACACCGATGGAAAATCCCAAAGCATCAAAGAAAGGGCTTTTAAAGGTGATTGAAGCAAGCATCTTCGCACCCAAAATCCACCAAGGATTTCTTTGTCATCGCTCCGAACGCTCCGAATGACATGGGCGCCCCTTCGATCCTCCGCACATCCATGAACACGAACACAGCTCGACCCGTTAACGACGCCGCTCGGTCCATCACGTGCTCTTCCAAATCGCCGTCTCTGCACAGTTCCTGCGTCAGCCAGTTTAACTGGCGCGATTGTAACAAGTGCATCGCTACTCTATAGTAACAAGGGCATTACTACTAACTACTAGTAAAAAAGGTATTGGTATTCTCCCACCCACCATGACGAGAGATAAAAATGTACTCACCTAGTAGAGGCAGGCAGGCCATTTATTGCTCTATAGCATGGTACTACTAGAATCACTTCTAGCACAAATACTATATACTACTACTACTACTACTACTACTACTACTACTACTACTACTCCTCCTACTCCTACTCCTACTCCTACTCCTGCTGCTGCTGCTGCTGCTGCTGCTGCTGCTCCTGCTCCTGCTCCTGCTACTGCTACTGCTACTGCTACTACTACTACTACTACTGCTACTAGTAGCATTCATAGACATACTTTTGCTGGTTCTACCAGCAAGTGCTGGTAGAACCATGCTCAAGCTACAGCTTCTCCTAGCCAAGACTTACTTATATACTTCTCAGCTGCAGTTGATGCTGCCATCTCAGAATAGCTTCCGATCTCGCCACGTCGGCCAACAAGTCACGGGTGACCCGAACGCGCGGCTCGGTCACGGAATCGATGGTTTTACTCAGGGCGTTTCAGGTTTTACGAATTGATTCCTACTCAAAGATCTGAAGTGACATGCAGCCTCATGACTGGACTACTACATACGTTCCGAGCCCTTTTTTTCCGTCTCACGAACGTCTCTCCCGACTTCACGCCTCTCCCGACCTTTCCCGACCGAAAAGCGAGTCAGAGCGAAACCGCTCGACCGATCGCCGGTTCGTCCGCTCCATGACCATGTAGACACTCTTGTGGTCTTCGAAGACTTCAAAAAGCTTCACAATACCCCTGAGAGGCGGTTTTCGGCGGGTTTGTGACGCGGTGTTGCGCTCCAAAAGCGGTTGGGTTTTTGGGATGCGGCTCCAAAGCGGGGTGTCCTTGCGGCAAAGAGGAGAGATATATGTTAAAAAATAGAGGGAAGCGTGCAGAAGCGTGACAAGTGCCGTAACTGGCAAACGATTGATGTTGTCCGTACAGCTGGTTTTAGGACGTGAGCTGGCAAGAAAAGCCGTAATGTAATATTAGTAAATAACAATGACATGAACAAGACCAAGTCAAATCATGGGTTTTAAGAATTCACCCACATGATGTCTAGCTGCAGGAAGGATCAGAATGGTGTTTCCCTGTCATCCTTTTTAACGCACTGCAACCAATCATGCACCGCTGACCGCTGGCTCCGCGCTCCAAACATCTCCAAACCCTCCGTTTCCTCGGGCGGTTCGAGCTCGTTGGGGGCCAAGAGTCGGATGATCCAAGAGCTTTGCCACTCGAATCTCTTCCTTTAAAAAGTCCAGCCGCGTGTCTTTGTCGCGGCCTGACACTCCCCGCGGGTAGTTTGGCCACACGCCGAAACCACCGCGGCCGTCCACGGCGTTGAAAGCGGTGTGGAAGACTCACCAGTCCGACGCGCCAGACCGGTGCAGAAAAAAAAGAACTGCAACGACTGGGTGTCAAGGCTTGCCCCGCCGACACGGCGTTTGTTCTTTTGTCCTTGTTTTTTTCCGGCAACGATCAGGTCGTTGCACAGAATTAATTACATGAGGCATGAGGAAACCCAAATCCAACCAAACCCATAGGTATTTCAAACGTGCATTTGGGCCAGACGCAACCCTAAACCAATAACCCTCATGCAGTACAAATGATTAGTTACACGGACTGATTCAGTATCAAATAGATACACCGTGAGACCTGCCATCTCATTCTCAAGTGTGTTTCGTGATTAAAAACAGAAGCAGGTCACACCGACTCCAAACCTAGTCTTGGCTTTGGGCTTTGGGCTTTAAAGAAGCTACAGTCTTGCAGCGCTTGGAAGTATAAGTTCAAAGTGTAATCACAGCAGATTTACCTGCAGTCCAACTTGTTGATCCGTCCTTCTAACGAAATTCCAAAGATGGTTTGCGCCTCCTAAGGAATCCGACGACACGTCTTTGTGGTGACCATGTGGTGACGGTCCAAGCCGTGTTGCGAGAGTGTAAACACCGGACGTCAAACATAGAAGTCAGAAGTGAGACGAAGAAGGAAAATCGAGTCTTGGGGAACCCCGTCGCGACCGTTGCGCCGAAAAAAAAAAAAAACACACACACACGATATACGACGTTCAAGCTGAAAAGTGACTTGATGTCTTATTGGTCATTTTTTGACAACATGTGTAGTGCTATTCACTCTTTATCGGTGTTTCACTTCCTTTTTCAAGTCTATCCCCTGAACTCCCAGCTACTTGTAGACTATGTCGTCGACAAGTCCATTCTGCTGCCCCAATGAGGCAGCTGATCTGCACACGACAACCCCGAAAAACAGTCCTTAGAATTCTCTTGAATTCTCGCTGCATAAAGGCACCCTAAAGGGAAAGAATCTCAAATAAATCCTCCGAACTCCGCTCAACGTATACTTCTTTTTTGGAATGACCACAGCCAAGCCCCAACAGACTCCTAAGCTCCAGTTTCTTCCTCACGCAAACACCTCTCCACCCAATGCGAAGCTGAAACCATCTGAAAGCAAAACAAGAAGCGAGCCTCTCGCGATCCGTGCCCTGGCCATTGGTCCATCTCGTTCCATCCCCCCTCTCCACATCAGAACTCTCTCTCCCTCTCCCACACCAGAACCCTTCGCCGCTTCCCAGGCGATCGCCGTGTTGCCCCCGTTTCCCCGACGTGGTAAACTGGTCGCCGGTTCCCAGTCTCCACCGGCCCGGACGCGGCCTGCTTTGGGCAGCGGGATCCGCTTCACCGCGCGGATGGCCTCCGTGGCCTTCACCGAGGCCTTGAAGACGGACCCGAAGGAGCCCTCGCCTCGACACAGCGCGCACAGTGGTCAGACCACCCGGTGGGGTATGACCACCCGGTCATTAGCGCGCTTGACTTGGTTGCCCTGATGGTGATCCGATTCTCTTGGCATTTGGGATTTGAAATCCAGAAGTAGAGGATGGAAGACAATCAAAAGTACGAGCAAGAGGCTGTGGAGCCCTGGATCACTAAGAAGAACAACCAGTTTTCAGGATCTTGAGGGTCCGACATTCATCACGTATCTCTGCACCAATCAGGATCGCATGGATGATGGTTCCATTTCATTTAGCTGCTATATATGGCTAAATATGAACTTCCAGTGATTTTCAGCGGGTCCCACCGCCTATCGATCTCCCGACGTCGTAGAAGTCGGTGATCTTCCCAGGGTTGTCGATGTTGATGCCTGGACTGTCACATGAGAATCTCAAAAATGTTGAAAGAAGGATTGATCATGTTTGATCTATCAATGTCTTTCAAGATCAAACATGTTAGGGATGTTGTGTATCTCGGCTGACTTTAGTGATATGTTTGACATTCCATCCATCGACAGTAATAACCGCAAAAACCACGCTGTCGACACTTCGGCAAATACCACAGATAGGTTACCATGTAGGTCAATGCTGCTAGTCATGTCATCTGCAAACATTACCTATGCGTAATTCATCCTTACTAATCACTGGACTGGGATAGACATCCCCCCCGCACCTAAAGCGGCCGAGGTGATGATCTCCCCAGTCTCATCATCATCACCTCCTTGCAGCGTTGGGACGAACCCGGCATATGGGGGGATCGGGATGAGTGTTTGGACAGGTCAGGACCTCTGCGCGATGTGTTTTTCTTTTTTTCCGAATTAATGTGTTCTTTTTTGAAAGCACCAGTACATAAAGTAAGATCCTGGTTCATAGTTCATATCCGTCGTTTTTGAAACAGTGAAGGCTCTGACTCTACGAGGAAACATGTGTCCCTGTGTCCCATTCGGAAAAAAGAAGGACGAGCAACTGGACACATCTGTATGGATTGCCTTCATCCTCCGGGTCACAAACGCGCACAAACGATATTCTCTGACCACCTCGTCTACATCAACTCACACTCTAAAATCTCCCAACCTCTGTGAGATGGTAGTTTGGTGTCGATGTTTTGAAGAGACCCATTCACTTACTTCGGACTCCCACACACACAGCCACTGGCTCTCACGGGCCTCCCAAGATCACACCGCCCGCCGCCTGGGCCCGTCGGCCCGTCGTCCACGTATAGTCGAAAGGACGTATAGTCGAGATATGTCAACCGTAGAACATTCCAAGAATTAATCGTATTTTTTGTTTTAAGGATGATGGTTAGTTAGTGAGACCTTTACCCCCAAAAAGATGAGAATGCTTTGCGGACTGTAACTGGTAACGTTGACTCAGGATTAAGTAACCTCTCTAATTCAACTGTACAATGAATAGGTTTATGGATGATGGTTAGTAAAGACCTTTAGCCCGAAAACATAACAATGTTTTGCCGACTGTAACTGGTAATGGGGCACACCCAAAAAATGGATACGCCAAACCCATGCGCTACCTGATGATATCATGATTTTCAGAAAACCTAAAAAGGACAAAAAGAACCTGCTTTAAGGGGCTTTGCTGCTACGTTGCGTGCACAAAAGCACCTCGTTTGTATCTTACTGTTCACCATTGTTCATACCTGCACCACCGTGTCCAAAAGAATGTGCGATATTTCAAAGCACAAGAAAAAGTGCAATGTTTGACAAAAAAAGCGATATTTAAAACGAAAAAATGACATTGATCAGGTGTCCCAGGAGAGGTAGACGTGGGCCACAAATTCACTGGGATAAATAATCTTCTCAGGTTTCTGCGGAGGATTGGGCTTCAAACAGCAGCCTGGTCAAGCTGAAGTGTTTGTGACGCTGCAAATGTCCAGTCCGCAAGTGTCTGCCATATGTCCGCAAATGTCCACCATATTCACACAAATGTCCGCCATAGACTGGTTTGTCAACTTTTGCAAGTTGAAGCGCATTCAAAAGTTGCCACTTCATCAAATGATGGAATGCCCAAAGTTGAACTGGAGAGTCTGCTGTGTAGGGCTTATATAATCAATCCTGCACACGTATTGTGTCCTGCTGCACCAGGTGCAGGTCAAGATCCCCAAAGAGCACAAAAAGCGACACTTTTTGGTCATGGCAGCTCCAAACGCAGGTTTTTTGACCTATGGCATTTTTTGCATGCAAAAGTTGCTCCAGGTATTATAGCTAAATATATTATGGTAACCCCCATAAAGATCTACCTTTTCGATGTGGTTGCATAAATGCTTCAAAGCAAGGACTTTGTTTGTCTGAGGGGGTACCATACATATAAAAACATATACGAACCATAAAACAAAATGACACATAAATCTTCTGCCCAACTGACAAGAATACTTAGAGCATTTGGTGACAGAATCCCATTGCAACGGATTGCAATGGGATGCAAGATTCAAGATTGCAGAAAGGAATTATTGAATCCCATCACAGGGTTCAAGACTCAAGATTTCAGAAAAGAGTTCTTGAATCAAATTCCCAGGATTCAAGAACTCTTTCCTGAAATCTTCAATCTTGAATATGCTGAGAGTCAACAATTCTTTTCTGAAGTCCTGTCTTGAAAGAAATCCTGTCAAGGCAGGAACACAAATCATTGACCGGGCATGGGGGTTCGTCTCTGCTTCGTGCCCGTATCCGGTCTGCAATGTTGCAATGGGACTCAGTCACCAATTGCTCTAAGTATCTGCGGCACATGTTTGACGTGACAAAGATGAACACGCATATATATATATATATGCATGTATCTTCATGTATGTATGTATTACCCCCGCAACACAAAATCAAGCCCACAGCTCCACCCTGTGCAGAAAACATTACAAAAACACCTAACAAGGTAGGTACAGGGGGCCATGTATATATACATATGCAACTGAAGAGATCCAACAGTCCTAGAGCTGTCAAGAACTGCAGCAGTTCCCGAAAGCGGTTAGGGTTTAGGATTCTTGGTCAAATGCCCTATAGCATCCCTATAGCACCCTAAGTAGAGAGACTCCGGGAAACTGTGTCCCCTACATTGTAGCTTCTGAGTGCTGGAAAAGAAGTGGGATCTAAGTTCCATTCCGCAAAACACTGAAAAACACACTCAAAGAAGTGAGAGTGCACTGTACACCTGCTAAACCAGGCACTCTTTGAACAGCCCAGTCTGCTGTTAGGTCGCCTGTCCAGTCCGCGCAAACCACTTGATCTTATGAGTACCACTTCCGGTAATGAAATGGACACTTCAAAGCTCAGCAAAGGTCATCAGAAGTGGCGTCATGTCCCCCCACACTGGTGCTCTTCCGACCTGTAACTCCGTCTCGGGCCCCGGGCTTTTCGTGTCTTCCCCTTTCCGAGATTCCAGCCTCGGAGGAGACGAGACGAGACGCGGTCTGTGGTCCGAAATGCCGCGACTCGGACGCATCGCCTATAGCGAACGGTTCGCGATCGGACGCGAACCGAACAGGGCGCTCCTGGCCGCTCCTACGAACGTAACAAGAAGCTACTAAAGTCTTCAATGTAACTAGTAGCGATGCACTTGTTACGTTCGTAGCGATGCCAGGAGCCCCGAACGTAGCGTCCGATCGCTCCTAGTAGAAAAGCCCTTTCTTCAATGTAACTTACATAATTCTAGCCGCGACCTGGAACCACCCGGACTCACATTTGTGTGTGCCACGTCGATGTCTAGAGTACTGACTTGGCGAGCACAAAAAAAAGCCGCCCGCCTATTGATCTGAAGTTCCAAATTCTTCCACTTCAAATCCCTCCGTACCGTGTACCGAACATCCATGACAATCCGCCGCTTCCCCACCCCACCCCACTCGACTTGAAATAAACTCACCCCATTTTTTTTTCCAAGGCACGTCGGCTGGAGGAAGACTTTGGAGAAGTGTTGGACGGATCAGAGGGATCCGAATCATGTTCTCGGTCCGGTGGCGTCAGCGCCGTCGTGGCGGTCGTGGCGGAGGAGGTCGGGACGACCGGGGGTTGGATCTCATCCGGTTGGGCGAAGAAAGGTGTTTGGTTTCCGGCGGCCACACCCTTGGAAGAGGATGTTACGAACTACTAGAGTGGTGGAACACCACTTCCATGTGAGTGACTGAAAGTGTGGATCATTTTCAAGGTTTCGCACTAGCAACTGTAGGAAGATCCTACATGTGGGGAAGTGTTTGGGGAGAGTTGCACAGGCAGGGCTAACAAGCACATGACTCATGATGGTTCAACTCAAGTTGGATGATACGTTCTTCAATGTTCTTCTATATTGCAGTCACAGTATATGGTCTCACTCAACTCACAGTCACAGGAGCACTTTTTTCCTAAAACTCCGCTTCTCTTGTATCCCCTATCTCCGTTTCTGCAAAGATCTGCTTGCTAAAGGTTGCCTCGGACCATCTTGGACCCTCAAGTGCCTTAAGTTTTCCTAAAACTCTAGGAACCAAATGAATAGTGCGAGCGCTTCTTCAAGGAAGCTGAGCTTCCTTGAAGAAGTGTGAACTATCCTGCATCCTGGGTAGTAGCTACTTGTAGGTAGTAGCTACCCAGCTACTACTAGCTACCTACTCTAGCTACCTACTCTAGCTACCTACCTCTACCCACGCACCTACCCACCCACCCACCCACCTACCTACCTATCGGCCTACCCCCCTTAAAGAGAAAAAGAATGGGTGTCATTCCCTTTCACTCTCCGTGTCGCCTGGATCAATGCACACATCACCTTGGTGGGACCAGCGGGACCCAGCGGCACTTTTCTGCGTCGATGCCGGTGTCGCGGAAAGGGTTCTGTGGAAAGGGTTCTGCTGGGAACCTGTCATGAGCAGCTGCACTAATAGTTGGTGGACTTTCTTTTTTACTCCTTTTTTCTGCGCAGCTAGGCAGCTCTCCATTTGCATGGACGTTTTCATTCCTATCGCTGGCCTTCTGGGCGTTCTCGGCTCTGAAGGGTTTGTGCTGTCTACTCAAATAGATCAGGCTCCTAGTAGCTTCTTGTGCCTAGTAGCGATGCCAGAAGCCCTTAATAGCGTCCTTGTTCCTAGTAGCGATGCCCTTTGCTCCTAGTAGCTTCTTTGGCTCTCAAAGTGATGGGTCTAAAGAGGTGTCTCTCGTGTTCAGTTTGGGACCTACTGTGGGGAAGACTGGCAGGCTTCTGTGAGACTGGCCGCCCCGTGAGCGGGTCAAAGGAATCTGAAAGCCCAGGGTTTGGGAGTGTTCAAAAGCTCCAATTTAAGAGGCAGTAGACCTAGAGATGGTCCAACATCTCTACTCAGGTGCTTTTGATTCGAAGGGGATTTTCGCCATGAGACTGTAGCTTTTCGATGAGGCGGAGCCATTGTCACTCATTGCCTCTCCCGAAAGAGTTCCAACGACCTCAGTGGATCGCGCCGGACCGTGGATCGCCACTGACCGAAGATCCAGGGACCATGGATATACATAGTAAAACATATGGCTTACAACATGTTATGATATTCATATGTGTGCATGATATATATATATATAAGCACATACATATATATATATATATATGAATATAATATGAATATATGTGCATTTGCGGTGCATTTCTCCCTAAGTATGTACAAGTACATATATATATATACAGTGGTCCATGGTTGGACGCAAACAAAAGGTGCACAAACAAAACCAACTGCTTTTTGAGTGGATTTGTGTGAAAGAGTCACGATCACGTGTCGGAGTCACCCTTCTCATCCCTTCTCCCGTGTCGCGGAGAATCACAATTCAGGATCCAAGCAGTGGTTCAGGGCGCGGGGTTCCACGTGATAGACTGGAGTCATGTTGAAATATGTTGAAGGAAGACTTCTACAGCATGGTTGGCTAAGGCTAAACCTTGTTCTGGTGGGCTTTCTTTCTTGCTTGCCAGTCGAACCCTGGTGCGGCATCCCCAAACAATCTTTAGATTGAGCAAACGTAACAATCTATAGTTCCCGTGTTGTTCACGTGCTTTTCTTGCCTGGTGGCTGTGGAGACTTCCCCTCAGACCCTCCGATGCTGGACTGATGGGCCACAACGGATGGACATGGACGAGTACGGGTGTAGCATACACATGGCACCACGCCTGCCGCCTGGGGTGCCAAAGTGTGCAGATCATCCCAATGACTTCAGGTGCCAAATGGCACGCATGCGCGCAGGGCAGACTGGACATCATGGCAAGTGCAGGGCAACGATGCAATGCAAATGTATGCAATACGTGGAATAAATCACACCTGATCAAACAACTAAACAACCGAGCAAACAAAGACTTCGATAGTGTCTTAGATTGGAGATTGGAAACACCCCATCCCAAAAGACGCATGACGTGCATCCTTGGTGTTTTCCGCCTGGCTGTTCCTGTCACATGGCCAAGGACAATGAAACCACTTGATGAGACGACTTGGACCTCTTAATAGCCTATTTGAGGGCCCCTTCGTTGAGGGCCCCGTGCCCAAAATGCTTTGGACCCCCCCTACACCAAACACAGATCTTGACGACCCCGCCGCGACGTTCGTTCCGCGCGCGGCCCAAACCGGTCGACAGCCCTTTGCCGTCCCAGCGGCTACATCTTCGACCTCTGTATCGACCCGTTCGGAGGACAATTTGGGCGTGAAGTCGTGCGGCGGAAGCTCCTCGTCTTTGGACCCCTGACAGGCCACCTGCGCCGCAGGGCACGCGTGGAGTCGGCAGGTGGTGTTCGGTGCGGCAGAGTTGGTTCGGGAGTATCCCAAAAAGTGCCTGAAAGGTGTGGCCGAACAGACTGTTATGGCGCTTTTTGCCGAACACACCCATATTGAATATGTTCAGTACCATATCTGATTTGTATACCAGGAGTCACAAAGGGGTGGTTTTTGGTCCCTAAGTGAGTGGATAATGGGCACCCTACCCACTTTGATGTCGCAATCCCACAAATGACCAGGGGAACAAGAGCTAACCTCTCTTGAGTGGTCTGACTTCAGGATCGATCACGTGACCTGCCATGTCACACAGAGATTCCTATTTACCTATAACCTCCTAATTTCAGGATAGCAAATTCTTCAAAGTGACCATTTTGGGGTCAGGACTAAGTGCCTCAAACCTGGGTCTCACACGTTCACGTTCCAAAAACCTGATTTGTGCATTGCATGTTTCTAGATTATATACCTCAGTGGAAGGTCCAATGATTGCTGTTGCGTGATGTTGCATCTTAGAAAAGCACCCAAAAGATTCAGCCTACAGTGGTTTCAGAGTAGATGACACGAACCCACTTTTTGGTTCTACGGCACGGGAACAATCAAGTCTTGACGCGGCAAGACAGGAAAATATGATCCCTGCTGGAACAATTAACAATGCAACCGGGTGTGTCCTATAGCCGGCCATTTGACTACCACAGCAACGTCAATGAAAGCATACAGTATATACATTCATATTCATTGTTCATGTTTGTGGCCAGTGTGTATCTTCTTTCTGGCACACACCCTATCAAACAGTAGTCCCAAAAGGGTATTGCTTAGACATCAGTGAGCAACTTGCAGTCAGCCAGGAAAGACGTGAAACACAGTAACAAGTGATAGACATGTCTACAGTCATTGTCTTAACACTCTTAACATACAAATGTCATCTTGCCCACTTTGTATCCATACTAGTTTATGTTGCACTGTTGCTGGGACAAAAGCAACCTGTAGCAACCAACCTGCTCCCAGACTCAGACTGGGCGCAGCGAAACGGCGGCAAAGCGATCAGAGCGAATACCGGCTCTGTTGGAAGTCACTCCACATGGGCTTGCAAATGGTGTTATCAACTCATGTCCCTTGTGGATATTGTGAAAATATTGGTAGCCTAAGGTTTTTTTCCCAGTGGAAGAGGGGCGGGTGTGTGGATTCAAATCAGCCACACACATCTTGATACTCAATCTGCACATGATGTCTGACATCAGAATGTAAAATGGGATGCCATTTTAAGTGTTAGGCTTAACTTCAATGAGAAACCCACAGGGCAATACCACCCAAAAATAGACCTTCATGTGGCTCAAGTGGCTCTTAGGGTGGCTTCAAGCGGCTCTCAGGTGGCTGTCGTCATCGTCTGTGCAACGCGCTCGCCCTTCGCCATCGTCGCCATCGGTCTGGGACTGCCAGGAGCCGAGAGCGACGGAGCGGCCATTGGAGCGATGGCCAAGTGTGTGGCGCTGATGGCGCCAGTAATCGCGAGGCCTCAGGGCGACCCAGGCGTCCAGTAGTCCGTCCGGTGATGGAAGAAAGGAACGTGAGGGAATGGTTGCAAGTAGAGAATCCATTAAACAACAACAACAACAACGACAACAACAACAACATGTTCATGGTATATTGACTGGAATTGTAGACCATGAACAATCTGCAAAAACTCAATACATCTAAAGGACTTAGCAAGACTTAGCTTAATAAACACAATTCCTCGTGAGACAAGCTAGTGAGATGGCACACACACAAAAAAAATAGACTGGCTGAACCTATTCGACGGTTGCACGTCTTCCTGGTATTTGCAAAATAAGTTTTGGTTTGGGAACTGAACTGTCTTTGTAGGTGACAAACGCATGCCTACTTGAACCTGACCATGCAAGAGGAAGAACAAACATAAACCGAAAGTATCGCGGCAAAAGACCCCAAAACGGTGTTGAGTGGGAAAGAAGACAAGGGTGAATAAACCAACTTCCGCACATATGAGAGCACACACATGTCGCACATATGAGAGCACACATATCACTCATTCACTCACTCACTCACTCACTCTCTCTCTCTCTCACTCTCTCGCAAGCTCCACAGGGCAGCCGTCCACGTCAAGAGCACACATATGAGAGCAAACACATGAGAGCACAGACTTGCAACCGCCGTGAACACCCTCGACGAAACCCAGCCTTAACACCTACAGTAAGAACCCCTAGTCTAGTGTGACCACGCTGTTTGGAAAACATATCTGCTTGCTCGAAGCAATTTAACAGCAATCCCTGGATGCACAAGTGAGTATAGGCCTGTGACATGTGCTGATGTACTATAATAATGTACTATATAGTGATATCCTTGTGTGTTGCTTGGAGTGGGTAAAAATGTTCAACTCAAAACCGTCCGCCTTCCCCTTCGCCTTCAGAACCCTGCGACCCTGTCCCCCTGAAAGCATCAAGACATATGGTCACCTATCCTCAGCTGTCTCCACTCCCTTCCCTCCTCGGGTGGATGTTCCCCTGCAAGCGCAGGGGATTGGACACATTTGGACTCCGGACCCCCAAAAACCATGGAACTGGACTGTGTCCCGGTGGGGATTCCACCACAATTCACCGTTGTCCATGATTCATCTGGGTGAATTTCATCTATTTCGGTGTGCACCATTCGCTCCGTGGCGCCTGCGACCGTGACAACTCCTCCGATGGATGCCACACCAACCGAAACAGTTGCCTCTGCAGCAGTATTAAATGCTCCTGTGATGGCCATGAGTGCCTTAGCCCAAAAACATCGAAGAAACGAACAAAAACAAAACAAGCTCCAGGTTTCCCTGAGTCCATACAAAAAACATACGTACATCAATAACCTGGAACCCCAAACAACCAGAAACAAATGGTTGTTCCAACATGGCAATTGAAATCATCTTTATATATCTGGCTGTTTGCTGTTTGGGGAAACATCCATTTAAAAAATATAGATCCCAAAGAGAGTCCTATCCTTGAATCGTCCAAGGCACCCCCATGATGAGTTCTCCTGTATGAGCTCCCTTGGCTCCCAACTGTGCGAAAACGAGGTGGGAAGACGAACGGCCAGCTTGAGCCAAAACTCGACGGCCACCTACCATTCCAACCAAGGGAGCACTTCCTCATCGATTTGTTTCTTCCACCATAGGATAGACGTCATGCCGAAGACATGTGCCGAAGTGATTATCCCTCAATGCCAAGACCTCAATGTCCGTCATGTGCAGTAAAGTATCGGACTGCATCCCTGACAGAATGAGACCAGTTCATGACTCTAGCATCACAAGGGGTAAATCTAGAGCTGCTTGTCAGGTAATTCATAGGAACTCACTAAGTGATCGTAGATTGCGCACGTAGAAACATTCCTGAAGCATTCCTGAAGCATTCTGCTAAAAGCAACTCGCTCGCAACACGCAGCGACTTCGCCCGTCTTCCGCCTGAGTCACTTCTGGTAGGTCGCCATAGCCTCCCTCCAAGCGCCCGCCCTCGTTTTGATTCGTGAACGGAGACTCGCGGCAGAGTGGCAGTCCAAGACGGTTCCAGAAGTATGTGTGCCCATTTCGAAACATGGTTTGGTCATTTTGGGTGATGAACTTTGCATGAAGTCTTGGTTTCTGAAGGCAAAGCTTTGACCCGCAAAGCAAACGATTGACGAGTCGGGGATTTCAAAAAGCCTTTTTATCACAGCTGGCCCTTACGGCAACTACCATTAATGGTCTTCTTTGTGCATGCTGAGAAAAAAAAATCTTGGAATCTTCGGTGCCTCGCAGGCTTCGCGGCTTCCGCGGCTTGTATGTTTAAAAAAAGAAAGGGACTAGGAGACCGGTGCATCGGGAGACGTCCCGCCTTGCGGTCATGGCTGCAGCATTCCTGACACTGAACCGGAAGCAACGCTGCCAGGAGGGAGACCATGCCGCATCACCTGTCGGCTCCGGGAGACCCCGCGTTTCGGAGCCGACGTTCGGAGCGTTCAGCGAGATATCTCGAGCTGCGCGGCTGTCGAAGAACACGGTGAAAACGGTTCGTCTGGAGTCTGACATGATCTTAATATATATATACACCACATACCACACCAAGATTTTGTCAAAATTGCATCAAATTGGGATGAAAGGATAAGTTTGCGCACCAGATCAAGCATTTGATCGGATCAGTGGCCTCTTTCACTGGACAACCAGGGTCTGTTTCACTCTCTTCCTCGTCTCCTTCACCTCTTTCACTCATCCAATCCTTCATGTCGCGCGTTCCCCTCGGGACGCCGGAACCGCGGCCTCGTTGAATCGGTCTCACCAGGTCTCGACGAGTGCGGACATGGGGAGATGACTCAGCGCGGTCTCGACGAGTCGCGGGCAAATGGGGTGAAAGACGAGCTGATCAGAGTGGTGAGTTCAAGATGTCAGAGCTGGTGCTGGTTGTGGATCTGGGTTTGGAACCCTGAGATGAACATGCTGCTGTTGTTTGGGTTCAACAACATGATCTACATTGTTCAGCGCAGAAGCCAGGCTTGAAAGCTTTTCGAGCAACTGTCATTTGCACTTCACAACAGTTCGGAGAGGTTGCTCATCTCTTTGCCTCCTTGCGGGGCCTCGGGCTTGGCTTGGCTAGGTCACTGTTGCGGGTCCATTCAAAGGAATGAAGTAGCTCGAGGACCACGGCAAGGCGCGGCGAGGAAGCAGCTTTGGCAAAAACACACGACTACAGGTGCTCCATGCAACAGTCGACTGTCAGAGCTGTCCATTTCGACCCACATGCTGAATATGCTGAATATGAATATGTTCATCTTAGGAAAAACTGGACCACAGCTGGGTCAATGTTGTTCAACGGGCCTCCACTCATGGCAGTCCACACGGCTATTCGTCGGCGAAAAACCCATGGCCGTCCCACCGGCTTCGTGTCGGCTCCACCCGGACGGGGTTTTGAACCGCCGCGAGACCACAAGACCCATGGCGAGTTCGCCCGCAACGGGGGTGCCATACAAGCCCCTCTGGGAAATGGAGACAGAAAAAATAGATATAGTTATAGTTATGGTGGTCCCAAATAAGATAGAAATCATGTCCAATACATTTGTTGAAAGGAATTTGTTTGTTCCATATCTAGCTGGAGGTCTATATAATTGTATATACATACCAAGACCTGCAGGTTTACGGGGTCTGCTTGTGAGCCACAGCCACATCTAAGATCATTGCTTCTTCAACCTGCTAGACAACTCCCAAGCAAGCTCCCCAAGCTCACCAAGCCCGCTTAATGCCATTGAGCTCATCTTCCAACTTGTAGACCGAGACCACTTGCTCCTGCAAAGACCGTTGATTTCTTTTTAAGAAGAACGCACGTACTATGCTCCTCATATCCTCTCCGAAAACGAACCTGGAATCCTTGGAATCCTTCTAAAACGAGGAAGAGGAATCTAATTCGGAAGGCCTTCTCATTCAGATTGATGTTGAACATTCTTCGCTTCAGTCAGATCTCCCAAGAGGTGGCTTCCTTTGTGACCTGCGTGGCTTTTCAAACACCTTCCTCGCGAGCGGTTCTCGGTCACGTGACCGAGAACCCGAGGCGAGAGGTTCTCGGTCGAGACCCAGCGCTGGTGGTCACTGGCCTCGCATCATGGGATTAAGTATTGGACCACTCTCCACGTTCCTTTCGATCCGCTTCCCAACTGCCCATGTCCCGCCCAATCCCCCAGACCTCAGGGGCTGGTCGGGCTGGATCCAGTTTAAAGTCCGGATCCCAATGGTCCGTGGGATGAGCACACATCGTTGCTGCTATTATAACCGTTTGGGAAGATGCTCACAAAACAATTCTATATATAGATACGCATATTATGTGATGTTTATTTTTTCACATTATATAGTCCGTATGTTTGGCTGAGGACCACGGCCCATGTTTGGTGAGTCTGGTGTTCTTGCACATGTGGCTGAAAGGTGAGGTTCATGAGATGGCAAGCTGCACGTGAACTAACACCTTTGTGCATGTTCCAAAACATCAAAAAACCAAACCACCTGAAAGGCGATTGGGCAACTCTGTTTCTTCTGTGCGCAAGGATCGTCGGGGGCTTCACCAGCTTTACAATTTGACCCACAACTGTCTAGCTACCTGGCAAAATAAGGTCTAGAGTCTGTAACCCCACAGATTCTGGTGGGTTGCTAGTTTCAGAGCTGCGGAAGAGAAGGACAAAATAACATCTACCTAACTATCTACACTTCGACTCACCAACATGGAAATGGAAAACCACCTGTTTGTAGAGGAAGATGGGCTTCACAAGGGGCCATTGTCCACTTGCATGTTAGGGAGTCAGAGTGTAATTCTATTCCTGCCTCCGGTACAGTTTTGGTCAAGCTCATCGCCCACGCCTTGCCATCGACGATGAGTTTCAGCTGTGTGAATTCTTCCATGGGACCATAGTCTACGTCGCCAAACCTGTCGGACGAGGGACAAGGGAGTGGACAATCTCCATTTAGAAGAGATAGTTGAGCTGTTTCTGCACAGATTTGAGCTGTTTCCGAGAACACAAGACTAAGAGGTAGTCATACTTTCATCATCTTAGTAGCTATACTTCTTCAACTCCTTCTTGCCGATCTTCGGGGCATCTCGGATGGTCACTCACCCAGCCCTGGAAGGATTTCCTCAGAAAAGAGCTTCTCTTCTGCCACATTGGAACTTATACTTCGATTAAGTTCAATGTCCGGGTTTAATGCCGCACAAATCTGACAAGGTCCGGGTACCCCACATTCCTTTGACCTATAGGGAGAGAGTCTTACCGCCTGCAAACCAGGATGCCCTTCTTGAAAGAAGCTCCTATCATCCTCCACAATAGATGCTCTCGAAAGTCAGTTCGGCTCTTGTGTATTCTTTGGAAGTTCGGTCAGACTCTCCAATCTCAACGCCCATGTCCATCTCCTGTTCCCCTCCTGTCCGGGCGGGTGGGAGATGGCTCAACGGGCTCAACGTCGGTCGCGCGGGCCCCAGGGCACTTGGGATGAACCAAGCTCAGAAGACCTTTGGGATGCTCCCGCAGCATCTGGTCAAGCACCTGCAAGCGGTGCTTGAAAAAGCGCGCGCGCGCGTAAAAAAGGACAAACACCTGCGACCTTTGGGGGAATGCTCAAAAAAGGATGCCTTTCGGGTAACCTCTGTTTTGATTGAACATATATGGCTGGGTCTTTTCCCATCCACAGAAACTCCCGTTTTTGGGCAACGCCTTTGGCCGCTCGCGGTTGGCGATTTCGCAGACCGCCTTCCCCAGGCCACCAGCAGAGACCTTCACATTCCTCGTTGGGATGGTGTGCTCAATGGCAGCACAAAGGACCTCCGACGGCTGGAGGTACCGACCCGGGTCCCCGGGAGGGAGGCCTGGCGGATCCTGGCGGTCTCAAAATGGATTCCATCTTTGGATAAGGGAAATGTGAGAAACTATGAGGGTGTGTCCGGGTCCTCAGACGTCCTCCAAAATGTTTGGGGCAAATGTGTCTCCTGGATCGCAACAAGCACAGTGTCTGTTTCTGTTTCTGAGAGGCAGCAATATGATTGTAGCTTTAGAGGCACCAGAGTGGTTAAAAAATGGTTGCTGATGTGTGTGTGTGTGTGTGTTTTAATCTCAATGTTCAGGCTCAAAGCAATTCATGGTTCATTCATGATGTTCCAACTTAATGCAGATTGGCAAATACAGGTTGCAGGATGCTCTTCCAACAAGTAACATCTTGTAAGCTGATCTGTAGTGATTCATTTACAAAGAAAGACTTTGTTCCCAAAGGACACCTACCATTGACAGCGGCGAACCACCCTTCCTCATTGTACCATTTAGTACAAGCTGCTTGGCGAGCTGTTGAGGTGAACAGCTTCTGTTCGAACGGATTGCACAAAATAAAGCCAAAGGCATGCCAAGTGGTGCTCTATGTTTTTTTGCAATTGTACAGTACATACGTAATAGTACGTAATTAATTGGTTTATAGTAATTGGTATGGTATTGAACACCCGATATTTTCTGCACTTGAAAACACATCTTCCTTTCACACCCCTCAAAACCCCTGGGGAACGCACGTGGTGAGCTTCTTTCCGTGGCTCCTCACTCAAAGGAGCGCTGGGCCTGCTCGGTTCGCCGGTCATCCCGGCGAATCTTCGTCCGACTTCGTCCTTTGTGGAAAACAAGGCCAGTTGTTTTGATCCAAAGTTCATCTGCCATTCTGAGGGGAAGTAAGCCTTGGACAAACAGTTGTACAGATAGTTTGGGCCGGTTTGGGGATGTGTTCCCAAAATACACTAAAACAAAGACTGAGGACAATCGCCTGAATGTCCCTAGAAGCTTGCTGTAGCCGCTTGGTGCTTCATCTTGAGCCCAGCCCACCGTGTGGGATGGCTAACTACCTTTGTTCAAGGTCATGGCAACGAAGTCAGACTGTACCAAGAAGACTGTCCTCACCCATCCTGCCTCAAAACAAGACTCTGACACCCCACACGAGGTTTTGAAGCCTCAAATCGGAGACCACGGCGAGGCCTAACGGCGGGCCTGGTGGGCTTCTTCACCACGCTGAGGAAGACGCTGCTCTTAGAGTTCGCCAGCAGCACCTCAGCAGAAGCACGTGATTACGAGGAGAGGCACCGGCAAGAAAGGATCAAAACGAGTGCTTTTGGCTTGGTTTGGCAGCTTCCTTTCTGAATCTAGGCTGAATTTGAATGAGCACTTCAAACATTTGACCAAATTGGGCTTTGACAGATGAGGCAAACTTCACCAGCCTGCGCAGTACCAGTAGTTCCAGGACACAAGCAAGTGAATCGCCCCCCTGCGTGTTGAAACAACCGACCTAGCAATCTCTTACCAACTGTCAATCGGAAAGATTGCAAAGCGCAACCTCTGATCTCATCCTCCGTCGTGGTGATGTGCCCCCCCATCCTGCCCAATCCTGACCCGTCTGTTCAAGGCCCATGCCAGGAAGGGCACTGCCAGCCACAGAACAGAGGCGCCTCGGGCTTAAAAACATCTCGAGTCCCTATACAAACCCATGGTAAAAGAAGACCCCTAAGGCTTAAGGCTCTAATGGGTTGTCAATGGACACCCCGAATCACCTCTAAGACCCTTAGTATTGTCAGCCATCTGAAACAGCTGTCTGACAGGCACAGTGTCTGACTTTAAGGTACCATGAGGTACCCAAAGCCCTTGTAGCGCAGCAATCCAGGGGTGTTGGAGTCCTTCTCCCACAGCGTGCTTTTTCAGGGCTACTCCATTGAGGCACTTGTTAAAAGGAAATTAGATGACATTAGTCCTAAACCACATAATGATCGCCGTGTCTGTTGTTTAAACCTAGGATATATAGATACTACTTATTACTTACTTATTACTCTAACCCCTATTACATCTTCTTGGTCTGATTTCAGTACAACATGGCCAGCCTCAACCATTCTTGCATTTAAATGCTTGAACAGAAGTGAAGAGACCATCAAACATCAGTCAAATGATGTCAGCTTCTTTCCTTTGTCCGCCATGTTTAGCTGCCATAGAACCCCCATGTTTAGCTCGCGTGAGCACTTCCGCAGCTACAAGACCAGACGATGCCACCATGGCTTGGTTTGAGTCGATCTTGAAGTTCACAGGGTTCATCCAAGGAGATCTACCAATCCACTACAAACAAAACTTTTCTGTATATAAGTTATATAAGATACGTAAATAATTACATGTAATCACTTACTAACTGTATGCCTGTATTTCAGGAGGGCAAGAGATGTTCGCCGCTCTTGGTCAGAAGTCCTGCCATGACACCGATCCGGCTTTGGAATTGGATCCAGTGAGTGGATGGTGATGGCCACCGGAAGACTCCACACAAACAGCTCGGACGAGGGCGCCTCTGGTGAGCCACAGCGAGAACACCGACTTCACGCAGGCATCCTGTGGCGACCGACTTCCGGTGGCACCCCCGGTTCGTATGGTGAGGCACTGGCTGGGTGAACGACGCCCGATCAACCAGTTCTACGACGCCGGCACCGCAGATCTGCCAAGCAAAGCAAAAGTTTATTGCAAATAAACTAATAAGTACTGTCAATATCCGTCAATCCATTGGGTGTATCCCGTTCCCTGTATCCCGTGGAGGAGGATGGTTCATCAAAAAGCCTTCCTTAAACCATAGTGACTAGTCCTTTATGCAGTGTTACAGGTCATGGGACACACACACAATCAATCCGTGACTGTTCCATTAACCATCATCCATCCACTGTTTTTGGTGACACAGTTTGCCAGTGGACGCCTTAGAACCTTCTACACCGCGTCCGCCAAACAATTGACGTCTCTTTTACAAATAAGGGACATCGTGAGACTGCTTTTTCCGTCCTTCGCTGGAGCTTCCAGGTTGGCGCCTTTGCAAATCAGCCACCTCAGCTGCTGCGAGGAGCTTGGTGCAATGGAGGCGACGGACCAAACGAACGAGAAAGCCTCTGAACACATGGCCGGAGGCCGGAGGACCCAAACCGCCAAGCGAGAACGATGGAAACGGACCGATGCCATCAATGAATCAAAAGGAACCATGGCACCTTAAAGCTCAAACATGCATACTGTACGCGTTGTACAGTTTGCGGCACAATCCGGGCCTGGACATCAGAGTACATCAAGCAGTACAAGCCAAACAGGAACTATGACACCAACCAGCAAGAAGCGTCGGCCTCACGGTCTCTCTGTCAGCTGCTTGCTGACTCTGATTCAGCAAGAATACACTCCTAATCTATTTGGGCGGCCATGAGATTGCGCTCTTCAAGACTTGGTCTTGCAGAATGAGGATTCCCGAGGAAGTGTGGCCTGAGCCCACCTCAACGACGTCTTGCCACAAAAACCTGGTCCAACACGTCCTCTCACGTCCTGTCCTGTCAGCAGCCAACAAGAGGAAGAGCGCTCGCTCATGGAGCGGAACAGGTGCGTCTTGGAGCGAACTTGGGGTTCTTGTGTGACGCTGAACCATGTATCGGATGGTATCGGTTCTTAGTTCTTTATAGTTCTTTGTTATTCAATGTATCAGTCCGACCAAGCGAGCGATATCAGACTCCCCTCCAACTTTTGGTACAAAACCAACTAAGCATCTTCACGGTGTCCCTAGATCCTGAGCACTTACTTGTGAACATCCAGTCTCCACCTAGGCGTGCTTGCCTGTCTCCTCCCTTGCAGATTAACATGGAACCCCAAAACCACTACGTTCTAGAAAGAAATGGTCGAAACCACGGGTCAATTCGGATCCAGGGGGGTATAGCAGTCTGGCCAAGCGACAAACAACATCTGGATCCACCAGTCTTGCACCTCTACGACAGATCTGGGCACCTCAAAAACCAGATCCACCAATCTGGGCCTTCCGGCTTTGAGTCCAAGTCCTTCTCCACCATTTCCTTGCTCCGTTCCGGAGATGAAACATCAACATTTGGGGGTCGTCTCTATCAAATGTCATCCGACAATGAAGAAGACATGAGGAATCATGAGGATATCAGTAAGAAGGACTTACTTCACATTCTGCGCCCCGTCAAGTCAAGATTCATACGGTAGGACCGTGTGTTTCTTCAGCTCGGGTGTATCTATCTATGTCTTTAAGGTGGCTGTACAGATCTGTACAGCAAGGATCTATCTAACCTGATCAAGTGTAAGGTGTAAGTCATCCGAAACAACTCCCCCACTTCCAAGGGTTCACCTTGCTGACATGGCGTGCTACTTGGAGTTAAGTACAAATAGAATCAAACATAGATCAAGGCCAAAGTTCCTGATTGCTCCCTAGGCCCCACATCTCTGGTGCTTCATTGTCTCATCTTGGAACTGCTTCATCGCACGAGCAGCAGATCACTGAGAGGCGGCCGCCAGCTGGCGTGTCAACAAACATTTCTTAAGCAAGAGTCGGGAAAAAATGACATGCTGTCGGACCCATTCCACAGCCTTTTCTGCTTTTAAGCGAAGGATTCAAAAGGCTTCATTCCTTCCGCGGACTGTTTGAACGACAACGCCAGAAAAAGGAGACCCGAGGGGCGGACGATGGGTGCAAAGATCGAGACCTGAGCAGATTTCATCCGCTTCTTCAATGGATTCTTGGATGTGGATGGACGCCCCCCTTCACATGCTCGTCTTGTTGCAGTAGGTTCAACATGGTTTAACAAATGACTGGCAAAAGATTAGATGTCTGATTTCTTCAGCACGGAAAAGCTTGCCTCAATTAAACTCCATCCGGATGTGGAGTAGTTAGACTTCTGCTGCACTACCAGCAGCGACTGGTCTGACCAAGCCCCTCCCAAACCCTGGGCTGTGGGCATGAACAGCTTTCAAGCCACCAGGAACCAACAAGAGGCTTTCATTGCCCCAGGTATCCTGGGCCAAGGGTCAATGGGGTCAATCTCTCCGTGACTGACGATGCCAGTTCTTCCCCTTTTTGGGCCAATCGTCCGATGCCACGTAAGTGCCACCTTGACTCAAGGAGTCCGTCCATTGTGTACAACACATGGCCGATTCACGTCTTGATGAAATTAAACAGATACATGTTCACATGGTCTGAAAACTCTGCTCATGTTTCTGTCCCTTGAGAGTTTCTCCCCGTGCCTTGGCTGAGAGGTTCATTTTCTGCCCCGAAAGGGTTGACGCATGTGCCGCAGTCGACACAAAAAAGGGGGCTCCAAACCGAAGAAAACACCGGAAGCTCTGAATGACTCGTCAGAACTCGTTGGGCTCTCCTTCTTGATGAAACAACTGTTAAGTGTCAAGAGCCCAACACAGGGGTGAAAATGGGTTTTGAGTCCCGAGTAGCTAACGTCAAACAAGGTCTGAAGATGTCTGAAGATGTTGTGTCAATGTCGAAGAGAATGGATTATTGGATGAGTATGACATACAATAAGGTACAATAAGTAAGTTCCCCAATCTGGATGTGCAATCTCCCCGAGCCAAGCCCGGAATACAAAGGGACGCATCAGCCTACCCCGCCAGCCCCACATGGGATTCCATGGCAGTCGGCGGTCGGGCTTTCCGCGGACGGCAAATCAGGGAACACCAGGCGGACGGCGCCTGGATGTTCCTGTCTGATCAACTTTGATGAATTTTGTAGTGTATACTAGTGGCAATCCATGTACTCATATGGACTACCTGTTAAATCCTTTTAAACCAACCACCTCTTCAGCATGCGCCATTCTATATCCATCCCATTGGCTCTGTATCCATCCACCTCGGCTCGCTCCGACCCCACGAGCTCCGTACCACGACGGCCATCCTCTCGGGGTGCAGCAAGTCGACGAAGGCCTCGAGGTGCGACGGTGAATGGCAGCGACGGCGATGCGAGACGAGGTACGAGGCTACACGGTGACCGTGAGGCGCGGCTACACGGTGCATGCTTTGGAGAGAGATCTCTCCTCAGCCCCCCCCTTCCCCCCCCTTGCAATACAGAAACAGGCCATAGCAGGCCACAAGATATGAGTAGCAAGTTCAACTGTGAAACAGCTTCCAGGAGATGGTTCGGCCCACACTGCAGAGTTCGATGTAGATCTCCAGGCTACTTCGAGAGTCAAAGCCCCGTGTGTCGCACGACAGAGGGCGCCCGTCCTGTCCATCTCGCTGATGGAAGTCTGGCCTTGGCTTTTGCCCAGGCCAGCCATGAGCAAATCCCTCCGAGAAAGCTGTGCTAGATCGTAGAATTCTACTACAAGCACCTGCAGTCGTCAGAGACCCAAAGAACCTGCGGACGTCTAGGCCATGAGGATTCTCTCTAGGCCATGACTGCGCACTGAGTGGGGCATTCCAGTAGCACAAGGAGGAAACTATGGGACGCCTCAGAAACACAAAATTGAACCTTCCATATCGTATAACTGATTGACCTTTGCAAATAGGTCAAACATCTAGGGAGAAAGGAGGCCCTTAAAAAAATAACACATGGATCTGAGCTTCGAATGAAAGTATCCTGTATCCTGTATCCTGAATTCGTGGAGAAAAACGACCACAGAAATCAACAGTTCCGACGAGTGTTGTGTTCGGCTCCAAACGACGTCGAGCCGAAGGAAGGGACGGCTCCGGTGTCATCGGTCAAACACCTACGTATCGTCAGAGTCTCCACGCATGGAATATCTGCTTGGAGCTGAAGAAGGGCTCGGCGAAACGGTGAGAACCTGCGGAGCTCGGGCTTTTGTTTCTTCGGAATTTGGGCGGAACTTGGAAGAACTGGACAGTGACCTGTCCTTTTTTCAGGGTCGCTCGAGCTCAATTCGTCGTGGAGGGGGACAGGTTTCGGTCGCCATAGGTCACCCATAGGTCGCTGCAAAACAACGGCTCAGACCGTCGCCGCGTCGCAGGTTGTTCCCTCTTGCTGCGAGACGGTACGTCTCTGGGGGGGAGGTGAATGGATCAACTCATCGTCTCACTGGAACAGTACGGTCCTCCACATGTCGACGGCGACCGTTGGATGGGTTTAGGCATTTACAAGTTAACCTGCTTTTGAAGGGCGAACGAACAGTCGTTGCAGACCTGCTTTGTTGAAGTCCTCAATCCCAAAGTATCAAAATCACCCTTGGGTGGAGAGGGTATGAGGTCTTGAGATGATGTCCTTGCAGAAGGATAGGCACGTGGAATTCTTCCTCCGACCGAAGGCGGGATTTACCCGGCCAGGACTGAGGCAATTCTTGCCCCAGGTGTTTCTATGGTATACCAGCGATTTCTTGGTTGGGTATCTACACCTAGTTCAATAGACACCCATGACTTGTGGCTGATGCGAACGTAGTTCTCGTGACTTAGCAGTTCCACTCGGCGTAACGAGAAACTCGGCGTAGAAAAAAACACATCTCAGAACTCCGACCGGTAGCTTCGTTGTGAAGTGTTCTTTCACTTAACAGTGACTTGCTGTGGTCTCCCACTTTTGGCTGACCCCACCCCACATCCTGGTTCTCCGCTCGAGTTTCGTGTCGGTCTCCCCAGACAAGTACCACAGGGATCCTGGGTCTCCCACCACCAGCATGGCAATTGGACTTGAAGCATTGCCAACATCCTGCAGGCCGAACCGGCTCTCGTCGGATCGAAGCGAGTCATACGAAGTCGGAGCGAGTCATGACGAGATCAACACAACAAAACATTGAATTATTGTACATTAAAATAGACAATACAATAATATATATATATAGTAATATGTGTATATATATATGTTATATATGTTATATATAGAGAGAGAGCATAATTGTGTGTCATGTGATTTGATTGCCAACCATAAGCCTAATGTTTAAACTTGATTAAATACATAGGAGTGGGATGGAGTTGGGGGAGGGTAGTTGGGTATGCTAATTTGGACATATATAGTGCTGAGCATGTTGTCTTGTGGGCATAGTTCTTGTTCATGATGTTTGAGCAATCTTGCAAAGTGCGGGCGGGCATGCAGCACGAAACCCTACCCAACGCCGAACGCAGCAGCAAGCAAGCAAGTAAGCAAGCTGCCAATTCAGAACTTGCCCTTGTGGATGGGGTGGGCTTGCCCCCTTTGAAACCGCTAAACACATCTAAACACATAACGAGACCCACCGGGGTCTCGTAACGAAGTTTCTCACCTTTCAACCCCATCTGGTGTCTTATGTTGTCAACAGAATTTCCCAATAATCAGAATTGTGTTTCAAAAAATAGACAATGGTGTTGTTCTTATAATGTACAATGCTTCTGGTTGCCAAAGCAAGTCTTGCCCAACCAACTCCCAACTCCCAAGGATGAGTCAAAGAGTCATGAGTCGACTACACCGCAGAAAAATAAAACGGTCAGGTGGTGTTCTTAGGATGATTCGATACTGACAAAACAACACTTAAGTCTTGGTACAGAAAGGAAACCATTAATATTACAGTATATAAGCAGAAGAGGCGCAACAATGGTCCAATGGTTTTTAAGTGACGCAAGTGGCGTAGTTCATCTTGTTGCAAGACATGTAAAATTTGACTCAATTTCTCCATGTCCCCCTTGTAAGACATGTAAGACGCCTTCCTTCTTCCTTCCAACAGCGTGCCGCGTGCCCAGTCGCAGGAAAGCCCAAACATCCACAGTCGCCCCCAGTCGCAGGACTCGCCTCCAGCATCTTCCAATAGCTGATCTGTCGCTCGCTCTCGGCACCAAAGACCTGGGCCCCGCCCCGAAGACCGGTGCCGAAGACCGGTGACCGAGCGTGACAGTCACGCCGCCGAGCCGCTCGGAGCTGAAAGAGATCTAAGATGAGTCGTTCGGATAGTCGTTCGGTGGGCATCAGGCAACTAACCAATTGGACTGAAGTGACTGAAGTAGGTGTTTCTTGCGATCCTTTCTGTGGCCTGACAGATGAAATAAACTGAAAGATGGAGGGCGATTGAACGATTCCATTCCCATCATATCCAGCAAGACATTCGCTTTCGGAAAGGCCTCGCCTCTGTAATTGTCCAAAAGAAACATTGTTGGAGAGAAGGAAGAAACACAATAGTGGTCCCCGAATAGATAGTGGCATGGTTTCCAATACATTTATAGTGGGGATCAACTCGTCTACTCATTTTTTATCTATTTGGGGGTCTATATATCAATAAAGACAATGCTCCGACAGATTTCCTGATGACGCTTGCTGGGCTTCGTGCTTCTTGCCCTATCTCAAGCCCCCTGTGACAGGGTGGATCATCCTGTATTGCTATTTCTTTCCACTTCAATCAAAAGCCACCAGCTGCCGTGGATATCCCCCTGAAAGTTTAGACTTGGTTACACTCTGGAAGAGACCCACATGGAACATGAAAGCCACTGGTTTGTAGAGGAAAGTAGTCTTCCAAAGGTCCATGCCATCAGGTTCCATGTAAACTTTCCCGGGTGTCAGTTTCTTCTAATTACTGTACATCCATTGATTTAAAAAATTCGACCCCACTGGCCTCTGCTGCCTGGTCTTTGGTGCTCCCAAGAGCTGGGCAGCTCCGGCCTCAACCGACGTCGATGGGTCTCTACCAGACTCTACCATCAGAGATGACCATGCCCAAATCCCTTTTGGCAGGGAAAGACTGGGAAAGTGGGTGAAAACCCCTGGCTCTCTGACCAGCCGCATCCCGCGAAGGTCCCCAACCAATGATTCCTGTCCCCTTCGAGGAGATCAGATCCACTTTGACTTCGCCCGTTCAACCTGAGGTGATCACTGTGATCCGTGACTAATTCTGACTTTGAGGTGATCCTCCAATCGATCGAAACGCCCTCCAAACGTCAGTATCATCAGCGTTTTTCCAGCTGATTCATTATTCCATGAATTCTTGCGTCTGGAGACGGCTGGAGGGCTGGAGACACTGAGTCGTGAAGCATGGAGGTCGTGTTGGGCATGTCTCTTAATTTCAGTGGCTCGTCTGGTGCCGTGGACTCGGAGGAACGAGCTGAGCATCCTTCTCTCTATCTTCTCGTTGACTTGTTTCATCTTGTTTCGGATCTACCCTCCTAGCAGCTCCCAAGATTGAAATCTACCAGTTACAAATGGGCCTGCGTTCTCGGTTTGTATACTAAGACAACTTGAGAAAAAACATGTCTCAACTCGTAGCTCCCCAGAAAACCTGACTGCCTGGAGACCGTGCCCGGCAGTGCCCAACATCACACGGTAAAGCACCAGCACAAAGCTGCTCTCAAGCTCTAGAGTGCCCGGCGGATTCGAATCAAGGCAGTGGTGTACCAGAATTCCTAGGAGAGCGGCACAAGAAAATCAACTAAATGAACTGCAATGGGCTGCCTCGCGAAATCACATGGGTTTGTTTAACCCTGGTTGACCCACACATTGAGCCACCTGGCCTGGGCTGACCCAGGCCACTGGGGGAGGTTGATCCAAAGTGCAAAAATTCCCAAGCGCGGTTGAAGGATGAGTCCAGATGTGGTGGTCTTCTGCAGCTGCTTGGTGGTCTGCTGCTGCTGCTGGTCCCTTGGTTCCACACCCACCAGGTGCCCCAGGGATGGTCAGATCTAAGGCCAGATGATTTTTGTAAGCACCCACAGCAAAGGAGGTATATGGAGGTATGGGATACAAAGGTTACTGAAGCACTCCTAAATCTCACCTCTTAACTCAAAATCTGTTCAAATCTGTTAAACTAGTTCCTCATCTTCCTAGCAGGTCCTAGCAGAAGTATCTCGTCTTCATTGACCCACCTGATTTCCTGCCCAACAAGGCCCTTGCTCTCGGCCCGTGGGTTGGTGCTGCATCCGAACCCGTGCTCGACCGGTTCGGAGCGAGGTCCCGCACCTGCATCCTCCGGTCCATCATGGGTTCTTCACACCAGTGAGGTGATGACGCTTGCAGCAACTGGGCCTGGACGTCAGCATCCACCATGAGTCATACCCTCAAACAATGATCCGTCTTTGCCCCAAAAACGGCATGACTCATTGATGGCTCGAAACATCTAAAATTCTAACGACTTCAAACAACATGAACTGCGATCGCCGACTCGGTCTCCCCGGCCCGAAAGTGAACTTGCGAGCCCGGGCGGACCTCGGTCGGTACTGGTCCGAAGGGGAGTGGGGCAGCTCGCGGTGAACACGAAACACCACAGAAAGTAGATACACCCAAAAAGCACCAGTACCACAGAAAGTCTTCCAAGGTTTTATAGGGTGTTGTGAGTGGACCCGCAATTCGCTCAGGTGTTCTGCACCCTTGGGTAAATCCCAAGAATCCCCTGTGAACAGAGCGTCAACATGCACAAATAGCCTTGGCATGTTGAACACGTGTTAACACTTGTTCATTCTGTCCACCTTGACAGCACATAACAAGAGAAAGTGATGAACATTTCATAAGGCAAACACCCTGGTAAAAGGAAAAGCAAACAAACGCCCATTAGTCGGTCGAAGGAGTCCTAAGTACAATCCAAGCAGCCAAATTCAAGTGCTCTGGCCCAAATCCATTCGACATTTAAGTGTGTGACCTTCGAGATTGAACATCTTGAGGAAGGCTTCGTTCACAGAACATGTTGAGAAGCTTCGTAGTTCATTTAGTGTTAAGGGACTGACAAAGAGCATGCAGATAATACTTCGATGATATATGCATTTGAAGTTAACGTGATGCCCACATATGCCCACAATATCATCCCGTGCGCCGTTTTTGGAACACATACATGTGCACATATGTGCACCATGCCACATGTGCGTCTGGACCCCTTAGGAGCACTGCGTCACTGCACTGAGTGCCGAAACCGTGCCCAATTCCAAAGGACCTCCACTGAACATGTCCTGGGCAGGGCTGGCGGTTGGGCCCGCTTTCTAAACATAAAACAAACATGCGGTAAGGCCTAAGAGCCAGAGACATGCTGAAATCGATGGTGGAACCGAACCATCTTCGCATCAACTCTCCAGACCCGAAACGACTGGATCTCAGGCATCTCTAGAAGAACCGACATCATTCCTTTAAAAAGAATCCAAAACGCATCAAACCACCAGAAATCCATCCAGCTGGATAGATCATATATAGAATCAAAAAAACAACTCGAACTCTTCCTGCGAAAAAAATATATGAAACTGAAAGCGATGCTGACGCCACCCGTGGGTCCTGGCGCCAGAAGCCCTCGTTCACCGCCTCCGGGCGTCGCACCGTGTAGTCGCAGGCCTCCAACAGCTCCTGGGAGGGAGTCCGAGCGCGCGGCTCGCTTCGTCAGACGTTGGTGTCTTTTTATGGAACGAAACACTTGTAACAACATGTTCATCATAGCTATATACATGCTTATATACATAATACATCATAATACATCACTATACTGTACTGTAATATAGATGTTGTACATTGTGGTACATGTTCATGATTTCTCTATCATGCATATTGTGTGTGGATCTGTCCAACACTTGCACCATCTCCGCAGAGTCTCGTCGAGTTGTCGCACGTCCGACGCTCACGACTCAAGCTCCGCGTCCACGACTCAGCTATCTACGCCCATGTCGACTCATCTCGCGTCCTTTGCAGCGCCTGAGTTGATGCCCGCACTCAGCATCCTGAAAACAGCCAGTGGGATCTGCACACATCTG